TCTCGGTTGCTCCAGCTTGCGGGCCGCTCGCAGAGGCGAACGACCCCCCGACCTCCAGTCCCCCGCTCGTCCCGCGATGAACGCGTCCTCTCGTGGGCTGACGACTTGGGGCACGGTGTCAACCGGACCCGGAGTTGAGGCCACGGCAGCGTTGCAGACGACCCCCTGCTTTCGTTGAAGGACCTCGTGCGCTTGCATGCTCGTGGCGACCCGTAATGAAGAAATATCGGTCTCGTCGGCCGTGTTGATGGGGACCCCCAGGTCCTGCGCCAACTTGAGCAGCTGCTCCAAAACCATCGCATCTTGGCCCTCCTCGTCCATACGAGGGAACGCGGCGTCAGCGAGAGCGAGCAACGCCGTGCGGTAGGCGAGCACGGTCTCCGTGTCCGCCTTCCGTCTTGCGTAGAAATGATGGCGGCACGCCGAGGGAGGACCGTAGACTTTGGCCATGAGAGCCAGCGCATCCTTGAGCGTGGAGCGGTCCGACCTGCGTGCGGACGTGAAGGCCGCGAGCGCGTTGTCGTCCAGCATGGCAGGCAGTGCCCGCAGTGCCGTAGCGTCGGACCAGGCGGACATCTCTTGATGCGCCAAAAATCTGCGCTGAAATTGGCTCCAATCCCCGCCTTCCGCCTTGAATGCTGACAACGTGGGAAGGCGCTGCTGAAAGATAAAGTCGTCCTCCTCCTCGTGCTTCCTCTCTGCCCCCCCGTCGGTGTGTAAGATGGCGGCCCCAGTGGCGGGTGTGTGATGGCGGTCCGCCGCGCGCGTTGGTGACGTCAGCGGGCGCGCATGGAGAACCGCTGCTACGTGGTGATGGCCGTTCCCGCCAAAAGTTGGAGCGGATGAAATGGCGGGAATCGCCAAATCGTTTTGGCGGGAATCTGCAGGGCGACCCTGTAGCACGTCGGCCGCCGTCCCCGCTCCTCCCGACGAGCTGATCTCCGCCAAGATGGACGCGGCGGCGAGCAGCAGCTCCGCCAGACGGGAGTGTGCCTCGCGAAGCACGGTGTCAGTCCCCCGTCGCTCGTCCGGCGCCGTCGGTGGATCCTGCCCCGTGGGCAGCTCCTCTTCCTCACCCCCTGATGCCCGCTGGCCCGCGTCGTCGAGGTTGTCCCCGTGGTCAATCTCGTGGGTCCGACGGCTCCTCCTTGTATCCATGCTTGGAGGACCGTTTCACTTCTGACGCCAGTTGAAGTATGGGAATTGACGGCAGGAACTTCTTGACGGGTAACACACTTTTATTAAATCTTTACGTGTCACAATACAACGTGTGGTCTTCCTTCTTCCGACGACACACTCCACTAATCTCGTGTAAACTCTAGGCCTCTGGCTACACCCGATACACTTGACTCGTGTAGACCCTATGCCTCTGGCTACACACACTACACTCGACTCGTGTAAGCCCTATGCCTCTGGCTACACAATACACTCGACTCGTGTAGACCCTATGCCCTGGCTACACACAATACATTCGGCTCGTGTAGACCTATGGCTACACACACTACACTCGACTCGTGTAAGCCCTATGCCTCTGGCTACACAATACACTCGACTCGTGTAGACCCTATGCCCTGGCTACACACAATACATTCGGCTCGTGTAGACCTATAGCTACACACACTACACTCGCCTCTGGGTTACACAGAGTCCCGGTCCCCTTAGGACAGCGGGGCTAGGTACCGCAGGGCTCTAGGTCTTCATCCCCGTCTTCATTCTTCGCTGGTTACACACTGCCCTTACGCCTGTGTGCATCCCCTTTTATAGCCCCTGCTCACGAGAGACGGAGCTGATGCGGCGTCGACGTGAGCGTCGTTCCTTAATGACCCAATCACGACGCACTCTCTCTACGATCCGCTTTCCCCAGCGCGTGTTAACATTACTCCACCAATCACACTGCGCTGCCACCTGATCACTCCCTCTCAGCGCGTCACCGGCCCACAGCCAATCGGTACCCCGTAACCCACGACCCCGCGCTGACCCCTGATCCTCCACCGTCAGCGCGCGTCACCACCTACACAGCCAATCATCACGCACTGTGCATACGATCCCTAATCCCAGCGCGTATCACCTCTACATATGGAAGGGAATACCCCCCCCCCCCCCCCATCGATGTGCAGTTACAGGCCACACCGAAAATGTATAAATCCAATATTTATGACTCCGTTCGTTTCACTCTTCAGAAGCGTTCTGAGGCACGGGAAGCTTCCAGGGTTTATTCTGAGACGCGACAATTGGCCAACGAACAGCTTAAGGGAGTGCGTGCTTCTCCTTATAAATGGGGACAAGGCTTGGTTGCACTGTCTGCAGGTACCGGTGGGTACATCGCCTAAGTTACTCCAACCCTGGTGGGGACCGGTCGATGTTGTTCGGGTTGTTCGACCACACTGTGTCCAGATTACCTTGGGTCGGCGGAGTTGGTTCGTGCAACCCTATCGCCTGAAACCGTTTATTGCGCCTGCACGAATTTGTCTCATCTCCACATCGCAGGGGCCGAGTGTCGAATGTGTCCGACGAGCCGGGGTGTGTGCCCACTGAGGTTGGCCCTCAGCGGAAGCGATTCTGTTCCGCCCCCAGGTGCTGCGCGACTGACGTCTCCCGAACGGCCGCGCATCCCATCTCCGCAGGCTTCGAGCGCAGAGTGAGCCCACCTCCCTTAGGGGCCTGGCATCACGGACTTGCTCAAAGAGTCGTTTTTCGTGATCCCCTTACACACACGCTCCCACTGCTGTCAGTTGCTTGTCACGCTCGTTGAGTCATGGTGGTTATTGGCTGATCCTAGCCGCCATTAAGCTCACGAGCATTGTTACACGGTGAAGGTGGGAGGTGTGGTGGTGGAGGGGATCCCGTGGGTTTATGCGTTTTTGTTGGGTTTTGTTGTTATGGGGTTCGTTGGGTTACACCCTTCTCCCTGTGTGTCAAGAGACCATCCCATTGTCAGAATCAGAATATTGAATTCATGCTGGAGGAATCCGATGAGCTATGAAGCTCTTTTTCCACAGATGTCAAGGAGGGTTACAGTTGCAAATCTACTATCACATCGGTCCCGGGGGTTGTTCGATCACACTTAACCATCATCAGAAGCGTGAGTTGGTAAAATGGTGGGTCAGCACCGATTCAGATGTTATTGCTTTCCACTGATGTTGCCCGTGGCCCAGGATTAATCTCAAGGCTCGGCAGTGTAGCGTGCAGACCGCTGACCCACCGCCCTCAGTGAGCATGTATTGTGATTGTTTTACCATTAGGGGCCGTCCATAAATGACGTCACGCACCTGGGGGGGGGGGGGGTCAGACATTTGTGACGATGTGTGACGAGGGGGGGGGGGGGTTGAGAAATGTGACGTCACATCAAAATGCGCAACTTTAAATAAATATAGACAACACGTTCTACTTAATTAAATAGATTTTAAATAAATGTTTTCTCCTACAATATCAGAGTGCAGCGGCACATTAAATACGCACTACAATGACAATAGTTTGGGGGGGGGACAGAGCTTTGTGACGTAATATTTCAGGGGGGGTCTGACTTTTTGTGACGCTGTGTGACGAGGGGAGGTTCAAAAATCGTCCAAAATCGCGTGACGTCATTATGGACGGCCCCTTACTGGAAAGATGAATCGGGCACATTACACGATGGAAATATTCAAACCGTAGTTTAACTGGTAAAGTCAGCTAAGTGTTTCTCGGCGAAACACGAAGGTCCTCATACAGGTCATAATTTACCTGCCCTATACGCACGATAAGTCAAGCCCTATAGACTAACTAAATGGAATTTAAGTGCGTCAATTTGAACAGCAACAATGCCCCTGGCTGCGAAGTACAAGAGAGGGTGCGGTTAAGCAACTGCTGACAGGGTGGTAGTCGTAGTCTGGCAGAAGAGTAAACATGCGGTCTCCTCAAACCTGCAGAAGATCGTGAGCACACACCCCACATAGCAAGACGCCCCATGCCCTTCCTCACTGACGGTTAATTCTCAATTGTCCAATCCACTGATCAACTACCTCTTACACCAGTTGCCGAAGACAAACCGCCTCACTCCGAAGGAAGGTGCCCCTTGATCATAACTGCAGCATTGTATTGAGGCACCCAAGTGTTTAAATCGGCCCGCTAATACGACCCTCAACACTGTGTTGTGTATGTGGGCGCGGACTACCCTCCAGGTCCATCGTTGCCCAATGATCTAGAACACTAACATCTCTACACATCTTCTTGGTTCTTTCGGTAAAGTCACGTAGAATGGAAATAATAAAATAATAACAATAAAACATAATAAAATAATTCTCACGACGTTTCGGCCACAATGCAAGCAGCCGTCCTGAGGTGAAGAACAGGTCTGTCGAGAAGACAGAGTCTGAAGTCTGGATTGAAAACATTCTGGGATTGCAATTGGTGTTATCGGCCTCTAGTGCTGGCTGCTTTTATCGGCATCAAATTATACCGGCACAGAATTCAGTCTCTGCGCATCACGGATAGTAAGGGTAGCCACGCTATTTTTAAATACAGCAATATGGCCATACAACATATGAGCCAGGTTCAAAGTGGGTGGTTACAGTACAATGAAATGCATTTTTATGCCATGTGGCAAAGGACGTGCATTATATCTGGCGTGCTAACATTTAAAATGTGCCAATTCATGCATTTTGAATTTAAACCAACTTGTAGTTTCTTCGCATTTACAGCCGTGACTGATGACGCTGTGTGTACGCTTGTTGATTCTGACATTTTTCAAGCGACAGGAATTTTTTTCTACTTAACGTGTACATTGAACTTTGGAAATTCTTTGAAATTTAAGAAGTACTGAAGGTTGGTGTATTCTTATTTTCATTATATAGCGTTTAAGGGAGTGAGTCATGTATTGTGTTACAAAACACTGACTGCCAAGGCTGTTTACTTTTTATGGTTCCGGTGATAAGGGGGAGGGGGGGCTAAGCCTCCTTTAGCAAACAGCACAGAGGTGAACTTGTCCGCCCATAAATAGTCCGGAGGTTTTATCAACACTTCAGAACCGCACTCTCAAGGGGCCCAACCGCAGAACTGCAAGATGGTTCAAAGATGTTTTACATTGTTAATGTCATGCTTAATTACATGGTCCTTGTTGCAAACCAAAAGGTAAAAACATTTTCTTAAATTTTTCTCGTGCGGTGCTGTAAAAGCTCTTGAATGTATATACGCAGCAGTTGTGTTTAACGAATGTTGTTTTCAGTGCGACGTCTTTAAAGCACGACAGTCTTTCAGACAATAACCGTCGATTATATTTTGTACAAATTTTAAACATTAGTTGCAAAACAAATCGAGCTGAGCGTGAGCACTTTAAACGGTTGCAATGTCCGTAACGCGGTGCAGTTTGTAAGCAGGCAAAGGAGTGCGCGATCGCTGCTCGTTTGCCCTCTCGGCAACTTGGCCCCAAGCGCCGCACGCCGCCCGGTCTTGGGTTCATCTTTTGTCACCGCTCACCTGGCACGCGCACTTTCTCGCAACTTCGATTTTAATTGATAACCACCAACGTGAAATATCGACCGCATGGATGGGGTTTGGTCGTGCGGACTGGATGGACTTCGGGCAATTGTATTGAGACTTTTTAATGCAAGCTGTAATTTCCTATTTGTAATAGGGAATATAAGTGGACACATCACATCTCCTCCGTGTCGCTCTGTCTCCGCTGCTCTCGCCCTCTGTCCGTTGAACATCACCTGGGGTCGCCGTTCTTTTGCTTCCTCTTGGTCTTCTCCCAAATAATCTTCCCCCAATCACCTCTTTCAGCTCATCCCCCCCCACTACCACCTGCCCAATCCAGATGTTCTTCCTTTTTCTTTTAGATTTTACGAGTTCAAGTCTTTATCCCAGCTGAAGCAGGACCTCTTTGTGTTTATTCCTGTCTGGCTCATTTATATAATTCTTCGTTAAAATCCATATTTTCAAAACCTTCCAATCCGTGCCTCGTGTATGCATTGTCCACCGCTCACAGGCGCACCTCGCCACACTCCAGACCTTGCTCATGAATATTTTCTTCAATTTGCCATCAAACCATTGTTAAGAAATCCTTTCTGAAGGCTTCTTGACCCATCGCATTTCTGGTTCTGATTCTTTAGAACACCGTCCATGAGATGTGATGAGGCTACCCAAGTAGCTTTCGAATGATCACTGAGCCAGAACCGCTGAGGCCTGAGTTCAAATCTAGGCGGTCGCCTGTGATTTTAAAACGGGTGCTCCAGTGGAGAGAGTTGGTGTCTCAGCCTAGTCAACAATTAATCTAAAACATGCACTATATTATTGTATTATTATTATTCATAATCTACTTAAATTTCAGCTCTGAATATTTTTAAAATGCGGTATGACTGTTATATAATGAAATTTATTTTTAAGAAAAAGTGCTCCCTCTAAGTGCACAGATAGAATATGTCACTTGAAGGGAAGGATCTCAGAAGCGTTCTGTGATATCTCATTACGTGGGCCATTGTCTGATCTGGGGGATGCACTGCCCTAACTTGACTCCGTGTAAACGGTCTGCTTCATGGCCTCACTTGCATCGCTTTGGCAGATATTCCGTGTTGGTAGTCAAACACTTCTGAGAGACAAAGCCAATAACAAAGAACAACATTTCCCACGCACTTATTTACAAATACTGAGAGACAATATGTACTGTATATACATTATTGATACTCACAAGTCAAACCAAAGTGTCTCTCTGTTTGTAGTGCTTATCACCGCTGGCTTCCCTGAGTCAGTCGTGCAAATTCAACATTCCTGTGGTGTGTTTTCCCGACAAGGTGACCACTGTTGATAAGATGACCACTCGTCGACCTCCCAGTATGCAGTATTCATTTTATCAACCCTAGATATATGAGAACCACAAGTTGTATTTTAACGAACAGCCTTCCGATTGTGAGTCAAGTTCTCTAACCACAATGCCATCCGCTCACCTGGAGTAGGTTGATAAAACGTATAAGGGCATCTGTCAGCGCGTAAGTCGAATCACGCTGGATAAACTCTATTGCTTCAAAAACATAGATATGCATTACAAAAAAAAAGTATTATTTCATTTCAATATTAGCCCTGGATTTACAAATTACAGATACATTGTATACGTAATAATACCATTAACATTACAAACATTACCTAATAAAGAGGGGTGTGGACTTATATAAAGATGTGGCCATTTTTACTGCTTGGAATACTTGCTGTAGAACAATAGTGAATTACTCAGTGGTGGTGTTTGTAAAAGTGTAATTACTGTACCATCCATACACACGAGCAACAGATATATACTTTACATAAAGCCCCGTAGTGCACACTGCCTCACAGCAAGAACGTTTGCGTTCCATAGCTGACTCGGCGTCTCTGTGTTGAATCTGTATGTTCTCCCTCTATTCTGCATGGGTCTCTCCTGGTTTCTCCAGTTTCCACTCATATCTAAAAAGACACACGCAATGGAAATGGCCAAAACACCCTAATGCTGAAAAAAACACCGACAAATTACTCAAGAGAGAACCCTCTGCAAAAAATATGCATGTTTTGCCGACGAGTCGAAATGCGATCTATGTTACCATTTTATGCACACTGCATTTATTTGTGAAATAGGAAAAAATGTGCATCACACATCGACACTCAGCACGTTGATGGATGCCTCTCTAACCCATCAAACACGGCTGACGCTGTCAGCAGTAGTCACTCGTGCACAGCTGCCTGTGCGCAGACACCGTTGTGGAATGGGTGACACGTGATGGTGATGGGATTTCGAGTCACTTAGATCTCTGTTGCAGTGCCTGGACGCTGCGTGTTGGAGACTCGCCTGGCCAGGAGCGGCAAGATCTTGGTAAGTGTCAGCTGGTTACATTTTTCAATAATTGTGCATATCAGCATCAAAGTTTGAGTGTTGAGTATATTTGATTTGTTACACGAGTGGGTCCTGTTTAGCCAGTTGCCCAGATGTTTTACACGGGAGATTTGTGGTGCGTGAACACAGCAGCATCTAGACTCCGAGTGAAGCATAACATTCCATTCCGGAACGCCGTTAACAACACATGTTCGTGTTTAATAGCACTACTCACACGGGATATGAAATTAATTCAAATTTCCCACACATGTGTGTCATCGCTCCCTGCAGCCATGCAACGTCGTGATGCGTCCCATGCCTGCCAGTGCAAACAGGCCCCCTGTGCAGATAATTAAATAACCACCGACGTGTTTTTATGTTGTTTTATAATGGTTGTATGGTCCAATTGTGGTCTCATAAGTCAGGGGAATAAAATTAATATCACACGACAAGCCGGTTTATATATTTAAGCTCTGATACGAGCTGCTGATTTTCATCTCAGGCGCCAGGGTGGCGCAGTGACATAAGACTTCTAAGCGCTGATGGCTCGACGCTCCACAATTACCACTGCGTTATTCACTATCAGAGTTGTAATAGATTCGAGTTCACATGTCTCTTGACTTGAGCAAGGTTGGATATATGATATTGAAAAAATAAACTATGAGAAGGAATTCCGAAGTGGAGCAGTGCGAGGAAAGAAGCCGAAAGCGAAATGTTGTGAGCTGCAGTGTGGTGGTCGAAGGCAGTACAGATGAGAAGACGCAACTGGGCCCTCAACGTGAGTGGAGGAATCACTGAGTAAGGTTCATGGGGACAGTCGCCATGGTAGAGCTGCACAATCATTTTCCCCATCTCCAAATGATCACTGAGCGGTGGTCATCTCTGTTTAATGGTCCCTTGCCAGGAGTGAAAATTCAGCATTGTTACGGTGGTGCCAGTATCTGCACAGCGTGGTGTTGAACTCCCACGACGTGCTACACATTTTATTGGCCCAACAGAGCAATGTCGAGGGGCTAATTGTACCCCTTAAAGAGGTTCTCGGAGCAGCGTGTGACCGCGTAATTGGACACTATGAGCGACGTGGCTGTAATAGAATGCCCTTCACTAATCCAGAAGAGCCCGAGTCTTGAGACTCATTTCCAGCAGCGTCCTGCAATGGGATGCTTCGACAAATTTCTTGAACGAGTGGTTTCATTTGAGGGAGTAAACCAGAAAATCTGGAGTAAATCGACACCACAGCAAGGATGCCGGACATTACTCGACATTGCCATCTTCTGGCCACCTTGCGGCCAACGCTAATAATAACACGTGGCGGCCTCCCATCCGAGCTCTAACCAGGCTAAACACCTGCTTAGCTTCAGAGATCTGACAAGATCGGGTGCGTTCACGGCGATTCAGTCCTAGACAAAAAGTGATGATCGATGAAAATCCGTCACAGGTAATGCCCGTAAATGTTTTCCGTAAAATACTGAACAACGTTTTTTGACATGGACAGGGCACGAGCTATGGAATTCCATTATAGGATGTTCAAGTTTACCGTCGTCACAAAAACAGGCAACGTAATTCAATGGACATTTTTACCCCCTGTTCTTAATGTCATGTTGCACTCAAAGTCATGAGCGGCCTCTGCGAGAATACTGCACGGATCTGAAGGGACACACCGGTAGGTTGGAGTGAACAGTCCTGGCATCCCTGGGTTAACGCCCGAGTTGTGGTTTATGGCCTAACAGCTCCCTCCTTGCCTCCGTCATTGTCACAATTATCCCGTGGCGACGATGACGACGCTCTCTAAATATTGGAGGCAATCCATGTTTACTGCACAGTGATTGCTGGGAAAGCCCAAATGTGACAGTTTCCACAGCTGTAGGAGTTGTAACTACGAATACAATTTATGATACTCTATTTGCAGTGGGGTTTAAGTAGCAGCTGAAAGCATTTTCCCGACAATTGCCATTAACGAACATTGCTCTTCAGGAGAGATCCACGCAAGACTCCTTGCTGGTGGCACCCGTAATGAAGACCACGCCACCCCCATCCTCAGACACCTCCACCTTCTCCAAGATCCTCCTTGAACCCACCGCTGCCTATCTGTCCCCTCTCATCTCACCCTACTCCCCCCCACGCACTATCCTATCTCTCTCCTCTCATCTCACTCTACTTCCCTTGACACACTCTCCTACCTCTCTCCTCTCATCTGACTTTACTCTGTTTCACACACTCTCCTACCTCTCCCCTCTCATCTCACTTGACTCCACTTCACACACTCTCCTACCTCTCCCACGGCATCTCTCTCTTCTCCAGGCACTCTCCTCCCTCTCCCATCTCGTATCACTCTCCTCTCCTCTATGCTCTCTCCTCCCTCTATCTCATCTTACTCTGCTTCCCTTCAGCTCCTCTCTGCTCAGGCAGTCAACCTTTACCCAGAAGGTCACTCGTTCTCCTCTGGAGTTCTTGTCGTCCGGGATTCCTTTCCCTCAGCCACCCGTTCTACTGGCTCCCTGCCCCTGTTCAAGTGCAGCCTCAAGATCTCTCATGAATCCTCTGCCTGACTGCCTGCCTCTCCCTACGAAATGAATACGCCTGCCGCTTCTGTACAGTAGCTCGAGATGCAGTCACATTTCGCAAAATGCGCTCCGCCTTTTTTAATCGATTCATCAATTTAACGATCAGTCGCAGCGGCAATTTATCTTAAACTAAGCAGCGTCAACCGTGACAAATTACTGGAATAGAAACGGCTTCCCGTGGCCGGTTCACTCGACGATTTCAACATCTACATCACAACAGCCAATCTTATCTCGGATGTTATGGCATGCAGAGACAACACTTGCACAATCTGGTACATTTGCTGGGTCCAAAATGTAACCGCACCGAGATAATGGGGGACGCGTGAAAGCCGTCACGTCAACACATCGCGGCCACTACCAGGGGGACCTCGCCCCGTGACGTGGACCGCGGGACATCCAAGGCACCTGCACCGCGCTCTCGAGTCTCGTGCATGCCTCATCCAGAAGAATCCATGCATAGGCCAGGCACCGCACACCGCACGCTGGCCAGCACAGTCTTAGTCTGTGGATTTTATATATGCTCTTCTATCCCTGCTATGACTATGGCAGCAAAAATATAATGAAGTGTTGATGTGAGGAGAGTGTTATCAAATGTGTTTTATATACAGGACAAATACGCAATCGCAACTTACCACTTGTGATCTTATTTAGTAAACTGCAGTCTCAAACATCGCAAAATCATTTTAGCCTACGTTGTCAATCGTCACGGTCAGCGCATCGGTATTTGGTTGCAGTGACCGTCACCGCCACGCTTGACAAAGTTCATCCATTCATCGCCGATTGAAATAAAAACACCTCGTCGGCGAACATCACCGCCATTAATGTCACCAACATGAATGCTCCCTGGGCCATCGGGCCTGCACGCGCCCTTCCCCTGCCGTCACCAGGTCAAGGCGAGCGGTAAACGCAGCCGGGGTACGAGAGTATGGGGGCTACGGTGCAAATCGTGCGCGTTTGCATGCCGGTACAAGGCCACGCTGCTGCGATGCCACGACGCTGACCGTTGACTGCACACAAAGTGCTTGCAACAAATGAACCACAAAACCTTGCTGATCTCGTCAAGTAGCATAAACCACCATCACGCAAACTCTGGTCATCCTCGCAGCAGCGACTTCTGACTAACCGTCAAGCAAAGAAGGTCACCACATCGCACGCTTTCAAGTGCGCTGATGCGGCCGTTTGGAACGCTCTTCCTTCTGATATTAGGAAACCACTGGGAGATACGCACTTTTCAATCTCAATTGAAAACTAATTTCTTTTTTTTTGTTTAGTTTAACACGTCGGCTTTCCCGACCAATATCATCTATAATAGAGGATTTGTTTGGGGCTAGATCGCGTAAATATATAAATGTTTAACGACACATTTATATATTTACGCGATCTAACCCACAACACAATCCTCTATTTTTGTGTTAAGTTTGCTCTCTTTCCCCCCGCATATCCCATTAGCACAGTAAACTACATACGGTGCGAAATACGTTCAACGTACGTGTACGTTGATGTCACCGAGCTGGATCTTGGAGTCAGGTATGATGTCAGACAGGGGAGGTACAAGGTAGAGGAGTAGGAAATCACTATGTTCTGTAGCCAGATGGGATCCCATAGAAACAAAACACATCTTTCTGCACAGGGTAGATCTGTGGTAAAACACGGGAAGATTCATCATAAAGGGAAAATATTCGTGAAAAACGTACAAATTGTATGATGTAGAATGATTTACAAATATACACAAACTAAAATGTAATTGAAAAAAGCAACGATGAAGCGTGTTTGGAAACCTGACCAGTGAAAAAAAAAACGACGTGAGTTTTCACCGTGTGTCCAAACACTCGAGTTACTGGCCACACAACGTGGGTTTTTTTACTTTTGCTGCAATTGTGTTTCGCAAACTTGCCGACGTCGTGGTTGAAAAGATGCCGTTTGGACACGACTGCGTTTTACGACTTCATGCTGAAGAACTGCCTTCTGTGTTCTTGATTCCCTTGACGACAGGCGAGAGTCTCCATGCGTGTCCTTGTTAACGGTTGACCAAGCGCAATGGTTAAAAGGAAACCTTGCACTCTTCCCATCCCCCTGGTGTTAATTGTGGGGTATTTCGAAATCTGTTTTTAGTGCATTTTGAAGTTTCGTTGCACTCTGGAACGCAGTCTACAAGTGAATGGCCAAGAAGAGCTCCTTTTAGACCAAGTCAAACTGATCTCCCTGCTGCTCGTCAAATGAATATTGAGGCAGTGCTCACCTCCTGTTTATAGTTCTTAGTCAGATACGGAAATTCCTCATTCCCATGGCGAGTATTCAACAATCAGACACCACTATTGACTTCTCCACAAAGTCGTGCTCATTTTGTAGAACCTGAGGGGATGATTGGCTGAGTCGCCCCCCCCCACAACCCCCCCAAACAGAATGTGAACTCACAACCTTCTGATTGCGAGTCACTCGCTCCACTGCTGAGCCCAGGAGTGGGGTTTCATGAGTCCTTGAGTTTCCCCCTCGCCTCTCAAGGCGACACCGCAGGTGGCTTCACTGATAATTAAGTGGAGGGCACAGGAAAGTTGTTATCCTAAGCCAGAGCTGGGCCCGGCCAGACCATTCGGTGGTGAGATGTTAACGCCCTTGCCTGGTATGTAGGAAATCGTGGGTTCGACCCTGACCCTGACGCCTGCTGTATATATTAAGTTTGCATGTCTTTCTCTCTCCATGGTTCGCGTGAATTTAACTCCGGGTCTCTGGTCCTTCCTTTCACATTTATAAACATGCGTTTTTGAGTATATGGCTGCTATAAATTTCCCACAAAAGCCACTTTGTTGATCTATCATTTGTGGCCAAGTCGACTCTGAAAAAAAGCTATATAGCTCAGTGGGCCGTAAATTAATTTTCGTTTTAATTGTCAGGAAGCCGCATGGGCTGAAAATGCACCTGTCTGGTGGAGAAAGCATCTCCTGATGAAGCCGCTGCCAGCACGTTCCAGTTGCTCAATACCTGCGCGCGTGACCCGAGTGGAAAAAAAAACAACCCGTAGTCGAGCTCAAAGCCTCCTCAGCGAACTGCCATGAATTCAGCGGCCTGGCCCAAAGCCCAGTCAAGGCTTTCTGTGCAGTCTGTATTGAATGCAATAAACGTACTCATCTCTGAACAGAGCCTACCTGGTTACTCAAATTCCACTGCTGCTGCATCATGTTGGTTCTGTAATAATATTTTATTTTCATATTATTATTGTACTGCTCATTATACTTCACAGAGGTTGGCACATTGGTCAGCATGCTGCGCAATGAACCATACCATCTAAGTTAGATTCCTGGCCATGGCTAATATCGGTGGCGAGTGATACCAAGTTTACTCAGCACTGAATCTATCTAGAATGTTCTGGAAAATAGGTACATTTCAAAATATCACTGTCCTGGTCACAAAAGCAAAGTTTGTGGGGAATAATAGCCATTTTCTATTCTTTTTAGGCATAAGCAAATAGGAAATAACACTTACTACCCAGGTACAAAAATGATGTTACATAGTGTTATCACTCATGCTAGTTCCTTTCTTGTACAGTAATGATTACCGAGCTGGGTGCTTCTGTGGCAACAGCATAGAACTTACAGTTAGAAGTCTGTGAGCTTAAATTTGTGGGGGGGGGGGAGGTTGATAAGTAAGACTGATCTGTTTTAAAGCTGGTTATGCAGATAAATAGCCCACCAGTAACATTGAAGAACACTGTCAATTTATCAGTGGCAATATGCTGAAGCTTTATACGATGCCCAATAAAGGAAAGCATGATTCTGTGAATTTTAAACAAACTTAGACATTTCTCGTGCTCGGTGTGGGCATTGTTTTTTTTACAGATGCGCGTCTCGGCTGCAGCTTTGATGACGAGGGGTTCCCGCTGTGCGGCTGGACTCAGTCGGATGATGATGCCGGAGACTGGATCAGGAACTCGGGAGCAACCCCCAACCCCAACACCGGTCCACCTGGGGACCACACCACCGGATGTAAGCAGCACTCACATTGTAAAATGGCTGCTTAGAAGATACAAATAACAAATATAATCTGGTGGCCAGGTGGCTCAGAAGTCAGAGGACTCGGATAGCACAGCTCGATAAGGTGCTGGCCAAGGTTTGAGTCCAGGCCGCTGCCTGTGATTAAACCTGCTTCTCAAGTCTTAGTGAGTTGATGACCTCAGCATGGTTACCAATGACTGCGCACATAAAAACACATTACGTTCAATTGAATCGCGCTTAATTTGGCAACAAATTCCAGCTCTGAGAATTAAACATTTGGTTTGGCCGCCATGCAATGAACATAACTCTCATGCAGAGCAAGTGGGAAGTGCTGCCCTCTCCTGCGTGTGGTCTGGAGGTCACTTGAAGGGATCTCTGAGGTAGCTCTTTGATAGCCGCTTCTGTGGGCCGTCCTCGAACACGAAGGGTCACACTGCTCTGCAGGAGATATGAATGGACGAGTTGTCTCGTGACGTGACGTCAGTAGTACAATCGAGACAACACTGGGGGAACAAACCTACAAAATTCAATGACAAAACCATCTGTTACGAACACTCTGTGTTGAGTCTTTACCTCTGATATTGTTACCTATTCACTGTTTTACAGAATTATCTACAGCGTTTAACTTCTTCTGTTGAGTGTAACACGCTTTTCAGTTGTATATATAGAAACAAATTGAACAGTCACTTTTCTTAGCGTACATACAGAATTACATCTGCATCACATTAAAAAAATGTGCCGCCCAGTGTGTTTTAACAATTCTCGCCCATCCAAGCGTGTTTCTTCGTTCCATGTGTACCTTGCAGCTAAGCCTGGACTTTGATTCATAAATAAGAACACCTGGATGTGCCCTGTTGTTAAACTAAATGTTTCTTGTTTAATCCAAGTTATTTCAAATTCATTTCCATATCAAAGTTCAACCTGTTTACATAATTTTTCAAACTTCAGTTTTATTCAGATCAACTGTTAGGAAACACTTGGGCCTTGCATGTTGTATCTCGTGTTTGTTTGAAGTTAAAACACGAGATCGTAAAATTCCACGCAATTGTAAATTTGCTGGGTAAGATTCGTGTCTTGATCAAAACAACAAGACAACATTGCCTGGGAATTTGCTGTATTGTCGCGAAAGGGAACATCTTGGCATTTGCACAACTACTGTCATGACTTCTGCAAAAACACCATCTATTTAAATCTCTTTCACTTTAAGTGTCATATTCTCCACTCTGTGTTACAACATTTTTGCTTCACCATGTGGCAAACATTGTCAATATTCGGCTGAATGAGAATGTGCATACACTGCCTAAGAGGCAATTGACCAAGGTACTCTAGGTTAGCGATATCACCCACAAGCTGTTTTAAAACCAGAGTGGTGCACAACTTTCTGTGGCATTTGGGAATTTAAATGTTTTCATCTCATGACATGACACGAATAAACAAAACTGCATTATAATTGGTAAACAATATAATTAAAGAACACCCCTTCAGCCAATAACAATCTAAACTATTTTTATTTGACAAGGTAAGGCCCACTAAGTTATATTGTTATTTTTCAGAAGTGACCTGGCCACACATGATAACTCAGCAAAGTGACTTATCACGTAGAAATCTACTCTAAGAGCATGTTTCTAATTGGGGAAGGGAAAACCGGAGAACCCGGAAAAAAAATCCACGTGACTATGGGAGAACATGCAAACCCCAAATATACAAGTGTCACGGTCAGGATTAAACCCACGACCTCCTGTATATCAGGCGATGTAGTTAACATCTCGCCACCGTGGCTTGAATTAGGGGGCCGGGCCCCTAGGAACCTCTGGGCTGGCCCTACTCATGCTGCTTGTTATCGGTGTAAATTGACGGCACGGGATGCCGGTTCGTTTCAGCCTCCTTCTACCTCTACCTGGACTCTGCGTCCGTGGGAGCTGGGGGAGGAGTGAGGCTCCTGAGCCCCAGCATCAACACCAACCAGAACGTGTGCCTGAGCTTCTGGTACCACATGTACGGCGATGAACTTATGACATTGAACGTGCACGTGCTGGAGGACGGCGGAGAGAGACCCGTGTGGCGCGCTGAGGGGCAGCAGAGCAGCACCTGGCTGCAGGGAACCGTCACCATTCAGGCCAAGCCAGACACCCAGGTCAGTGCACACCAAGGGCCTGATTCCTATAGCTATTTTTGGCCGTTATTCTTCCACTTTGAAGATATTACAGCCATTTTTCTTCGAAAATCTTATGTAAATGTTATTTTGATAATGCCTGTCTGCTAATTCCCAATCTTACTTTGTTCTCAATGCATCTCGCAGTAGTTGTATCTGAGCGTACCCTATTCAATACGTTTCTGCTCTTTCAATTTCTGTTTACTTATTGTTTTCCAACAACCTTTAATATTTAATATCTTTCTCCAAAGTTATACCCGTGTATGTTGTTATGAATAATTTTAGTTGATTGAACAGGTTAAAAACATTTTTACACCAACATTGCCACCTCCGCGCGCCGACTTCGACGTGGCGGGGCTCTGCAATCTCACATTAACATTCTAATCTCTCACATTAACATCACTAGACCCTTGGGCTACACCCATTTTAAACCTTTAAAACAGTCTGCCTCAGCAGCTTTCCCCCAATTTTTCCTCCTGATGACGATCGCTTGTGTTGTGATCAGTACGTCGTGTTTTTATTAATTTGAACCTATCTACGTGACTTTACCGAAAGACCCAAGGAATATAACTATAACCATCCTTTATTCTTTCCATTTTACATCCATGCATGTATACAGTTATTCCTTTGTGAATCAACATTACCGTACATTTTTTTCGTTATTAATTCATCTGAAAACTATTCACTGTAAAGTACAGGCGTTCCTCGAGTACCTTGACCCCGCCCCCCCCACAGTGCAAATTCACAGTTACGCAATTAATTTTTAGGGACATACTTCACACGTACGCTTTGTGTTTCACATTTACGTGCTCTAGAAAAAACTAAAAATATTTAAAATCAAATTTTTTAAAAATTATTTTCATTTCTAAAAATTCAAAGCAGACAAACAATATTTCTGATGGCGTCACAGCGTCATGGCAGCACCTAGCGTTACGGGCTGGGCGTAGCCATCGTAGATCTACCGCCTGTGTCTGCATCACGCGTGCGTCTGTAAGCAGCCCACGGAAGTGTTCAAGGAGCCCTGAAGTTACTCATTATTAAGTAAGCCTTATAAATAGTAATATTTTAAATTTTAATCATGAGTAATTGTTATTAAACTCCTTATTAAGTCTTTTTTTATAATGTTCATATTGTTATCAAGTAATACATTTATTCGTATTTTGTAAACCCAAATGATACTTAATTTTGCTTTGGTAACGCACCCCTCCATATAACATGTATGTCTATGGGAAAATAGTCTTCAGACAGCGTGATTCGACTTACACGTTGTTTTTCAGGAATGCATGTCACGCGTTATGCGAAGGACGCCTGTGTCTGACTCAATATCTACTCTATCTGCAGGTTATCCTGGAGGGAATTCGAGGAACATCAATATTGAGTGATATAGGCCTGGATGACATTTCCGTGGCTGAGGGAAATTGTTTTGGTAAGATTAAATTAATTATGTTTTATCATTTTACATTCATTAATTATTAAACATTCACACCATGAAACAGATTTTAGGCTCAGTTGAGGGTCTCATTGTCAGATTGGGAGTTAAAATCCCAATCAGAGAGCACGGCACGCCATCTCCATCATCCCTCTGGAGTACCGCCGGAGGACCCCTACTTGGTGAGAAGTCACCAGTGATTGTCTTATGGAACAACTGGTCCCTGCCAGAGGAAAGTGGAATTTTCACTACTGGTTCAGGACCACAAACATTAATTAGTGCGTAATAGAGATTTTTTCGGTTAGATATTGGTCGCGAAAGCCTACGTGATGAATTAGTGCGACTGATTGGTCGTTTGAGCCGTAACTGTTGGTTGTGGTAAAGCGACCAAAACACCCAGAAAGCTCCCGAGCTCGTCAAATCTCGGCTGCTAAGCAGGCTTGAGCCTGGATATCACTTGGATGGGTGACTCCCACGCACCGACAGGTTGCAATGGGGCTATAGGACCCTATGGCAACTTTCAATCCACGCTGACCCGGGTGGCAAAGTATGGTAAAAAATTCTCTCATAACCCACGCGGTGTGGGAAGGCCCTGATCCAGCAGTGGATTTAGAAAAGCTCCAACTGGTTCAAATATTCGTCACTGATGTTTGTCGTGAAGGAGACTCGAGCTCGAGTAGCGGGATTAATAACGCAGTGCGTGTTGGATCCCGATTTGGTGGCTGAGTGGGGATTGTACCATCGGATGTCATGATGCTGTGGCGGATTCCTCTTGCTCCTCTCTAAACTGTGATTGGTTAGCGAACACTGAGCAGGCTAAAATTTATACTCCATTGTACTGAATGAAGAACCGTGCGCTGCTGGAAACTCTGCCCAGTTCATGAATCGCACCCTAGAAGTGGCACTACAACAATGTTCTGGCCCAACAAAGCTGTGACTGAATGATTTTAAATTCCAGTGGCATCGATATTCTGCACCATAGCCATACATTCATAAGTGACTAACTTCCGACTCACCATGAAATGCAGAAAATATATTCTGCTTGTATCTTGTGCGTAATTTAAATGTGCAGTAATTTACCCATGTATTAAAATGTTTGTATTGATGTTTTAACCCCACAGAGTGTGTGAGCGGATGTGATTTTGATAAAATCGGGGACTTCTGTGGCTGGGAGAACATTAAAGGGGGCTGGGAGCAATGGAGCGGTGGCACAGAAACTGAGAACACTGGCCCTGACGATGACTTCTCACGGCCTGGCTGTGAGTATCTTACAGCCTCATATCGCTAACAGCCTCCACTCGAGCTCCTGGCCTTGAAACCCATATCCAGTATAACGTGTCTTGATCACTGTGTTAGTGAATACAGCAGTGTGTGTGTGGATCACTGCGTTAGTGAATACAACAGTGTGTGTGTGGATCACTGTTAGTGAATACACCAAAGTGTGTTTGGATCACTGTGTTAGTGAATACAGCAGATTGTGTGTGGATCACTGTGTTAGTGAATACAGCAGTGTGTGTGTGGACCACTGTGTTAGTGAATACAGCAGTGTGTGTGGACCACTGTGTTAGTGAATACAGCAGTGTGTGTGGATCATTGTGTTAGTGAATACAGCCGAGTGTGTGTGGATCACTGTGTTAGTAAATACAGCAGTGTGTGCGTGGATCACTGTGTTAGTGAATACAGCAGTGTGTGTGTGGATCACTGTGTTAGTGAATACAGCAGTGTGTGTGTGGATCACTATATTAACTCTGCTGTGTGTAGTTGGGAGTTACCTGCTGCTGGCCTCTGAGGTCAACGACCCTGGAACGGCGTTGCTGCTGGAGAGTCCGGCTCTCCTCTCCTCTGGGTGCCTCGTCCTGAGCTTCCACTACTTCCTGTATGGGTCAGCAGAGAACATGGCCATCAACGTTTACATCAACAAAGGTACAGAGGCTTTTATCTCCACTACAGTTGTTAGGTTTTGCCAGTAGTTAACCTGTCATGATGTAATTGAAGATATGCACTTTGTTTTCATTTCAATTTGAATGAAAGGCCATATTGCCAACTAAGGGTTGCTTTAAAGCCAAGATTTAGTAGGCGTTGTGTCCAGATGAAACGGTAGTAACTAAGATAATTATCATTCGTTTCGCACATATTAAATGTTGCTGTACGCACTACTGCAAGTACATATGTATGCACAGACGATATCACATCACTGTCTTGAACACTTCAGTGTATATGTCAGCCAATGCGAACCTGGGAATGTATACATGAGTATGGTGGTTTTATTAAGGATGGGTTTTTTTTAACAGACATAATGGGTTGAATGGGGACGATGGTTTGAATGGGGATGATGGTTTTAATAGAGATGATGGTTTAATGACGATGTTGGTTTGAATGGGGATGATGGTTGTAATGGGGAAGATGGTTTTAATAGAGATGATGGTTTTAATGCGGATGATGGTTTTAATGGGGATGGTTTAAATAGAGATTATGGTGTGAATGGGGGTGATGGTTTTAATGGGGATGATGGTTTTAATGGAGATGGTTTTAATAGAAATTATGGCTTTTTCATAGGGATGGTTTGAATTGGGATAATGGTTTTAATGGAGATGGTTTTAATAGAGAGGATTGCTTTAATAGGGATGATGGTTTTAATTGGGATGATGTTTTTAATTGGGACGATGTTTTTAATGGAGTTGGTGGTTTTAATGGGGATGATGGTTTTAATGGGGATGATGGTTTTCTCTCCATGTAACTTTGTGTATTTGTGTGTCAGTTGCACACCCATGTGCTCCGCTCCCAGCCGTGTAACAAACCTTCTGTGTCACCCACATTGACCGCAGCCGTCAATGGACAACCCGTGTGGACTGTTCAGGGAAACCAGGGAGAACAGTGGATTTTAGCTCAAGTCATGTTCCCTGAGTCCGGAAATGTTCAAGTAAGAGAATCCCTTACATGCAGTCTAGTTCTGTATGTGTGTCTACTGTATTTGAATCACTGCCTATTATATATGTATGTGTGGGTTAGATTTGAGAGATGTGCAGTTGTATTTGGTGAGGTGCAGATTTGTAATACCAATTGACGAGGTGGGGGGGGGGGTCTCAACAACTGCGAAGATTACAACTCAATTAGAATGCACTTTTAATTGATTACGATTCTCCACTGTGTGCATGGTTATTCATTTGAACACTGCACCACCCTTTATTCAAATCAAGCGTGGGATGGTGTTGAACACTTTGGGTTGAATACAGCTGAATGAAATCAAACGTTGTGCAAACTCCTGTTTCATAAAAAAATTGTGCAATTAATTTAAAGTGTCTAAACATTCAGAAACCGTGTAAATGGTTTCTGGTTTTTGTGTTTAGTTTGTTGTCTTTCCCCTGTACCTCCGATTAGCACGGTTGGCTACGTAGTTCAACAAGCATGCAAACAAATGATGCACGCACGTTTTATTATTTCTTTATGTTTACATTTCATGAAACTGAACACTTTTGAAACTAACGTTGCGTTATTAAAGAGTTGTGTGCATTTTAAGAGATCTCGTGTCATACATCACAACTAAGTGCCAATATTTTCAACCGTATCAGTTGATTAAACAAATCATGATGCAACTTAGATTTTTTTAGTCCATGGGTATTAACCCACTTCATATATTTAAAAATTATATTACCTTCGCTCATGCATTAAATATGCGTTTGTGTCCCTGCGAGTTCCAATCATATTAATTGGAATTCTATGGACACTTCCTGGGCTGCACAGTTAGAAAATCCCCATTAATTAAATTGCTGATTCCTGCGTCTACTTTAAATAAAGGGGTGATTCTTGGGCTATTCCAATGGAGACAGGACAACCGCCATGGAGTTGAATGGGGATTCTTTGACAGCCTAGCAGTTGTTTAGAGAATCGCCACCAAATTTCATGCTCTGGATATTCCCCACAGAAAATATTATGAAAGTAATGATGCACGCATTAAATCGTGCATGTGAGAATCAACTGTTTATTTATATAACATATATGCTAATGTGTATATAGAGTCATTCATTATTTTAATCAAAGCGCGACCATGAATTGTAAATATTCGTATAGTTACTGTGGACAATTGTTAGATGCCTAGAAAATACCATAAATTCGCAATTCAATTGATGATCCCATTGGGCATCGTATTCCATCAAAGAGCCGCATCGCGATTGGGACCAGTCGCAGTGGGAATCGCCCGGCACTTGGTCCCTTGATGTTCCCACCAAAGCGTCGCATAAATACGAGTGGCTTCCACTCCAACAAACAACACGATCATTAAACGTGCACTAATAATACGTGACATTGCTTTGTATCTTTGTGCAGTTTGCCATCGAAGGAGTGCGTGGGGAGACACCTGAGAGCGATATTGCTGTGGACAGCGTCTGCGTCTCAGTCTGTGAGCCTACAGGTAAATATGAGGTTGTCGTAGTGGCAGTATTCATATAAAACCGGCCTAATTGACATGTGCATCCTAGTTTGAATTCCAGGATTACAGCACAGGACACATTGGTTGCGTGTCTCTAGATACATATTTATAGCTGTATTTGTGATGCCTCATCTTTTGATACATCACTGTTGGTAATGTAGAAAAAAGGATTTCCTATCTAAATGTAGGCCTTGTATTTGTTTCTGCACTCTTTTGGTCATCGATGCACACACGGACCACCTCTACAAACGCAAGAGATAATGTTTCACCTGCATTTCCCCCGCACCTCCGATTAGCACGGTTGGCTACATACGGTGGAAAAGTTCTACATACATAGATTACATCATGGGACCTCCTTTGCCAGTACCAAAATATACTAATAGGGGTTTTCCCCTTTTTTCTGGCAACAAAACTGATACCTTTTGCAAGGAATCATGCTTACATTAACCACAATACTTGCAGTCAAATGCAAACAAAAAACAATACTCTGATAATTTATGCATTGTCTTTGAAACTGATTGGTCCACACCAGACATCTTTCTTTAGAGCCTCGTCTCATATGGCGTCATTTGGTCGAACACCACATGAGACGAGGCTCTAAAGAAAGCTGTCTCTGGTGTGGACCAATCAATTTCAAAGACAATGCATAAATTATCAGAGTATTGTTTTTTGTTTGCATTTGACTGCAAGTATTGTGGTTAATGTAAGCATGATTCCTTGCAAAATGTATCAGTTTTGTTGCCAGAAACAAGGGGAAAACCCCTATTAGTATACATAGATTAATCACGATGCAAAATATGTCACTCTACTCCGAAAACCCCTCATTATTCCGATTACAGCCATATCCTGAGTGGTTGTGTGTAAAGTTAAATTGTAACATTTTCAGAGGCTACTCATACAATTATAAACTGGCAATTTCCCTGTGAATGAGCATGCTTATGTCCTGTATTGGAGATGTGTTTGCTCACACAGTGGTATTAGTTCTACCATGGCACTGCAGGCTCACGATTGGCAAAAGGCTCTTATGATGTGCTCTACAAATGGCCTTGCTTTAAAGTGGCCTCGGCAGTTTAGTACAACTGCATACTGTGCACGACACAACCAAAGCATGCAATTGCCATCTCACAGCGATTCGGCACATCCGCCCCATGCCCTCAATTCCCGCAGATAACACCCTCGCCTGCTGTATCATAGGTTCCCATCACAATTGCTGCAATGCCCTCTACTCACTTGGGCATCCGCCAAGAGCATCAACAAATTACAAATACTACGAGACGATCTGCTGTGCCCTGCCCTCGGCATGGGGAGTGGTGGCACAGATGTCTCTACTTTGCTAAAAATCTGCACGGTTCAAGCAAAAGGTGGCGTCCCTCTGTCACCAGTCACCGTGCCCTTTGCGTGGCCTGCTGTCAGACCCAGCGTCACTGCTCACTCTGCAGCAGCTCCCTCCATCTGTAACTCTACCCCCTTCACATACGAAGCAGCATCCAGTCTCATCCCACCTTCTAGAAGCACCTGAAGACACATTCTTGGCGAGCTTCTTGAGCTTCCTGGGGAGCTCCGAGCGAGGCTGCGAGCTTCCCGAGTCGCGCACGGTCGTGACATTTGAGCGCGTTAATAGTGGACTATTATTATGTTTCATCATAGCAGCATTGATATTGATGAAACACTGTACATAACACAGTAGATAATAAGTAATATTTAAACATATTTTAAAAAAACACGCTTTAATTAAATGTACCGGACTAGTGATGGCAGCACTCCAGGAAGTGGCCCCGAGGCTTGCCACAAAGTAAGGGGCCGCGGTGATTTACAGGCAACGTGAGTTGAGCGTGGACAATTAGCCCCAAGCCGAAACATAAGATATAAAAAGAAAGTTTAAAAAATATTTATTTAGATTTTTAATGATAGAATATAGTTTTGTCATCAGTATGACATACGTATACCAAGTTTGCAGTCGATAGCACATTGGGAACTATGTAAAATTTGAGTTACAAGATTTGAGGATACGACAACAGAGTAAGTTTATAAAAAAGCGTGTTAAATAATGTTTTAAAGTATATGTTTTTTATTTTTTTGTAATGATATAATATAGTATTGTCATCAATATGACATACGTATACCAAGTTTGCAGTCGATACGACATTGGGAACTATGTAAAATTTGAGTTACAAGATTTGAGGATACAACAGAGTGAGTTAAATAAATATCTAAAGGCGTGTAAATAATAAAAGAGTGCTCTCATGAATGAATGTCGGATGCATCGGTTGACGAGTAATGTCCCATTGTCTTTATTTCATGAACCGAAGCTCCAACAACGCCGGCACCAACGCCACCACCTCCAAGTGAGAATTTGCAGTGGAGTGTGCGGTTCGTCAGGGATGACCTAAACACCTCATCGGTTTGAGGCTTTGTGCTGTACTGGTTTCCAGTGTCAAGTCGCTATATTTATATTTCTACAACGTTTCATCACTGCTGTGTATTACAGTATTGTGGTGGGACAGTGATCAGCGCATTGCACTATGAACAGGGGTCACCTCGGTTTGATTCCTGACCACGGCTAATATCAGTGGCGAGTGATGCTTGAACTGGTCCTGCCCCCACAACCCCCCTCCCCACCTTCACCAATCGGCACTGACCAGCGTGGTGAAATATGGTTAAACCCACATTACTAGTTCAAGTTCATTCAAGTTCATTTCACTAACATGGCCTGCGGGAGGCCTTCATCCAGCCGTGCATTGATAAAGGGCAAGTTATGTTTTTTTAAATATTTATCCATGCAACCTTATACATCCGCGGCTCCGATTAACAAAATTATCGACGTACAGTGTGAAAGAAGTTCAACATACGCACATACATACTATTGTGGCTTTATTGATGTTGCACAGTGCCATGTCACCCGAGAGACATGACTGAGACGTGATGTGCACGGTCATACCATCCCGGCCATCATACTACAGTAGTATCATAACAGATGTCATGAACTAAGTATTATGAGTAATAGCAGTATTTAATTGTAAAAATATCTTTTTGATATATCCAGTGATAAAAAAGTCAAATTTAAATCTGAAAACTTTTGACCCACATAATTGGACGGAAAAATGGAAAACTTTCATATTTTTTAAACTTAGGCATACAATGTTTGAAAAAAGTTTTAAGTGTTCTATGGTACAGAGTATAATTGACATCAGTTTAAATATAAAATATATACATATTTCTTTCACATCCCAAATTTTGGAGTGTACTCAAATGTTTAACTATTTTTTTTTTCTCATGGAAGTCTTATGTAGAGGTTTTAAAGGTGCTGAATCCAAATAGGTGTCATATTTTAATAATTTACATGTTCATATACTTCTGGGAAAAGTGCGATGTTAAAGCTGATGGAAAGCCAGCAAAGCCTGCTGCCAATTACCAGCATATATGTACGTGCTGGTAACATTTACCACCATCACTTGTATTATGCAATGATGTTCGTAACTTTCAGAACCAGGACACTGCAGCATTTGCGGAGACCCTCATTACTTGACATTTGACGGGGTCGCCCACGACTTCATGGGCACGTGCACCTACACCGCGTCCATCCCGTGCAACCAGAGCTCCACCCTGCCCCACTTCAACGTGGAGACGACCAACGAGCACCGGGGCGGCAGCACGGCCGTGTCTTACGTCAAGGAGGTCCACGTGGAGGTCTACGGCCACAGAATCACCTTGGGCCAAGGGCGCCGGGTGCTGGTGAGGCCTGCGCTTGCACAGTGGCTCTTGTTTTTACATTGCAGGACCGAGACCCTCCAAGCTAGCTGGTCCCGCTCAGCAGGTGCCAGTTTGTTGCTGCGCTGTAAAACCCAAGGCTGTGACGTCACACACACAATGAACGTGACGCTTGCAGATGATGCTGTGACGCCGTGTCCTATGTCCTCACGTCACGCATTTAAATGTAATTGCGGTAGAATATCATATCGACTGTGTCAATTGTGTCACCTCTGTTGTGCAGGTGGATGGGCTGCGTTTGACTCCTCCGTTCTTCATTTCGGGGGTGTACATCCAACTGAGTGGATCCTACGTTGTGCTCGAGACCGATTTCAATCTGGTTGTTCGGTTTGATGGGAACCACCATGTAGAGATAGTCGTGCCTGGAGAATACACGGGGGAACTGTGCGGCATCTGCGGTGAGTTGATCTGCTGAGAGAAGTGACACAATAAGCAACTGACTTTAAATTGTAGAATTCATAAAATATCAATGTTATTGCAGTTGACAGAATATGCAAAGAATTCAGCCAAAGAGGAGCAGCAGTGAGGACCATTGAGCATTATCAGCCACGAATTCTAACAAAAATGGAAAAGTTAAATAGGCATTTCATCGAACAAGTGCCGTTTTTCACGTAAACCATCTGAATTGCAACTACTAATGGAACGATTTGTGTTGTTTTACAGGGAACTTTAATGGAGATGGCTCAGATGACAATTTGAAGCCGGATGGGTCAGCAGCGGCCTCATCAAGCGAGCTGGGAAACAGCTGGAGAGTGTTCAACAGTTCTGATGATGAGTGAGGATCCGTTCTTCTGAATTATCTCCATGCGTGTCTGCTCATTACAACAGTGCAATTGCAAAAGCCTCTAGATAATACACGTGGACGGCATTGGTATTAAAAGCCATTGGAGCTCCAAATAGACAAGAAATGTGAAACATGAGTCCCAAGCTCACATTAGATCTGACTGCTGTACCACTGATGCTGTATTTGTGCCAGCTGTTTGGGCTACAGTGAGTTATCTTCATGATGATGATGGTAATGTGATTGTTTCTGGTGATGTTTTCTGTTTGAAACTCGTTGACGTTAACCTGCGTGTCGTTTGTTGACAGTTGCCAAGATGATACCGGGGAAATACCTCCATGTGATGAGAATGACAAGAACCTGTATGAATCGGATGCGTTCTGTGGCATAATCACTGACCCTGAGGGTAAGTATTGCACAGTGCACAAACCATTGCACCGCTGCTTCATCAAATAATGGAATACGGTAATAGTTCGTTATTCTTAAAAGCCACTTGTGTTAAAGAGGAGTGATGTGCCAATACCGCTAACACTGATATCGTATTTCTCGCTGCGAGCAGGAGCTTTCAAGGAGTGCCACGCGGTTCTGCCTCCACAAGGCCTCTTCGACAACTGCGTGTTCGACCTGTGTGCCACGGATGGGGACCACGGCTCGCTGTGCCAGGCCCTGCAGGCCTACGCCGACCAGTGCGCCCAAGCTGGGGTCATCGTCACCTGGAGGAACAACACCTTCTGCCGTGAGTGCACCGCCCGCTGTGATGTCACCGCCACGCTGATTGCCCAGCCATGAAATTTGATTCTGATGTGATTTCATGGACGTGTCATTGTAAGTATGCTAATCTATGGTGGCCTAAATAAACGATGCAGTTTTAATATAATAAGTGCAATGCAATCCTAACTCGGGCTGTCCATAGCATCAGACGCATTGTTAATAGTGAGGGTGTATTAACCATACTTGGTTCACTTTACGTTGAACGCTACAGATTCCCTGACATTAAGCAGAGTAGGCCGTTGTGTGCTGATGTCGTGGTCCAAACTTGGCAACTTTGTAAAATTAGCTGCCAATTACTCAATCTGGATGACACATAACAACATTGCCCCTTACTGGGAGACTAATTCCCATGACGGGCTGGTGCTCAGTCACTTTGTGCTACACAGAGACAGCTACCAATATCCGGTCCCCTCCAAATGTTTGAGATAACATGTGATTGAAGGTGTTTTGAGTTTCTGAAGTATTTAAGCACCATTGGAAATCAAAGATTATTAAAGATTATTGTTGTGTGTGGCACCCACAGCATTCCCGTGTGAACCTGGCAGCCACTATGAGAGCTGTGCCCCACCGTGCCCGGCCACCTGCAGCAACGCAAATCCCCCGGGTGGCTGCAACCAGCAATGTGCGGAGGGCTGTGTCTGTGACGACGGCTTTGTCCTCTCTGGGGACAAGTGTGTCCCCACAGAGCAGTGCGGTTGCCTGGATAACAATGGCCACTACCATCCGGTAAGCTAAGAAAAATTACAAAGAAAAAGTTTACAGTTCTGCAAATGTAGATTTATATTATATTCCTGTGTTCTATACTGCCCAACAAGTTAAAAGTCACAGTCATAAGAGTTCTGGTGATGTCACTGCAACGTCACTCCCATATTTTATAATACAGCATCACTGAAGTGACGGCCCAGTAATATTCCTGACTGAAAATGTAAGTGAAAATCTCACTTATTACTGAGATCTCAAATTAATTTGGGAATAAGCAATATGAGATGTTTGCATTCTTTATTTGTCATCTTTATTAAATCGTATTTCAAGTATTTTTATTACAAATTTTATTTGTAAATTTTAATACACCCTACTACACGTTCTGTTTGACCATTTCTTCTCATTCCCAAGCATTGATGAGTACAGGTTTCTTTTTGTGCAAATTCCTGAAATCTTAAAGCAACCCATTTAACCTACTGTAAACAGGCAATGGGTTCAGGCATTGGATCTAATCAAAATATAAAAAATAGATATGTATTAAAATATATATTTATATAAAGAAGGCCTTTTTCCATGCTGTGTAAATCACCGTGTCAAGCAAGGAGATTGTTTAACCACTCTTCATCGCCCTGCTCCGCGAGAACTGGTGAAAATGGGCTGAGGACTGGTTCAGAGATTACTTTATGACAGTGTGGTCTGCGTTAGAGAGTGCAATGGAGGTAACGCGTGCGTGTTGTGTGTCTCAGATCGGGGAGAGCTGGTTTGAGTGGCAGGACTGCAGCCAGCGCTGCATCTGTGTCAATCCTGGCAATGTGAACTGTGGGGCCTGGGTCTGTGAGGACGACGAGACCTGCGGTGTGGAGGACGGCATCCTGGGCTGCCATGGCTCAGGTGAACCACTCACTGCAGTTTGCGAAATCTGCTTTTTTCAAAAGTTCCATCGTAGTTGCGCTCTTCATATTCATGTTTCACACCATGTCTCTCTGGAGGCCACGTTGTCATCAACAACTCTTTGGAGCTCGGGCTTGTTCGGTCCTTGGTCCTCAGATCTGGAACACTCTGCCCTAAGGCCTCCGCATGACCTCGGAGATTCTTCCTTTGAGAAATAGTTTTTGTCATTAAGCAGGATTGGTGCAGGGAGACACTTTAAAGAATCTAATTTAGTTTTGTCAGATGCACTTGGTTTCTAATCTGTTCTCTTTTTTCATTGGCGTCGAAACAGGGCCAACAGTGCCACCAACAACCCCGCCAAAACGTAAGAAAGTTGCATCATGAGCATATTAACTAAATACATCGCACTACATTAACACATCAAACACTACGCTAACACATCCCACACACTACAAGGGGATGACATGGTGCAGTGAATATCACATTTCAATTTGGACCCAGTGACATAAGTAAAATTCCTGCCCATGACTAACTTCAATGGCAATTCATATTTGAACCAATTCTGGGCCCACACTTCACCAACCCCCAGTGACCAGCGTAGTTAAGTTTAATAAAAAAAAAACTCCGTATGATCGACATGGTGTGGGGAGACTTTCATTCATGAATGGATTGACAAAATGTCTTGTAAACTATTCACCGTATTGTGTATTTACAATTTGAGGTTGACTTCGAAGCGTTAAATGGCAAAGAGCACCCCCCACTCGTTTAATAAATTATACACTTTAACTCTGATTATAAAAACACATGGATATTCACGGGTGCATATTTTTTCAAAGCTTAATGTTTACAGGCCAAAGGCAAAAATGTCTCAAAAATAATTTCCGGTTAATTCGAAACTAATCCTTTTCTCTTTATTCAGCGCCTGGCGACTGCGTGATCACTGGAGACCCTCACTACATCACTTTCGACAAGACGACGCACCACTTCATGGGCGAGTGCAGCTACACGGCAGCCATCCCGTGCAACCAGAGCTCCACCCTGCCCCACTTCAACGTGGAGACAACAAATGAGTTCCGGGGCGGCAGCACGGCCGTGTCTTACGTCAAGGAGGTCCACGTGGATGTCTACGGCCACAGGTTCACCTTGGCCAAAGGACGCCGGGTGCTGGTGAGGGTTTCACTTCACACTTGAATTGTTATTTGCACAGAGCCGGTGCGTGCCATCCAGGAGCCATCACTACGAGGCACAACACTGTCTCTTAGAGTGATATCTCAATAACCATATTGTTCCTCATCGTGATTTATTCATTGTATTGTCCTAAAGCGACTTCCCTTTTAAACAAGTTTTACTCCGCATTTAACAATGTCCACGGCGTCGCCTGATGCTTGAAAGATGCTACCTTCGCTTGTTCCACCTTTATGTTTGTGTCTTGTGTTGTTGAAATGATGAACGCAGCCGTGGAGTGTCGCCACATTTTTCTCACTCGTGTGTGAATAAACGAATATATATGTATAACTTGATATTTGGAAATTTTATTGGGAAGTTAGGAATTGACCTCCTAAAGAAAGACGTAAAATACGTGAATATTCAAGCGATGTTTACGCCATAATTCCTCGAAGGAAATATGCTGATGTTACAAAAAATAGTGGATAAAATATGCCTAATAAACAATATATTTAGTTTACGATAATGCACTGTGCATTATTGATCCTCCTGCGAGGTCTCTACATAAAATGCTCTGTGTTTTGTTTACAGGTGGATGGGCTGCGCGTGACTCCTCCATTCTTCATGTCCGGGGTGTACATCCAACTGAGTGGATCCTACGTTGTGCTCGAGACCAATTTCAATCTGGTTGTTCGGTTTGATGGGAACCACCATGTGGAGATAGTCGTGCCTGGAGAATACGCGGGGCAACTGTGCGGAATCTGCGGTGAGTTGATCTCCTGGGAGAATAACACAATAAGCAGCTGACTGGACAATGTAGAATAAAAAACATGTCCTTGTTGTTGACACGGGGGTTACAGTTAGGAGAGTATGAACAGGGCCTTTTATAAGCGTGGCGAATGGACGAATGCATGGATGTCGACAGCGCAGCTGAGCAAGGACAACATAACAGCCTGGAGAGGCAGCTGTTCGCAGCGCAGATGAGGAGTTAGCCAAGTGAGGAAACCTCATATGGTGACTACGAGAGAGAGAAACGTGACTGCAGTGGTAGCATACAAGCACTGAAGTCGAGTTGGAAAAATGTACTTCTGTTGTGGGGAGCAATTCTAAAAGAGAAAAAATGTCAGCTACCTGTCCATTTTGCACGTATTAATTGGAAAACACTGCAGGCTTAATTTTCAACCGTAGAACATTATCAGCCATACATTCCAACTAAAATGAAATCGTTAATAGGCATTCCATTAAAAAGTGATGTTTTGCATGTAAACCATCTAGATTGCAAATACAATAATGGAACGATTTGTGTTGTTTTACAGGGAACTTTAATGGAGATGGTTCAGATGACAATCTGAAGCCGGATGGGTCAGCAGCGGCCTCATCAAGCGAGCTGGGAAACAGCTGGAGAGTGTTCAACAGTTCTGATGATGAGTGAGAATCCGTTCTTCCCAATTATTTCTATGCACTTCTGCTAATTACAACAGTGCCATTGCAAAAGCCTCTGGATAATACACATGGAAGACATTGGTATTGACAGCCATTCGAGCTCGAGATAGATAAGAAGTGGCAAACATGAGCCCCATGCTGACATTAGATCTGACTGTTGTGCCACTGATGTTGTATTTGTGTCAGCTGTTTGGGCTACATTGAGTTATCTTCATGATGATGATGATGATTAATGACGACTGTGATTATGTTACCAGTGATGTTTTCTCTGTCAAACTCGGTGATGGTAACCTGCGCGTCTGTTTGTTGACAGTTGCCAAGATGATACCGGGGAAATACCTCCATGTGATGAGAATGACAAGAACCTGTATGAATCGGATACGTTCTGTGGAATAATCACTGACCCTGAGGGTGGGTATTGCTCTCCATTAAGTTCAGCTGTTAACTCGTAACTGTGCATGATAATGGACTTCATTATATTGCAGACATTGTGGCATTTCCACTCCATGGAGCTATACCCACAACAAGTTAACCTGTGTGATGGGCATTCAATTCTAGTTGGCATAATGTTTTTATTATTATTATCACTTTAAAAAATATAGAGGCTAAGACATTTTTATTACACGTATTCTTTTTCAAAACTCTTTCGCTATCCATGATGACATTGTTTCTACAGATAATTAGCGTTCAAATTTGTGTTGCTATTAATGGGAGCACAGTGCACAAACCATTTCACCGTTGCTGCATCAAGAGAAGTGATGTGCCGATGCCGCTAACACTGACATCGTGTTTCTCGCTTCAATCAGGAGCTTTCAAAGAGTGCCACGCGGTGCTGCCTCCACAAGTCTTCTTCGACAACTGCGTGTTCGACCTGTGTGCCACGGACGGGGACCACGGCTCGTTGTGCCAGGCCCTGCAGGCCTACGCCGACCAGTGCGCCCAAGCTGGGGTCATCGTCACGTGGAGGAACAACACCTTCTGCCGTGAGTGCAGCACCTGCTGTGATGTCACCACCACACTGATTGCCCAGCCATTAAATTTGATTGTGATTTGATGGACATGTGATGGTAAATCTGCTAATCTATAGATGCCTAGATACACCACGCAATTTTGATATAATAAGTGAAATTCAAACCTAACTAGGGTTCTCCATTGCATGACAGACGCATTGTTAATAGTGCGGGTGTATTATCCATGAATACTCACCATCTGCTTTACATTGGATGCTACAGATTGCCTGACATTTTAAACAAAGTGGCCTTTTGTGTGATGGTGTTGTTGAAATTTGCTAAATGTCTAAAATGATCTGCCAATTTCTCGATCTGGATTACAAATAACAACATTGCTCTTACTGGCAGACTAATTCCGATGACAAGCTGGTGCTCAGTCACCTCGTGCTGCCCAGAGTCAGATGCCAATATCCAGCTACATTTGAATATTTACGCGATCTAACCCAAAAAAAACCTGTTATGGGTTATATTGGTCACGAAAGCCTATATGTAAAACCGCATTTTGAATGTTTGAGGTAATATGTGGCTCAATGTGTTTTAAGTGTTTGAAGTATTTAAGCACCATTTTAATTCGAAGATTATTAAAGATGATTGTTGTGTGTGGCACCCACAGCATTCCTGTGTGAACCTGGCAGCCACTATGAGAGCTGTGCCCCACCGTGCCCGGCCACCTGCAGCAACGCAAATCCCCCGGGTGGCTGCAACCAGCACTGTGCGGAGGGCTGTGTCTGTGACGACGGCTTTGTCCTCTCTGGGGACAAGTGTGTCCCCACAGAGCAGTGCGGTTGCCTGGATAACAATGGCCACTACCATCCGGTGAGCTTAGAAAAATTACAAAGAAAAAGTTTACAGTTCTGCACATGTCGATTTATATTATATTTCTGTGTTCTATACTGCCCAACAAGTTAAAAGTCACAGTCATAAGAGTTCTGGTGATGTCACTGCACCGTCACTCCCATATTTTATAATACAGCATCACTGAAGTGACGGCCCAGTAATATTCCTGACTGAAAATGTAAGTGAAAATCTCACTTATTACTGAGATCTCAAATTAATTTGGGAATAAGCAATATGAGATGTTTGCATTCTTTATTTGTCATCTTTATTTAATTGTATTTCAAGTCTTTTTATTACAAATTTTATTTGTAAATTTTAATACACCCTACTACACGTTTTGTTTGACCATTTCTTCTCTTTCCCAAGCATTGATGAATACAGGTATCTTTTTGTGCAAATTCCTGAAATCTTAAAGCAACCCATTTAACCTACTGTAAACAGGCAATGGGTTCAGGCATTGGATCTAATCAAAATATAAAAAATAGATATGTATTAAAATATATATTTATATAAAGAAGGCCTTTTCCATGCTGTGTATATCACCGTGTCAAGCATGGAGATTGTTTAACCACTCTTCATCGCACTGCTGCACGACAGCTGGTGAAAATGGGCTGAGGACTGGTTCAGAGATTACTTTATGACAGTGTGGTCTGCGTTAGAGAGTGCAATGGAGGTAACGCGTGCGTGTTGTGTGTCTCAGATCGGGGAGAGCTGGTTTGAGTCGCAGGACTGCAGCCAGCGCTGCATCTGTGTCAATCCTGGCAATGTGAACTGTGGGGCCTGGGTCTGTGAGGACGACGAGACCTGCGGTGTGGAGGACGGCATCCTGGGCTGCCATGGCTCAGGTGAACCACTCACTGCAGTTTGCGAATTCTGCTTTTTTCAAAAGTTCCATCGTAGTTGCGCTCTTCATATTCATGTTTCACAGCGTGTCTCTCTGGAGGCCACGTTGTCATCAACAACTCTTTGGAGCTCGGGCTTGTTCGGTCCTTGGTCCTCAGATCTGGAACACTCTGCCCTAAGGCCTCCGCGTGACCTCGGAGATTCTTCCCTTTAGAAATAGTTTTTGTCATTAAGCAGGATTGAATCTAATTTAGTTTTGTCAGATGCACTTGGTACTAATCTGTTCTCTTTTTTCATTGGCGTCGAAACAGGGCCAACAGTGCCACCAACAACCCCGCCAAAACGTAAGAAAGTTGCATCATGAGCATGTTAACTAAATACATCACACTACATTAACACATCAAACACTACGCTAACATATCCCACACACTACAAGGGGATGACATGGTGCAGTGAATATCACATTTCAATTTGGACCCAGTGACATAAGTAAAATTCCTGCCCATGACTAACTTCAATGGCCATTCATATTTGAACCAATCCTGGGCCCACACTTCACCAACCCCCAGTGACCAGTGTAGTTAAGTTTAATAAAAAAAAAACTCCGTATGATCGACATGGTGTGGGTAGACTTTCATTCGTGAATGGATTGACAAAATGTCTTGTAAACTATTCACCGTATTGTGTATTTACAATTTGAGGTTGACTTCGAAGCGTTAAATGGCAAAGAGCACCCCCCACTCGTTTAAGAAGTTATACACTTCAACTCTGATTATAAAAACACGTGGATATTCACGGGTGCATATTTTTTCAAAGCTTAATGTTTACAGGCCAAAGGCAAAAATGTCTCAAAAATAATTTCCGGTTAATTCGAAACTAATTCTTTTCTCTTTATTCAGCGCCTGGCGACTGCGTGATCACTGGAGACCCTCACTACATCACTTTCGACAAGACGACGCACCACTTCATGGGCGAGTGCAGCTACACGGCAGCCATCCCGTGCAACCAGAGCTCCACCCTGCCCCACTTCAACGTGGAGACAACAAATGAGTTCCGGGGCGGCAGCACGGCCGTGTCTTACGTCAAGGAGGTCCACGTGGATGTCTACGGCCACAGGTTCACCTTGGCCAAAGGACGCCGGGTGCTGGTGAGGGTTTCACTTCACACTTGAATTGTTATTTGCACAGAGCCGGTGCGTGCCATCCAGGAGCCATCACTACGAGGCACAACACTGTCTCTTAGAGTGATATCTCAATAACCATATTGTTCCTCATCGTGATTTATTCATTGTATTATCCTGAAGCGACTTCCTTTTTAAACAAGTTTAACAATGTCCACGGCGTCGCCTGATGCTTGAAAGATGCTACCTTCTCTTTTTCCCCCTTTATGTTTGTGTCTTGTATTGTTGAAATGATGTACGCAGCTGTGGCGTGTCGCCTCATTTTTCTCACTCGTGTGTGAATAAACGAATATATATGTATAACTTGATATTTGGAAATTTTATTGGGGAGTTAGGAATTGACCTCCTAGAGAAAGACGTAAAATACGTGAATATTCAATCGATGTTTATGCCATAATTCCTCGAAGGAAATATGCTGATGTTACAAAAAATAGTGGATAAAATATGCCTAATAAACAATATATTTAGTTTACGATAATGCACTGTGCATTATTGATCCTCCTGCGAGGTCTCTACATAAAATGCTCTGTGTTTTGTTTACAGGTGGATGGGCTGCGCGTGACTCCTCCGTTCTTCATGTCCGGGGTGTACATCCAACTGAGTGGATCCTACGTTGTGCTCGAGACCAATTTCAATCTGGTTGTTCGGTTTGATGGGAACCACCATGTGGAGATAGTCGTGCCTGGAGAATACGCGGGGCAACTGTGCGGAATCTGCGGTGAGTTGATCTCCTGGGAGAATAACACAATAAGCAGCTGACTGGACAATGTAGAATAAAAAACATGTAATTGTTGTTGACACGGGGGTTACAGTTAGGAGAGTATGAACAGGGCCTTTTATAAGCGTGGCGAATGGACGAATGCATGGATGTCGACAGCGCAGCTGAGCAAGGACAACATAACAGCCTGGAGAGGCAGCTGTTCGCAGCACAGATCAGGAGTTAGCCAAGTGAGGAAACCTCATATGGTGACTACGAGAGAGAGAAACGTGACTGCAGTGGTAGCATACAAGCACTGAAGTCGAGTTGGAAAAATTTACTTTTGTTGTGGGGAGCAATTCTAAAAGAGAAAAAATGTCAGCTACCTGTCCATTTATTCTTCTTTGGTTCTTTCGGTGAAGTGACGTATAAAGATAAAATAATAAATTAAATAATAGCATACTACGACGTTTCGATTGCAACACAAGCAATCATCATCAGGTATAAAAAAATAGCAATAAAAATCTAACCATAAAACTATAGACAGACATATAAGCAGAAAGACATCATTAAGATACACAGAGAGAGAACACGTATCGTCACAAAGAGAGAGGTCGTCTCTGTGACGGGGCCTTATTTATAGAGAGGGAAAACACTGCAGGCTTCATTTTCAACCATAGAGCATTATCAGCCATACATTCCAACTAAAATGAAATCGTTAATAGGCATTCCATTAAAAAGTGATGTTTTGCATGTAAACCATCTAGATTGCAAATACAATAATGGAACGATTTGTGTTGTTTTACAGGGAACTTTAATGGAGATGGTTCAGATGACAATCTGAAGCCGGATGGGTCAGCAGCGGCCTCATCAAGCGAGCTGGGAAACAGCTGGAGAGTGTTCAACAGTTCTGATGATGAGTGAGAATCCGTTCTTCTCAATTATTTCCATGCACTTCTGCTAATTACAACAGTGCCATTGCAAAAGCCTCTGGATAATACACATGGAAGACATTGGTATTGACAGCCATTCGAGCTCGAGATAGATAAGAAGTGGCAAACATGAGCCCCATGCTGACATTAGATCTGACTGTTGTGCCACTGATGTTGTATTTGTGTCAGCTGTTTGGGCTACATTGAGTTATCTTCATGATGATGATGATGATGATTAATGACGACTGTGATTATGTTACCAGTGATGTTTTCTCTGTCAAACTCGGTGATGGTAACCTGCGCGTCTGTTTGTTGACAGTTGCCAAGATGATACCGGGGAAATACCTCCATGTGATGAGAATGACAAGAACCTGTATGAATCGGATACGTTCTGTGGAATAATCACTGACCCTGAGGGTGGGTATTGCTCTCCATTAAGTTCAGCTGTTAACTCGTAACTGTGCATGATAATGGACTTCATTATATTGCAGACATTGTGGCATTTCCACTCCATGGAGCTATACCCACAACAAGTTAACCTGTGTGATGGGCATTCAATTCTAGTTGGCATAATGTTTTTATTATTATTATCACTTTAAAAAATATAGAGGCTAAGACATTTTTATTACACGTATTCTTTTTCAAAACTCTTTCGCTATCCATGATGACATTGTTTCTACAGATAATTAGCGTTCAAAGTTGTGTTGCTATTAATGGGAGCACAGTGCACAAACCATTTCACCGTTGCTGCATCAAGAGGAGTGATGTGCCGATGCCGCTAACACTGACATCGTGTTTCTCGCTTCAATCAGGAGCTTTCAAAGAGTGCCACGCGGTGCTGCCTCCACAAGTCTTCTTCGACAACTGCGTGTTCGACCTGTGTGCCACGGACGGGGACCACGGCTCGTTGTGCCAGGCCCTGCAGGCCTACGCCGACCAGTGCGCCCAAGCTGGGGTCATCGTCACGTGGAGGAACAACACCTTCTGCCGTGAGTGCAGCGCCCGCTGTGATGTCACCGCCACACTGATTGCCCAGCCATTAAATTTGATTGTGATTTGATGGACATGTGATCGTAATTCTGCTAATCTATAGATGCCTAGATACACCACGCAATTTTGATATAATAAGTGAAATTCAAACCTAACTAGGGTTCTGCATTGCATGACAGACGCATTGTTAATAGTGCGGGTGTATTATCCATGAATACTCACCATCTGCTTTACATTGGATGCTACAGATTCCCTGACATTTTAAACAAAAGTGGCCTTTTGTGTGATGGTGTTGTTGAAATTTGCTAAATGTTTAAAATGATCTGCCAATTTCTCGATCTGGATTACAAATAACAACATTGCTTCTACTGGCAGACTAATTCCGATGACAAGCTGGTGCTCAGTCACCTCGTGCTGCCCAGAGTCAGCTGCCAATATCCAGCTACATTTGAATATTTACGCGATCGAACCCAAAAAAAACCTGTTATGGATTATATTGGTCACGAAAGCCTATATGTAAAACGGCATTTTGAATGTTTGAGGTAATATGTGGCTCAATGTGTTTTAAGTGTTTGAAGTATTTAAGCACCATTTGAATTCGAAGATTATTAAAGATTATTGTTGTGTGTGGCACCCACAGCATTCCTGTGTGAACCTGGCAGCCACTATGAGAGCTGTGCCCCACCGTGCCCGGCCACCTGCAGCAACGCAAATCCCCCGGGTGGCTGCAACCAGCACTGTGCGGAGGGCTGTGTCTGTGACGACGGCTTTGTCCTCTCTGGGGACAAGTGTGTCCCCACAGAGCAGTGCGGTTGCCTGGATAACAATGGCCACTACCATCCGGTGAGCTAAGAAAAATTACAAAGAAAAAGTTTACAGTTCTGCACATGTCGATTTATATTATATTTCTGTGTTCTATACTGCCCAACAAGTTAAAAGTCACAGTCATAAGAGTTCTGGTGATGTCACTGCACCGTCACTCCCATATTTTATAATACAACATCACTGAAGTGACGGCCCAGTAATATTCCTGACTGAAAATGTAAGTGAAAATCTCACTTATTACTGAGATCTCAAATTAATTTGGGAATAAGCAATATGAGATGTTTGCATTCTTTATTTGTCATCTTTATTTAATTGTATTTCAAGTATTTTTATTACAAATTTTATTTGTAAATTGTAATACACCCTAATACACGTTCTGTTTGACCATTTCATCTCTTTCCCAAGCATTGATGAGTACAGGTATCTTTTTGTGCAAATTCCTGAAATCTTAAAGCAACCCATTTAACCTACTGTAAACAGGCAATGGGTTCAGGCATGGATCTAATCCAAATATAAAACATAGATATGTATTAAAATATATATTTATATAAAGAAGGCCTTTTCCATGCTGTGTATATCACCGTGTCAAGCATGGAGATTGTTTAACCACTCTTCATCGCACTGCTGCACGACAGCTGGTGAAAATGGGCTGAGGACTGGTTCAGAGATTACTTTATGACAGTGTGGTCTGCGTTAGAGAGTGCAATGGAGGTAACGCGTGCGTGTTGTGTGTCTCAGATCGGGGAGAGCTGGTTTGAGTCGCAGGACTGCAGCCAGCGCTGCATCTGTGTCAATCCTGGCAATGTGAACTGTGGGGCCTGGGTCTGTGAGGACGACGAGACCTGCGGTGTGGAGGACGGCATCCTGGGCTGCCATGGCTCAGGTGAACCACTCACTGCAGTTTGCGAATTCTGCTTTTTTCAAAAGTTCCATCGTAGTTGCGCTCTTCATATTCATGTTTCACACCGTGTCTCTCTGGAGGCCACGTTGTCATCAACAACTCTTTGGAGCTCGGGCTTGTTCGGTCCTTGATCCTCAGATCTGGAACACTCTGCCCTAAGGCCTCCGCGTGACCTCGGAGATTCTTCCTTTTAGAAATAGTTTTTGTCATTAAGCAGGATTGGTACAGGGAGACACTTTAAAGAATCTAATTTAGTTTTGTCAGATGCACTTGGTTTCTAATCTGTTCTCTTTTTTCATTGGCGTCGAAACAGGGCCAACAGTGCCACCAACAACCCCGCCAAAACGTAAGAAAGTTGCATCATGAGCATGTTAACTAAATACATCGCACTACATTAACACATCAAACACTACGCTAACACATCCCACACACTACAAGGGGATGACATGTTGCAGTGAATTTCACATTTCAATTTGGACCCAGTGACATAAGTAAAATTCCTGCCCATGACTAACTTCAATGGCAATTCATATTTGAACCAATCCTGGGCCCACACTTCACCAACCCCAGTGACCAGCGTAGTTAAGTTTAATAAAAAAAAACTCCGTATGATCGACATGGTGTGGGGAGACTTTCATTCGTGAATGGATTGACAAAATGTCTTGTAAACTATTCACCGTATTGTGTATTTACAATTTGAGGTTGACTTCGAAGCGTTAAATGGCCATGAGCACCCCCCACTCGTTTAAGAAGTTATACACTTTAACTCTGATTATAAAAACACGTGGATATTCACGGGTGCATATTTTTTCAAAGCTTAATGTTTACAGGCCAAAGGCAAAAATGTCTCAAAAATAATTTCCGGTTAATTCGAAACTAATCCTTTTCTCTTTATTCAGCGCCTGGCGACTGCGTGATCACTGGAGACCCTCACTACATCACTTTCGACAAGACGACGCACCACTTCATGGGCGAGTGCAGCTACACGGCAGCCATCCCGTGCAACCAGAGCTCCACCCTGCCCCACTTCAACGTGGAGACAACAAATGAGTTCCGGGGCGGCAGCACGGCCGTGTCTTACGTCAAGGAGGTCCACGTGGATGTCTACGGCCACAGGTTCACCTTGGCCAAAGGACGCCGGGTGCTGGTGAGGGTTTCACTTCACACTTGAATTGTTATTTGCACAGAGCCGGTGCGTGCCATCCAGGAGCCATCACTACGAGGCACAACACTGTCTCTTAGAGTGATATCTCAATAACCATATTGTTCCTCATCGTGATTTATTCATTGTATTATCCTGAAGCGACTTCCTTTTTAAACAAGTTTAACAATGTCCACGGCGTCGCCTGATGCTTGAAAGATGCTACCTTCTCTTTTTCCCCCTTTATGTTTGTGTCTTGTATTGTTGAAATGATGTACGCAGCTGTGGCGTGTCGCCTCATTTTTCTCACTCGTGTGTGAATAAACGAATATATATGTATAACTTGATATTTGGAAATTTTATTGGGGAGTTAGGAATTGACCTCCTAGAGAAAGACGTAAAATACGTGAATATTCAATCGATGTTTATGCCATAATTCCTCGAAGGAAATATGCTGATGTTACAAAAAATAGTGGATAAAATATGCCTAATAAACAATATATTTAGTTTACGATAATGCACTGTGCATTATTGATCCTCCTGCGAGGTCTCTACATAAAATGCTCTGTGTTTTGTTTACAGGTGGATGGGCTGAGCGTGACTCCTCCGTTCTTCATGTCCGGGGTGTACATCCAACTGAGTGGATCCTACGTTGTGCTCGAGACCAATTTCAATCTGGTTGTTCGGTTTGATGGGAACCACCATGTGGAGATAGTCGTGCCTGGAGAATACGCGGGGCAACTGTGCGGAATCTGCGGTGAGTTGATCTCCTGGGAGAATAACACAATAAGCAGCTGACTGGACAATGTAGAATAAAAAACATGTAATTGTTGTTGACACGGGGGTTACAGTTAGGAGAGTATGAACAGGGCCTTTTATAAGCGTGGCGAATGGACGAATGCATGGATGTCGACAGCGCAGCTGAGCAAGGACAACATAACAGCCTGGAGAGGCAGCTGTTCGCAGCACAGATCAGGAGTTAGCCAAGTGAGGAAACCTCATATGGTGACTACGAGAGAGAGAAACGTGACTGCAGTGGTAGCATACAAGCACTGAAGTCGAGTTGGAAAAATTTACTTTTGTTGTGGGGAGCAATTCTAAAAGAGAAAAAATGTCAGCTACCTGTCCATTTATTCTTCTTTGGTTCTTTCGGTGAAGTGACGTATAAAGATAAAATAATAAATTAAATAATAGCATACTACGACGTTTCGATTGCAACACAAGCAATCATCATCAGGTATAAAAAAATAGCAACAAAAATCTAACCATAAAACTATAGACAGACATATAAGCAGAAAGACATCATTAAGATACACAGAGAGAGAACACGTATCGTCACAAAGAGAGAGGTCGTCTCTGTGACGGGGCCTTATTTATAGAGAGGGAAAACACTGCAGGCTTCATTTTCAACCATAGAGCATTATCAGCCATACATTCCAACTAAAATGAAATCGTTAATAGGCATTCCATTAAAAAGTGATGTTTTGCATGTAAACCATCTAGATTGCAAATACAATAATGGAACGATTTGTGTTGTTTTACAGGGAACTTTAATGGAGATGGTTCAGATGACAATCTGAAGCCGGATGGGTCAGCAGCGGCCTCATCAAGCGAGCTGGGAAACAGCTGGAGAGTGTTCAACAGTTCTGATGATGAGTGAGAATCCGTTCTTCTCAATTATTTCCATGCACTTCTGCTAATTACAACAGTGCCATTGCAAAAGCCTCTGGATAATACACATGGAAGACATTGGTATTGACAGCCATTCGAGCTCGAGATAGATAAGAAGTGGCAAACATGAGCCCCATGCTGACATTAGATCTGACTGTTGTGCCACTGATGTTGTATTTGTGTCAGCTGTTTGGGCTACATTGAGTTATCTTCATGATGATGATGATGATGATTAATGACGACTGTGATTATGTTACCAGTGATGTTTTCTCTGTCAAACTCGGTGATGGTAACCTGCGCGTCTGTTTGTTGACAGTTGCCAAGATGATACCGGGGAAATACCTCCATGTGATGAGAATGACAAGAACCTGTATGAATCGGATACGTTCTGTGGAATAATCACTGACCCTGAGGGTGGGTATTGCTCTCCATTAAGTTCAGCTGTTAACTCGTAACTGTGCATGATAATGGACTTCATTATATTGCAGACATTGTGGCATTTCCACTCCATGGAGCTATACCCACAACAAGTTAACCTGTGTGATGGGCATTCAATTCTAGTTGGCATAATGTTTTTATTATTATTATCACTTTAAAAAATATAGAGGCTAAGACATTTTTATTACACGTATTCTTTTTCAAAACTCTTTCGCTATCCATGATGACATTGTTTCTACAGATAATTAGCGTTCAAAGTTGTGTTGCTATTAATGGGAGCACAGTGCACAAACCATTTCACCGTTGCTGCATCAAGAGGAGTGATGTGCCGATGCCGCTAACACTGACATCGTGTTTCTCGCTTCAACCAGGAGCTTTCAAAGAGTGCCACGCGGTGCTGCCTCCACAAGTCTTCTTCGACAACTGCGTGTTCGACCTGTGTGCCACGGACGGGGACCACGGCTCGTTGTGCCAGGCCCTGCAGGCCTACGCCGACCAGTGCGCCCAAGCTGGGGTCATCGTCACGTGGAGGAACAACACCTTCTGCCGTGAGTGCAGCGCCCGCTGTGATGTCACCGCCACACTGATTGCCCAGCCATTAAATTTGATTGTGATTTGATGGACATGTGATCGTAATTCTGCTAATCTATAGATGCCTAGATACACCACGCAATTTTGATATAATAAGTGAAATTCAAACCTAACTAGGGTTCTGCATTGCATGACAGACGCATTGTTAATAGTGCGGGTGTATTATCCATGAATACTCACCATCTGCTTTACATTGGATGCTACAGATTCCCTGACATTTTAAACAAAAGTGGCCTTTTGTGTGATGGTGTTGTTGAAATTTGCTAAATGTTTAAAATGATCTGCCAATTTCTCGATCTGGATTACAAATAACAACATTGCTTCTACTGGCAGACTAATTCCGATGACAAGCTGGTGCTCAGTCACCTCGTGCTGCCCAGAGTCAGCTGCCAATATCCAGCTACATTTGAATATTTACGCGATCGAACCCAAAAAAAACCTGTTATGGATTATATTGGTCACGAAAGCCTATATGTAAAACGGCATTTTGAATGTTTGAGGTAATATGTGGCTCAATGTGTTTTAAGTGTTTGAAGTATTTAAGCACCATTTGAATTCGAAGATTATTAAAGATTATTGTTGTGTGTGGCACCCACAGCATTCCTGTGTGAACCTGGCAGCCACTATGAGAGCTGTGCCCCACCGTGCCCGGCCACCTGCAGCAACGCAAATCCCCCGGGTGGCTGCAACCAGCACTGTGCGGAGGGCTGTGTCTGTGACGACGGCTTTGTCCTCTCTGGGGACAAGTGTGTCCCCACAGAGCAGTGCGGTTGCCTGGATAACAATGGCCACTACCATCCGGTGAGCTAAGAAAAATTACAAAGAAAAAGTTTACAGTTCTGCACATGTCGATTTATATTATATTTCTGTGTTCTATACTGCCCAACAAGTTAAAAGTCACAGTCATAAGAGTTCTGGTGATGTCACTGCACCGTCACTCCCATATTTTATAATACAACATCACTGAAGTGACGGCCCAGTAATATTCCTGACTGAAAATGTAAGTGAAAATCTCACTTATTACTGAGATCTCAAATTAATTTGGGAATAAGCAATATGAGATGTTTGCATTCTTTATTTGTCATCTTTATTTAATTGTATTTCAAGTATTTTTATTACAAATTTTATTTGTAAATTGTAATACACCCTAATACACGTTCTGTTTGACCATTTCATCTCTTTCCCAAGCATTGATGAGTACAGGTATCTTTTTGTGCAAATTCCTGAAATCTTAAAGCAACCCATTTAACCTACTGTAAACAGGCAATGGGTTCAGGCATGGATCTAATCCAAATATAAAACATAGATATGTATTAAAATATATATTTATATAAAGAAGGCCTTTTCCATGCTGTGTATATCACCGTGTCAAGCATGGAGATTGTTTAACCACTCTTCATCGCACTGCTGCACGACAGCTGGTGAAAATGGGCTGAGGACTGGTTCAGAGATTACTTTATGACAGTGTGGTCTGCGTTAGAGAGTGCAATGGAGGTAACGCGTGCGTGTTGTGTGTCTCAGATCGGGGAGAGCTGGTTTGAGTCGCAGGACTGCAGCCAGCGCTGCATCTGTGTCAATCCTGGCAATGTGAACTGTGGGGCCTGGGTCTGTGAGGACGACGAGACCTGCGGTGTGGAGGACGGCATCCTGGGCTGCCATGGCTCAGGTGAACCACTCACTGCAGTTTGCGAATTCTGCTTTTTTCAAAAGTTCCATCGTAGTTGCGCTCTTCATATTCATGTTTCACACCGTGTCTCTCTGGAGGCCACGTTGTCATCAACAACTCTTTGGAGCTCGGGCTTGTTCGGTCCTTGATCCTCAGATCTGGAACACTCTGCCCTAAGGCCTCCGCGTGACCTCGGAGATTCTTCCTTTTAGAAATAGTTTTTGTCATTAAGCAGGATTGGTACAGGGAGACACTTTAAAGAATCTAATTTAGTTTTGTCAGATGCACTTGGTTACTAATCTGTTCTCTTTTTTCATTGGCGTCGAAACAGGGCCAACAGTGCCACCAACAACCCCGCCAAAACGTAAGAAAGTTGCATCATGAGCATGTTAACTAAATACATCGCACTACATTAACACATCAAACACTACGCTAACACATCCCACACACTACAAGGGGATGACATGGTGCAGTGAATATCACATTTCAATTTGGACCCAGTGACATAAGTAAAATTCCTGCCCATGACTAACTTCAATGGCAATTCATATTTGAACCAATCCTGGGCCCACACTTCACCAACCCCCAGTGACCAGCGTAGTTAAGTTTAATTTAAAAAAAAAACTCCGTATGATCGACATGGTGTGGGGAGACTTTCATTCATGAATGGATTGACAAAATGTCTTGTAAATTTTTCACCGTATTGTGTATTTACAATATGAGGTTGACTTCGAAGCGTTAAATGGCAAAGAGCACCCCCCACTCGTTTAAGAAGTTATACACTTCAACTCTGATTATAAAAACACGTGGATATTCACGGGTGCATATTTTTTCAAAGCTTAATATTTACATGCCAAAGGCAAAAATGTCTCAAAAATAATTTCCGGTTAATTACGAAAATAATCCTTTTCTCTTTATTCAGCGCCTGGCGACTGCGTGATCACTGGAGACCCTCACTACATCACTTTCGACAAGACGACGCACCACTTCATGGGCGAGTGCAGCTACACGGCAGCCATCCCGTGCAACCAGAGCTCCACCCTGCCCCACTTCAACGTGGAGACAACAAATGAGTTCCGGGACGGCAGCACGGCCGTGTCTTACGTCAAGGAGGTCCACGTGGATGTCTACGGCCACAGGTTCACCTTGGCCAAAGGACGCCGGGTGCTGGTGAGGGTTTCACTTCACACTTGAATTGTTATTTGCACAGAGCTGGTGCGTGCCATCCAGGAGCCATCACTACGAGGCACAACACTGTCTCTTCCAGTGATATCTCAATAACCATATTGTTCCTCATCGTGATTTATTCATTGTATTATCCTGAAGCGACTTCCTTTTTAAACAAGTTTAACAATGTCCACGGCGTCGCCTGATGCTTGAAAGATGCTACCTTCTCTTTTTCCCCCTTCATGTTTGTGTCTTGTATTGTTGAAATGATGAACGCAGCCGTGGCGTGTCGCCTCATTTTTCTCACTCGTGTGTGAATTAACGAATATATATGTATAACTTGATATTCGGAAATTTTATTGGGGAGTTAGGAATTGACCTTCTAAAGAAAGATGTAAAATACGTGAATATTCAAGCGATGTTCATGCCATAATTCTTCGAAGGAAATATGCTGATGTTACAAAAAATAGTGGATAAAATATGCCTAATAAACAATATATTTAGTTTACGATAATGCACTGTGCATTATTGATCCTCCTGCGAGGTCTCTACATAAAATGCTCTGTGTTTTGTTTACAGGTGGATGGGCTGCACGTGACTCCACCGTTCTTCATGTCAGGGGTGTACATCCAACTGAGTGGATCCTACGTTGTGCTCCAGACCAATTTCAATCTGGTTGTTCGGTTTGATGGGAACCACCATGTGGAGATAGTCGTGCCTGGAGAATACGCGGGGCAACTGTGCGGAATCTGCGGTGAGTTGATCTCCTGGGAGAATAACACAATAAGCAGCTGACTGGACAATGTAGAATAAAAAACATGTCATTGTTGTTGACACGGAGGTTACAGTTAGGAGAGTATGAACAGGGCCTTTTATAAGCGTGGCGAACGGACGAATGCATGGATGTCGACAGCGCAGCTGAGCAAGGACAACATAACAGCCTGGAGAGGCAGCTGTTCGCAGCACAGATGAGGAGTTAGCCAAGTGAGGAAACCTCATATGGTGACTAAGAGAGAGAGAAACGTGACTGCAGTGGTAGCATACAAGCACTGAAGTCGAGTTGGAAAAATGTACTTCTGTTGTGGGGAGCAATTCTAAAAGAGAAAAAATGTCAGCTACCTGTCCATTTTGCACGTATTAATTGGAAAACACTGCAGGCTTCATTTTCAACCATAGAGCATTATCAGCCATACATTCCAACTAAAATGAAATCGTTAATAGACATTCCATTAAAAAGATATGTTTTGCATGTAAACCATCTAGATTGCAAATACAATAATGGAACGATTTGTGTTGTTTTACAGGGAACTTTAATGGAGATGGTTCAGATGACAATCTGAAGCCGGATGGGTCAGCAGCGGCCTCATCAAGCGAGCTGGGAAACAGCTGGAGAGTGTTCAACAGTTCTGATGATGAGTGAGAATCCGTTCTTCTCAATTATTTCCATGCACTTCTGCTAATTACAACAGTGCCATTGCAAAGCCTCTAGATAATACACATGGAAGACATTGGTATTGACAGCCATTCGAGCTCGAGATAGATAAGAAGTGGCAAACATGAGCCCCATGCTGACATTAGATCTGACTGTTGTGCCACTGATGTTGTATTTGTGTCAGCTGTTTGGGCTACATTGAGTTATCTTCATGATGATGATGATGATTAATGACGACTGTGATTATGTTACCAGTGATGTTTTCTCTGTCAAACTCGGTGATGGTAACCTGCGCGTCTGTTTGTTGACAGTTGCCAAGATGATACCGGGGAAATACCTCCATGTGATGAGAATGACAAGAACCTGTATGAATCGGATACGTTCTGTGGAATAATCACTGACCCTGAGGGTGGGTATTGCTCTCCATTAAGTTCAGCTGTTAACTCGTAACTGTGCATGATAATGGACTTCATTATATTGCAGACATTGTGGCATTTCCACTCCATGGAGCTATACCCACAACAAGTTAACCTGTGTGATGGGCATTCAATTCTAGTTGGCATAATGTTTTTATTATTATTATCACTTTAAAAAATATAGAGGCTAAGACATTTTTATTACACGTATTCTTTTTCAAAACTCTTTCGCTATCCATGATGACATTGTTTCTACAGATAATTAGCGTTCAAAGTTGTGTTGCTATTAATGGGAGCACAGTGCACAAACCATTTCACCGTTGCTGCATCAAGAGGAGTGATGTGCCGATGCCGCTAACACTGACATCGTGTTTCTCGCTTCAACCAGGAGCTTTCAAAGAGTGCCACGCGGTGCTGCCTCCACAAGTCTTCTTCGACAACTGCGTGTTCGACCTGTGTGCCACGGACGGGGACCACGGCTCGTTGTGCCAGGCCCTGCAGGCCTACGCCGACCAGTGCGCCCAAGCTGGGGTCGTCGTCACGTGGAGGAACAACACCTTCTGCCGTGAGTGCAGCACCCGCTGTGATGTCACCGCCACACTGATTGCCCAGCCATTAAATTTGATTGTGATTTGATGGACATGTGATCGTAATTCTGCTAATCTATAGATGCCTAGATACACCACGCAATTTTGATATAATAAGTGAAATTCAAACCTAACTAGGGTTCTGCATTGCATGACAGACGCATTGTTAATAGTGCGGGTGTATTATCCATGAATACTCACCATCTGCTTTACATTGGATGCTACAGATTCCCTGACATTTTAAACAAAAGTGGCCTTTTGTGTGATGGTGTTGTTGAAATTTGCTAAATGTTTAAAATGATCTGCCAATTTCTCGATCTGGATTACAAATAACAACATTGCTTCTACTGGCAGACTAATTCCGATGACAAGCTGGTGCTCAGTCACCTCGTGCTGCCCAGAGTCAGCTGCCAATATCCAGCTACATTTGAATATTTACGCGATCGAACCCAAAAAAAACCTGTTATGGATTATATTGGTCACGAAAGACTATATGTAAAACGGCATTTTGAATGTTTGAGGTAATATGTGGCTCAATGTGTTTTAAGTGTTTGAAGTATTTAAGCACCATTTGAATTCGAAGATTATTAAAGATTATTGTTGTGTGTGGCACCCACAGCATTCCTGTGTGAACCTGGCAGCCACTATGAGAGCTGTGCCCCACCGTGCCCGGCCACCTGCAGCAACGCAAATCCCCCGGGTGGCTGCAACCAGCACTGTGCGGAGGGCTGTGTCTGTGACGACGGCTTTGTCCTCTCTGGGGACAAGTGTGTCCCCACAGAGCAGTGCGGTTGCCTGGATAACAATGGCCACTACCATCCGGTGAGCTAAGAAAAATTACAAAGAAAAAGTTTACAGTTCTGCACATGTCGATTTATATTATATTTCTGTGTTCTATACTGCCCAACAAGTTAAAAGTCACAGTCATAAGAGTTCTGGTGATGTCACTGCACCGTCACTCCCATATTTTATAATACAACATCACTGAAGTGACGGCCCAGTAATATTCCTGACTGAAAATGTAAGTGAAAATCTCACTTATTACTGAGATCTCAAATTAATTTGGGAATAAGCAATATGAGATGTTTGCATTCTTTATTTGTCATCTTTATTTAATTGTATTTCAAGTATTTTTATTACAAATTTTATTTGTAAATTGTAATACACCCTAATACACGTTCTGTTTGACCATTTCTTCTCTTTCCCAAGCATTGATGAGTACAGGTATCTTTTTGTGCAAATTCCTGAAATCTTAAAGCAACCCATTTAACCTACTGTAAACAGGCAATGGGTTCAGGCATTGGATCTAATCCAAATATAAAAAATAGATATGTATTAAAATATATATTTATATAAAGAAGGCCTTTTCCATGCTGTGTATATCACCGTGTCAAGCATGGAGATTGTTTAACCACTCTTCATCGCCCTGCTCCACGAGAACTGGTGAAAATGGGCTGAGGACTGGTTCAGAGATTACTTTATGACAGTGTGGTCTGCGTTAGAGAGTGCAATGGAGGTAACGCGTGCGTGTTGTGTGTCTCAGATCGGGGAGAGCTGGTTTGAGTCGCAGGACTGCAGCCAGCGCTGCATCTGTGTCAATCCTGGCAATGTGAACTGTGGGGCCTGGGTCTGTGAGGACGATGAGACCTGCGGTGTGGAGGACGGCATCCTGGGCTGCCATGGCTCAGGTGAACCACTCACTGCAGTTTGCGAATTCTGCTTTTTTCAAAAATTCGATCCTAGTAGCGCTCTTCATATTCATGTTTCACACCATGTCTCTCTGGAGGCCACGTTGTCATCAACAACTCTTTGGAGCTCGGGCTTGTTCGGTCCTTGGTCCTCAGATCTGGAACACTCTGCCCTAAGGCCTCCGCGTGACCTCGGAGATTCTTCCTTTTAGAAATAGTTTTTGTCATTAAGCAGGATTGAATCTAATTTAGTTTTGTCAGATGCACTTGGTACTAATCTGTTCTCTTTTTTCATTGGCGTCGAAACAGGGCCAACAGTGCCACCAACAACCCCGCCAAAACGTAAGAAAGTTGCATCATGAGCATGTTAACTAAATACATCGCACTACATTAACACATCAAACACTACGCTAACACATCCCACACACTACAAGGGGATGACATGGTGCAGTGAATATCACATTTCAATTTGGACCCAGTGACATAAGTAAAATTCCTGCCCATGACTAACTTCAATGGCAATTCATATTTGAACCAATCCTGGGCCCACACTTCACCAACCCCCAGTGACCAGCGTAGTTAAGTTTAATTTAAAAAAAAAACTCCGTATGATCGACATGGTGTGGGGAGACTTTCATTCATGAATGGATTGACAAAATGTCTTGTAAACTATTCACCGTATTGTGTATTTACAATTTGAGGTTGACTTCGAAGCGTTAAATGGCAAAGAGCACCCCCCACTCGTTTAAGAAGTTATACACTTCAACTCTGATTATAAAAACACGTGGATATTCACGGGTGCATATTTTTTCAAAGCTTAATGTTTACAGGCCAAAGGCAAAAATGTCTCAAAAATAATTTCCGGTTAATTCGAAACTAATCCTTTTCTCTTTATTCAGCGCCTGGCGACTGCGTGATCACTGGAGACCCTCACTACATCACTTTCGACAAGACGACGCACCACTTCATGGGCGAGTGCAGCTACACGGCAGCCATCCCGTGCAACCAGAGCTCCACCCTGCCCCACTTCAACGTGGAGACAACAAATGAGTTCCGGGGCGGCAGCACGGCCGTGTCTTACGTCAAGGAGGTCCACGTGGATGTCTACGGCCACAGGTTCACCTTGGCCAAAGGACGCCGGGTGCTGGTGAGGGTTTCACTTCACACTTGAATTGTTGTTTGCACAGAGCCGGTGCGTGCCATCCAGGAGCCATCACTACGAGGCACAACACTGTCTCATACAGTGATATCTCAATAACCATATTGTTCCTCATCGTGATTTATTCATTGTATTGTCCTGAAGCGACTTCCCTTTTAAACAAGTTTTACTCCGCATTTAACAATGTCCACGGCGTCGCCTGATGCTTGAAAGATGCTACCTTCGCTGGTTCCCCCTTTATGTTTGTGTCTTGTATTGTTGAAATGATGTACGCAGCTGTGGCGTGTCGCCTCATTTTTCTCACTCGTGTGTGAATTAACGAATATATATGTATAACTTGATATTCGGAAATTTTATTGGGGAGTTAGGAATTGACCTTCTAAAGAAAGATGTAAAATACGTGAATATTCAAGCGATGTTCATGCCATAATTCTTCGAAGGAAATATGCTGATGTTACAAAAAATAGTGGATAAAATATGCCTAATAAACAATATATTTAGTTTACGATAATGCACTGTGCATTATTGATCCTCCTGCGAGGTCTCTACATAAAATGCTCTGTGTTTTGTTTACAGGTGGATGGGCTGCGTGTGACTCCACCGTTCTTCATGTCCGGGGTGTACATCCAACTGAGTGGATCCTACGTTGTGCTCGAGACCAATTTCAATCTGGTTGTTCGGTTTGATGGGAACCACCATGTGGAGATAGTCGTGCCTGGAGAATACGCGGGGCAACTGTGCGGAATCTGCGGTGAGTTGTTCTCCTGGGAGAATAACACAATAAGCAGCTGACTGGACAATGTAGAATAAAAAACATGTCATTATTGTTGACATGGGGGTTACAGTTAGGAGAGTATGAACAGGGCCTTTTATAAGCGTGGCGAACGGACGAATGCATGGATGTCGACAGCGCAGCTGAGCAAGGACAACATAACAGCCTGGAGAGGCAGCTGTTCGCAGCACAGATGAGGAGTTAGCCAAGTGAGGAAACCTCATATGGTGACTAAGAGAGAGAGAAACGTGACTGCAGTGGTAGCATACAAGCACTGAAGTCGAGTTGGAAAAATGTACTTCTGTTGTGGGGAGCAATTCTAAAAGAGAAAAAATGTCAGCTACCTGTCCATTTTGCACGTATTAATTGGAAAACACTGCAGGCTTCATTTTCAACCATAGAGCATTATCAGCCATACATTAACGTTATAGGCATTCCATTAAAAAGAGATGTTTTGCATGTAAACCATCTAGATTGCAAATACAATAATGGAACGATATGTGTTGTTTTACAGGGAACTTTAATGGAGATGGTTCAGATGACAATCTGAAGCCGGATGGCTCAGCAGCGGCCTCATCAAGCGAGCTGGGAAACAGCTGGAGAGTGTTCAACAGTTCTGATGATGAGTGAGAATCCGTTCTTCTCAATTATTTCCATGCACTTCTGCTAATTACAACAGTGCCATTGCAAAGCCTCTAGATAATACACATGGAAGACATTGGTATTGACAGCCATTCGAGCTCGAGATAGATAAGAAGTGGCAAACATGAGCCCCATGCTGACATTAGATCTGACTGTTGTGCCACTGATGTTGTATTTGTGTCAGCTGTTTGGGCTACATTGAGTTATCTTCATGATGATGATGATGATTAATGACGACTGTGATTATGTTACCAGTGATGTTTTCTCTGTCAAACTCGGTGATGGTAACCTGCGCGTCTGTTTGTTGACAGTTGCCAAGATGATACCGGGGAAATACCTCCATGTGATGAGAATGACAAGAACCTGTATGAATCGGATACGTTCTGTGGAATAATCACTGACCCTGAGGGTGGGTATTGCTCTCCATTAAGTTCAGCTGTTAACTCGTAACTGTGCATGATAATGGACTTCATTATATTGCAGACATTGTGGCATTTCCACTCCATGGAGCTATACCCACAACAAGTTAACCTGTGTGATGGGCATTCAATTCTAGTTGGCATAATGTTTTTATTATTATCACTTTAAAAAATATAGAGGCTAAGACATTTTTATTACACGTATTCTTTTTCAAAACTCTTTCGCTATCCATGATGACATTGTTTCTACAGATAATTAGCGTTCAAAGTTGTGTTGCTATTAATGGGAGCACAGTGCACAAACCATTTCACCGTTGCTGCATCAAGAGGAGTGATGTGCCGATGCCGCTAACACTGACATCGTGTTTCTCGCTTCAACCAGGAGCTTTCAAAGAGTGCCACGCGGTGCTGCCTCCACAAGTCTTCTTCGACAACTGCGTGTTCGACCTGTGTGCCACGGACGGGGACCACGGCTCGTTGTGCCAGGCCCTGCAGGCCTACGCCGACCAGTGCGCCCAAGCTGGGGTCGTCGTCACGTGGAGGAACAACACCTTCTGCCGTGAGTGCAGCACCCGCTGTGATGTCACCGCCACACTGATTGCCCAGCCATTAAATTTGATTGTGATTTGATGGACATGTGATCGTAATTCTGCTAATCTATAGATGCCTAGATACACCACGAAATTTTGATATAATAAGTGAAATTCAAACCTAACTAGGGTTCTGCATTGCATGACAGACGCATTGTTAATAGTGCGGGTGTATTATCCATGAATACTCACCATCTGCTTTACATTGGATGCTACAGATTCCCTGACATTTTAAACAAAAGTGGCCTTTTGTGTGATGGTGTTGTTGAAATTTGCTAAATGTTTAAAATGATCTGCCAATTTCTCGATCTGGATTACAAATAACAACATTGCTTCTACTGGCAGACTAATTCCGATGACAAGCTGGTGCTCAGTCACCTCGTGCTGCCCAGAGTCAGCTGCCAATATCCAGCTACATTTGAATATTTACGCGATCGAACCCAAAAAAAACCTGTTATGGATTATATTGGTCACGAAAGCCTATATGTAAAACGGCATTTTGAATGTTTGAGGTAATATGTGGCTCAATGTGTTTTAAGTGTTTGAAGTATTTAAGCACCATTTGAATTCGAAGATTATTAAAGATTATTGTTGTGTGTGGCACCCACAGCATTCCTGTGTGAACCTGGCAGCCACTATGAGAGCTGTGCCCCACCGTGCCCGGCCACCTGCAGCAACGCAAATCCCCCGGGTGGCTGCAACCAGCACTGTGCGGAGGGCTGTGTCTGTGACGACGGCTTTGTCCTCTCTGGGGACAAGTGTGTCCCCACAGAGCAGTGCGGTTGCCTGGATAACAATGGCCACTACCATCCGGTGAGCTAAGAAAAATTACAAAGAAAAAGTTTACAGTTCTGCACATGTCGATTTATATTATATTTCTGTGTTCTATACTGCCCAACAAGTTAAAAGTCACAGTCATAAGAGTTCTGGTGATGTCACTGCACCGTCACTCCCATATTTTATAATACAACATCACTGAAGTGACGGCCCAGTAATATTCCTGACTGAAAATGTAAGTGAAAATCTCACTTATTACTGAGATCTCAAATTAATTTGGGAATAAGCAATATGAGATGTTTGCATTCTTTATTTGTCATCTTTATTTAATTGTATTTCAAGTATTTTTATTACAAATTTTATTTGTAAATTGTAATACACCCTAATACACGTTCTGTTTGACCATTTCTTCTCTTTCCCAAGCATTGATGAGTACAGGTATCTTTTTGTGCAAATTCCTGAAATCTTAAAGCAACCCATTTAACCTACTGTAAACAGGCAATGGGTGCAGGCATTGGATCTAATCCAATATAAAAAATAGATATGTATTAAAATATATATTTATATAAAGAAGGCTTTTCCATGCTGTGTATATCACCGTGTCAAGCATGGAGATTGTTTAACCACTCTTCATCGCCCTGCTCCACGAGAACTGGTGAAAATGGGCTGAGGACTGGTTCAGAGATTACTTTATGACAGTGTGGTCTGCGTTAGAGAGTGCAATGGAGGTAACGCGTGCGTGTTGTGTGTCTCAGATCGGGGAGAGCTGGTTTGAGTCGCAGGACTGCAGCCAGCGCTGCATCTGTGTCAATCCTGGCAATGTGAACTGTGGGGCCTGGGTCTGTGAGGACGATGAGACCTGCGGTGTGGAGGACGGCATCCTGGGCTGCCATGGCTCAGGTGAACCACTCACTGCAGTTTGCGAATTCTGCTTTTTTCAAAAATTCGATCCTAGTAGCGCTCTTCATATTCATGTTTCACACCATGTCTCTCTGGAGGCCACGTTGTCATCAACAACTCTTTGGAGCTCGGGCTTGTTCGGTCCTTGGTCCTCAGATCTGGAACACTCTGCCCTAAGGCCTCCGCGTGACCTCGGAGATTCTTCCTTTTAGAAATAGTTTTTGTCATTAAGCAGGATTGAATCTAATTTAGTTTTGTCAGATGCACTTGGTACTAATCTGTTCTCTTTTTTCATTGGCGTCGAAACAGGGCCAACAGTGCCACCAACAACCCCGCCAAAACGTAAGAAAGTTGCATCATGAGCATGTTAACTAAATACATCGCACTACATTAACACATCAAACACTACGCTAACACATCCCACACACTACAAGGGGATGACATGGTGCAGTGAATATCACATTTCAATTTGGACCCAGTGACATAAGTAAAATTCCTGCCCATGACTAACTTCAATGGCAATTCATATTTGAACCAATCCTGTGCCCACACTTCACCAACCCCCAGTGACCAGCGTAGTTAAGTTTAATTAAAAAAAAGATCCGTATGATCGACATGGTGTGGGGAGACTTTCATTCGTGAATGGATTGACAAAATGTCTTGTAAACTATTCACCGTATTGTGTATTTACAATTTGAGGTTGACTTCGAAGCGTTAAATGGCAAAGAGCACCCCCCACTCGTTTAAGAAGTTATACACTTCAACTCTGATTATAAAAACACGTGGATATTCACGGGTGCATATTTTTTCAAAGCTTAATGTTTACAGGCCAAAGGCAAAAATGTCTCAAAAATAATTTCCGGTTAATTCGAAACTAATCCTTTTCTCTTTATTCAGCGCCTGGCGACTGCGTGATCACTGGAGACCCTCACTACATCACTTTCGACAAGACGACGCACCACTTCATGGGCGAGTGCAGCTACACGGCAGCCATCCCGTGCAACCAGAGCTCCACCCTGCCCCACTTCAACGTGGAGACAACAAATGAGTTCCGGGGCGGCAGCACGGCCGTGTCTTACGTCAAGGAGGTCCACGTGGATGTCTACGGCCACAGGTTCACCTTGGCTAAAGGACGCCGGGTGCTGGTGAGGGTTTCACTTCACACTTGAATTGTTGTTTGCACAGAGCCGGTGCGTGCCATCCAGGAGCCATCACTACGAGGCACAACACTGTCTCATACAGTGATATCTCAATAACCATATTGTTCCTCATCGTGATTTATTCATTGTATTGTCCTGAAGCGACTTCCCTTTTAAACAAGTTTTACTCCGCATTTAACAATGTCCACGGCGTCGCCTGATGCTTGAAAGATGCTACCTTCGCTGGTTCCCCCTTTATGTTTGTGTCTTGTATTGTTGAAATGATGTACGCAGCTGTGGCGTGTCGCCTCATTTTTCTCACTCGTGTGTGAATTAACGAATATATATGTATAACTTGATATTCGGAAATTTTATTGGGGAGTTAGGAATTGACCTTCTAAAGAAAGATGTAAAATACGTTAATATTCAAGCGATGTTAATGCCATAATTCTTCGAAGGAAATATGCTGATGTTACAAAAAATAGTGGATAAAATATGCCTAATAAACAATATATTTAGTTTACGATAATGCACTGTGCATTATTGATCCTCCTGCGAGGTCTCTACATAAAATGCTCTGTGTTTTGTTTACAGGTGGATGGGCTGCGTGTGACTCCACCGTTCTTCATGTCCGGGGTGTACATCCAACTGAGTGGATCCTACGTTGTGCTCGAGACCAATTTCAATCTGGTTGTTCGGTTTGATGGGAACCACCATGTGGAGATAGTCGTGCCTGGAGAATACGCGGGGCAACTGTGCGGAATCTGCGGTGAGTTGTTCTCCTGGGAGAATAACACAATAAGCAGCTGACTGGACAATGTAGAATAAAAAACATGTCATTATTGTTGACATGGGGGTTACAGTTAGGAGAGTATGAACAGGGCCTTTTATAAGCGTGGCGAACGGACGAATGCATGGATGTCGACAGCGCAGCTGAGCAAGGACAACATAACAGCCTGGAGAGGCAGCTGTTCGCAGCACAGATGAGGAGTTAGCCAAGTGAGGAAACCTCATATGGTGACTAAGAGAGAGAGAAACGTGACTGCAGTGGTAGCATACAAGCACTGAAGTCGAGTTGGAAAAATGTACTTCTGTTGTGGGGAGCAATTCTAAAAGAGAAAAAATGTCAGCTACCTGTCCATTTTGCACGTATTAATTGGAAAACACTGCAGGCTTCATTTTCAACCATAGAGCATTATCAGCCATACATTCGTTCAGGCATTCCATTAAAAAGAGATGTTTTGCATGTAAACCATCTAGATTGCAAATACAATAATGGAACGATATGTGTTGTTTTACAGGGAACTTTAATGGAGATGGTTCAGATGACAATCTGAAGCCGGATGGCTCAGCAGCGGCCTCATCAAGCGAGCTGGGAAACAGCTGGAGAGTGTTCAACAGTTCTGATGATGAGTGAGAATCCGTTCTTCTCAATTATTTCCATGCACTTCTGCTAATTACAACAGTGCCATTGCAAAGCCTCTGGATAATACACATGGAAGACATTGGTATTGACAGCCATTCGAGCTCGAGATAGATAAGAAGTGGCAAACATGAGCCCCATGCTGACATTAGATCTGACTGTTGTGCCACTGATGTTGTATTTGTGTCAGCTGTTTGGGCTACATTGAGTTATCTTCATGATGATGATGATGATTAATGACGACTGTGATTATGTTACCAGTGATGTTTTCTCTGTCAAACTCGGTGATGGTAACCTGCGCGTCTGTTTGTTGACAGTTGCCAAGATGATACCGGGGAAATACCTCCATGTGATGAGAATGACAAGAACCTGTATGAATTGGATACGTTCTGTGGAATAATCACTGACCCTGAGGGTGGGTATTGCTCTCCATTAAGTTCAGCTGTTAACTCGTAACTGTGCATGATAATGGACTTCATTATATTGCAGACATTGTGGCATTTCCACTCCATGGAGCTATACCCACAACAAGTTAACCTGTGTGATGGGCATTCAATTCTAGTTGGCATAATGTTTTTATTATTATTATCACTTTAAAAAATATAGAGGCTAAGACATTTTTATTACACGTATTCTTTTTCAAAACTCTTTCGCTATCCATGATGACATTGTTTCTACAGATAATTAGCGTTCAAAGTTGTGTTGCTATTAATGGGAGCACAGTGCACAAACCATTTCACCGTTGCTGCATCAAGAGGAGTGATGTGCCGATGCCGCTAACACTGACATCGTGTTTCTCGCTTCAATCAGGAGCTTTCAAAGAGTGCCACGCGGTGCTGCCTCCACAAGTCTTCTTCGACAACTGCGTGTTCGACCTGTGTGCCACGGACGGGGACCACGGCTCATTGTGCCAGGCCCTGCAGGCCTACGCCGACCAGTGCGCCCAAGCTGGGGTCATCGTCACGTGGAGGAACAACACCTTCTGCCGTGAGTGCAGCACCTGCTGTGATGTCACCACCACACTGATTGCCCAGCCATTAAATTTGATTGTGATTTGATGGACATGTGATGGTAAATCTGCTAATCTATAGATGCCTAGATACACCACGCAATTTTGATATAATAAGTGAAATTCAAACCTAACTAGGGTTCTCCATTGCATGACAGACGCATTGTTAATAGTGCGGGTGTATTATCCATGAATACTCACCATCTGCTTTACATTGGATGCTACAGATTGCCTGACATTTTAAACAAAGTGGCCTTTTGTGTGATGGTGTTGTTGAAATTTGCTAAATGTCTAAAATGATCTGCCAATTTCTCGATCTGGATTACAAATAACAACATTGCTCTTACTGGCAGACTAATTCCGATGACAAGCTGGTGCTCAGTCACCTCGTGCTGCCCAGAGTCAGATGCCAATATCCAGCTACATTTGAATATTTACGCGATCTAACCCAAAAAAAACCTGTTATGGGTTATATTGGTCACGAAAGCCTATATGTAAAACCGCATTTTGAATGTTTGAGGTAATATGTGGCTCAATGTGTTTTAAGTGTTTGAAGTATTTAAGCACCATTTGAATTCGAAGATTATTAAAGATTATTGTTGTGTGTGGCACCCACAGCATTCCCGTGTGAACCTGGCAGCCACTATGAGAGCTGTGCCCCACCGTGCCCGGCCACCTGCAGCAACGCAAATCCCCCGGGTGGCTGCAACCAGCACTGTGCGGAGGGCTGTGTCTGTGACGACGGCTTTGTCCTCTCTGGGGACAAGTGTGTCCCCACAGAGCAGTGCGGTTGCCTGGATAACAATGGCCACTACCATCCGGTGAGCTAAGAAAAATTACAAAGAAAAAGTTTACAGTTCTGCACATGTAGAATTATATTATATTTCTGTGTTCTATACTGCCCAACAAGTTAAAAGTCACAGTCATAAGAGTTCTGGTGATGTCACTGCACCGTCACTCCCATATTTTATAATACAACATCACTGAAGTGACGGCCCAGTAATATTCCTGACTGAAAATGTAAGTGAAAATCTCACTTATTACTGAGATCTCAAATTAATTTGGGAATAAGCAATATGAGATCTTTGCATTCTTTATTTGTCATCTTTATTAAATCGTATTTCAAGTATTTTTATTACAAATTTTATTTGTAAATTTTAATACACCCTACTACACGTTCTGTTTGACCATTTCTTCTCGTTCCCAAGCATTGATGAGTACAGGTTTCTTTTTGTGCAAATTCCTGAAATCTTTAAGCAACCCATTTAACCTACTGTAAACAGGCAATGGGTTCAGGAATATGGATCTAATCGGAATTATACAAAATATATGTTTTAAAATATATATTAATATAATGAAGGCATCTCCATGCTGTGTATATCACTGTGTCAAGCAAGGAGATTGTTTAACCACTCTTCATCGCCCTGCTCCGCGAGAACTGGTGAAAATGGGCTGAGGACTGGTTCAGAGATTACTTTATGACAGTGTGGTCTGCGTTAGAGAGTGCAATGGAGGTAACGCGTGCGTGTTGTGTGTCTCAGATCGGGGAGAGCTGGTTTGAGTCGCAGGACTGCAGCCAGCGCTGCATCTGTGTCAATCCTGGCAATGTGAACTGTGGGGCCTGGGCCTGTGAGGACGACGAGACCTGCGGTGTGGAGGACGGCATCCTGGGCTGCCATGGCTCAGGTGAACCACTCACTGCAGTTTGCGAATTCTGCTTTTTTCAAAAGTTCGATCCTAGTAGCGCTCTTCATATTCATGTTTCACACCATGTCTCTCTGGAGGCCACGTTGTCATCAACAACTCTTTGGAGCTCGGGCTTGTTCGGTCCTTGGTCCTCAGATCTGGAACACTCTGCCCTAAGGCCTCCGCGTGACCTCGGAGATTCTTCCCTTGAGAAATAGTTTTTGTCATTAAGCAGGATTGAATCTAATTTAGTTTTGTCAGATGCACTTGGTACTAATCTGTTCTCTTTTTTCATTGGCGTCGAAACAGGGCCAACAGTGCCACCAACAACCCCGCCAAAACGTAAGAAAGTTGCATCATGAGCATGTTAACTAAATACATCACACTACATTAACACATCAAACACTACGCTAACACATCCCACACACTACAAGGGGATGACATGGTGCAGTGAATATCACATTTCAATTTGGACCCAGTGACATAAGTAAAATTCCTGCCCATGACTAACTTCAATGGCCATTCATATTTGAACCAATCCTGGGCCCATACTTCACCAACCCCCAGTGACCAGTGTAGTTAAGTTTAATTTTAAAAAAACTCCGTATGATCGACATGGTGTGGGTAGACTTTCATTCGTGAATGGATTGACAAAATGTCTTGTAAACTATTCACCGTATTGTGTATTTACAATTTGAGGTTGACTTCGAAGCGTTAAATGGCAAAGAGCACCCCCCACTCGTTTAAGAAGTTATACCCTTCAACTCTGATTATAAAAACACGTGGATACTCACGGGTGCATATTTTTTCAAAGCTTAATATTTACAGGCCAAAGGCAAAAATGTCTCAAAAATAATTTCCGGTTAATTACGAAACTAATCCTTTTCTCTTTATTCAGCGCCTGGCGACTGCGTGATCACTGGAGACCCTCACTACATCACTTTCGACAAGACGACGCACCACTTCATGGGCGAGTGCAGCTACACGGCAGCCATCCCGTGCAACCAGAGCTCCACCCTGCCCCACTTCAACGTGGAGACAACAAATGAGTTCCGGGGCGGCAGCACGGCCGTGTCTTACGTCAAGGAGGTCCACGTGGATGTCTACGGCCACAGGTTCACCTTGGCCAAAGGACGCCGGGTGCTGGTGAGGGTTTCACTTCACACTTGAATTGTTATTTGCACAGAGCCGGTGCGTGCCATCCAGGAGCCATCACCACAAGGCACAACACTCTCTCATACAGTGATATCTCTCTAACCATATTGTTCCTTATCGTGATTTATTCATTGTATTATCCTAAAGCGACTTCCCTTTTAAACAAGTTTAACAATGTCCACGGCGTCGCCTGATGCTTGAAAGATGCTACCTTCGCTGGTTCCCCCTTTATGTTTGTGTCTTGTATTGTTGAAATGATGTACGCAGCCGTGGCGTGTCGCCTCATTTTTCTCACTCGTGTGGGAATAAACGAATATATATGTATAACTTGATATTTGGAAATTTTATTGGGGAGTTAGGAATTGACCTTCTAAAGAAAGACGTAAAATACGTGAATATTCAAGCGATGTTTATGCCATAATTGCTCGAAGGAAATATGCTGATGTTACAAAAAATAGTGGATAAAATATGCCTAATAAACAATATATTTAGTTTACGATAATGCACTGTGCATTATTGATCCTCCTGTGAGGTCTCTACATAAAATGCTCTGTGTTTTGTTTACAGGTGGATGGGCTGCGCGTGACTCCTCCGTTCTTCATGTCCGGGGTGTACATCCAACTGAGTGGATCCTACGTTGTGCTCGAGACCAATTTCAATCTGGTTGTTCGGTTTGATGGGAACCACCATGTGGAGATAGTCGTGCCTGGAGAATACGCGGGGCAACTGTGCGGAATCTGCGGTGAGTTGATCTCCTGGGAGAATAACACAATAAGCAGCTGACTGGACAATGTAGAATAAAAAACATGTCATTGTTGTTGACACGGGGGTTACAGTTAGGAGAGTATGAACAGGGCCTTTTATAAGCGTGGCGAATGGACGAATGCATTGATGTCGACAGCGCAGCTGAGCAAGGACAACATAACAGCCTGGAGAGGCAGCTGTTCGCAGCACAGTTGAGGAGTTAGCCAAGTGAGGAAACCTCATATGGTGACTACGAGAGAGAGAAACGTGACTGCAGTGGTAGCATACAAGCACTGAAGTCGAGTTGGAAAAATGTACTTCTGTTGTGGGGAGCAATTCTAAAAGAGAAAAAAATGTCAGCTACCTGTCCATTTTGCACGTATTAATTGGAAAACACTGCAGGCTTAATTTTCAACCATAGAACATTATCAGCCATACATTCCAACTAAAATGAAATCGTTAATAGGCATTCCATTAAAAAGTGATGTTTTGCATGTAAACCATCTAGATTGCAAATACAATAATGGAACGATTTGTGTTGTTTTACAGGGAACTTTAATGGAGATGGTTCAGATGACAATCTGAAGCCGGATGGGTCAGCAGCGGCGTCATCAAGCGAGCTGGGAAACAGCTGGAGAGTGTTCAACAGCTCTGATGATGAGTGAGAATCCGTTCTTCCCAATTATTTCCATGCACTTCTGCTAATTACTACAGTGCCATTGCAAAAGCTTCTGGATAATACACATGGAAGACATTGGTATTGACAGCCATTCGAGCTCGAGATAGATAAGAAGTGGCAAACATGAGCCCCATGCTGACATTAGATCTGACTGTTGTGCCACTGATGTTGTATTTGTGTCAGCTGTTTGGGCTACATTGAGTTATCTTCATGATGATGATGATTAATGACGACTGTGATTATGTTACCAGTGATGTTTTCTCTGTCAAACTCGGTGATGGTAACCTGCGCGTCGGTTTGTTGACAGTTGCCAAGATGATACCGGGGAAATACCTCCATGTGATGAGAATGAGAAGAACCTGTATGAATCGGATACGTTCTGTGGAATAATCACTGACCCTGAGGGTGGGTATTGCTCTCCATTAAGTTCAGCTGTTAACTCGTAACTGCGCATGATAATGGACTTCATTATATTGCAGACATTGTGGCATTCCCACTCCATGGAGCTATACCCACAACAAGTTAACCTGTGTGATGGGCATTCAATTCTAGTTGGCATAATGTTTTTTATTATTATTATCACTTTTAAAAATATAGAGGCTAAGACATTTTTATTACACGTATTCTTTTTCAAAACTCTTTCGCTATCCATGATGACATTGTTTCTACAGATAATTAGCGTTCAAAGTTGTGTTGCTATTAATGGGAGCACAGTGCACAAACCATTTCACCGTTGCTGCATCAAGAGGAGTGATGTGCCGATGCCGCTAACACTGACATCGTGTTTCTCGCTTCAATCAGGAGCTTTCAAAGAGTGCCACGCGGTGCTGCCTCCACAAGTCTTCTTCGACAACTGCGTGTTCGACCTGTGTGCCACGGACGGGGACCACGGCTCATTGTGCCAGGCCCTGCAGGCCTACGCCGACCAGTGCGCCCAAGCTGGGGTCATCGTCACGTGGAGGAACAACACCTTCTGCCGTGAGTGCAGCACCTGCTGTGATGTCACCGCCACACTGATTGCCCAGCCATTAAATTTGATTGTGATTTGATGGACATGTGATCGTAAATCTGCTAATCTATAGATGCCTAGATACACCACGCAATTTTGATATAATAAGTGAAATTCAAACCTAACTAGGGTTCTGCATTGCATGACAGACGCATTGTTAATAGTGCGGGTGTATTATCCATGAATACTCACCATCTGCTTTACATTGGATGCTACAGATTCCCTGACATTTTAAACAAAGTGGCCTTTTGTGTGATGGTGTTGTTGAAATTTGCTAAATGTCTAAAATGATCTGCCAATTTCTCGATCTGGATTACAAATAACAACATTGCTCTTACTGGCAGACTAATTCCGATGACAAGCTGGTGCTCAGTCACCTTGTGCAGCCCATAGTCAGCTGCCAATATCCAGCCGCCTTTGATTATTTATGCGATCTAACCCAAAAAAAAACTGTATTATGGATCATATTGGTCATGAAAGCCTTTGTGTAAAACCGCCTTTGAATGTTTGAGATAATATGTGGCTCAAGGTGTGTTAAGTTTTTCAAGTATTTAAGCACCATTGGAAATCAAAGATTATTAAAGATTATTGTTGTGTGTGGCACCCACAGCATTCCCGTGTGAACCTGGCAGCCACTATGAGAGCTGTGCCCCACCGTGCCCGGCCACCTGCAGCAACGCAAGTCTCCCGGGTGGCTGCAACCAGCAATGTGCGGAGGGCTGTGTCTGTGACGACGGCTTTGTCCTCTCTGGGGACAAGTGTGTCCCTGTGGAGCAGTGCGGTTGCCTGGATAACAATGGCCACTACCATCCGGTGAGTTAGGCAAAGATGTGTACGTAAATCCCTATCCTAGGCTTTGTGTTTTATACAGGCCAACACAAGTTTGAATCTTCCTTAATTAAAATAGTATTTCAAGTCACAGTCAAAAGCAATCACGTTTTTATTTATTTACTCGTCATCATATAATAGCTAAAAGGTTAACTGAGATGTTTCTAAAGACATTGCATTTGTATCTCAGCTCGGGGAGAGCTGGTTTGAGTCGCACGACTGCAGCAAGCGCTGCATCTGTGTCAATCCTGGCGGCGATGTCAGCTGTGACCCCTGGGTCTGTAAGGACGATGAGACCTGCAGTGTGGAGGATGGCATCCTGGGCTGTCACACACAGGGTGAGTGCTCCCTGCCTGACTTTTCAGTCGACATATAATGCTCTGAAACATTGTTCTCCAGGTCCAGATGATCACACCCCAAAACTGTACACTAATTTATCCCGTGTAATGGTGTGGAGGGGTTGCCCGGATGAAACTAAATATGGATAATTCAAAACATAAATTCTACAAAAACATATTTCTTAGTTAGATAGAATGGGGATGAATAAATAATGATGACTTCTCTCGCACCATAACATAGCAAGCCATTGGAAGGTTGCTGAACAGAATGTGTAGAATGTGTTGTCTATCTTTATTGTTTCATAAAGTTATAAGTATTTTTGCTGACATGTTGAATTATTGCCATAACCTATGCAATAATTCATCATGAAGCAGGGGTAGCTCGGAATTCAATCAGCCCACACGTAAGAATTAAAATATTTTTGTTACAATCAAGGATAACCTGCCCACACATTGTATTTGTGTCCGAATTATTATTCATTGTCTTTGACCAAAGCACTTTAATTGCACCCCATCAACTTCGACGTTGTCAGCGAAGCAGCATTGAGCCTGATAAGTTCTTGGATGGGTTACCAGCAAGGCTTGGGGCTATAAGAATGCAATAATATATAATTATTGTAACCTCTTATGTGTGTGGGTTATCTCCAGGTGCTCTGGTTTCCTCCCACATGGCCAAACTTCTAAACAAAACTCTCTTGAAACTTAGTGAGCTTTTCCTGAATGTATAATTGGCATCCTAATTTTTTAAAGAGATGGATAGCTTAATATTTATTTTTCAATGACACTCTTTGGTCTACTTTCAATCAACAACAGTAACAACAATGTTATAACCACAACCATAACCACATTCTAACCACAACCATAAGCACATAATTTCAACTATAAACACATGATCACAACTACAGTATAAGCACATTATAATCACAACCATAACCGCATTACAGCCACAACCATAAGCACAACAATGCATTGGAAACTGGCCCGATTACAAATTTCACCACCAAATCCAGACCGTACCAGCTGAGCCTGAGCGCAAAGCGGGGAGGGGGTAGGATGCATGCGAACATTGCCGAATAAAACAATACAAATGTGTCTGTTTCAGCATGAGTTAACGTCCAATAATAGACACATGATATTTATATTTGTATGTATATTCGCATACCTTAAATTTCGATTTAAAGCTTTCGTGACTGCAGGGATTCATCTTCTTGGTTCTTTCGGTAAAGTCACGTAGAAGGAAAATAATAAAATAATAAAAATAAAACATAATAAAATAATTCTCACGGCGTTTCGGCCACAACGCAAGCAGCCGTCTTCAGGTGGAGAATAGGTCTGTCGAGAGACAGACCTGCGTTGCGGCCGAAACGTCGTGATAATTATTTTATTATGTTTTATTTGTATTATTTTATTATTTTCCTTCTACGTGACTTTACCGAAAGAACAAAGAAGATTCGCATACATTTACACTCTTGTCTCGGAATGCCCTCAGCAAGAGACCATGTTTCTATTTTTATCCATGTTTTCCTCCATGTAGCATTTGAGAGATTCAGAGTGTGACAGATGGACAGACGAATGGATACATGCGAATTATATATATATAGATAGAAATAGACATCTTAGTGTGTATTATATATGCTGTGTATAACAACAAAAATGTAAATATTAAAAATTACCAAAGGAATTCAAAACGAATGGCAGAACATGTTTTTATAACAGAATCATGTAAAATAGACAATGTTTTTTGTGCTTGAAAAGAGTGTCAGGAATGATGGTGGAGAGGTTTTGTGAGAAAAGTGGAGTAAAAGCCTTCGAAATGTTTAGGACACTGGATACCAAGAGTGAATTGGCTAAAAAAGGACATTGCGCCCACTCCGCAGTCAAGTGAACTACATCAGCAGATCCAGAGGACATTGATACATCTCCAGCAGTCTATTCTAAATGGCAGCTTGGATATATTTTAAGCCATTTACTTTGGTAAATTCAAAGACAATATGTAACATATTTGACAATTTACCATGAAAAGGTCAGCATTCTCACAACTCTGTATTAATAACAAATACACATTTTCATGAACTAATTCGCGATGTGGTATCATCAGAGTCGACACCAGCACCAACTCCATCAGCACCAGCTCCACCACAGTCTACAGATTTACCAGCAACTGAATTTCCAATACCAACAACAAAGTCACCGTCAGCAATATCATCACCACCAAGTAAATATACCAAATACAGCACTTAATACATTGTTTACTCTCAGACAACATGAAAAATGTCACTGAATATTGGTTTAGCAGCACTAATATACATTTCTTATGAAATCTTAATTCAAAAATCCTCAAGAGCTAATTGATGACCTGTCTATTACATTTCTTACACAATAAAGGCACCGATGCCCCATCAACATCAGCACCAAATCCTCCAGCACAATCGACACCAGGTAAATGCACACTATACAAATATATGACATAAAGATCACAGCACGGTAATAATACATGATTTACCACCAAACATCATTGTGATACGTAATAAACATAGTTTAAAATGTTTTTAAAGGTTCACGAGAATGAACATCAACGCAATACAATCCTGCACAAATAATTCACTTCTTACTTGCGTGTAACATTCTCTGTGTAATGAAGGCACTGAAGCCCCACCGTTCAAATCAACACCAGCTCCTCCACAGACTACAGATTTGCCCCCAACTGTATTTCCAACATCGACAACAAAATCACCATCAGCAGCGTCAACACCAAGTAAATGCACCCAATATAAACATCACAATACTACAGCGCTACATCAAGACCTTTTGCAACGAAACATAATTCATTTTTCTCCAATAATAAATACAATTCAATATAAAATATATGATAATACACTTGTACACTTAACTTAAACATATACCGCTTTCACAAAGAGAAACCACTTTTTGATGCAAAACGTCTTTGCATTAAAATACTGAACAATAATTTCACAATTAGCATGGTTGGCTATGTACGACGCGAAAGAATTCAACATGCTGAATACAATGACAAATGAAACACCTAAAACCCATACGTTTTCCTTCCGTGTTATTCGCTCTATAAAGGCACTGAAGCACCATCGTTAGAATCAACATCATCACCAAATCCTCCAGCAGGATCAACACCAGGTAAATGTACCCAATACAAAGATGACATTGAGAGCACTAGTACAACAACAATACAAGATTTACCGCAACAGATAATTTGTTAAATTAATTAACAAAAATAAACTCATTACAGGTAGTCCCCGACTTACGATGGAGATGCGTTACGACGACCCCATCGTAAGTCGAAGATGGCCCAGCCTACCCAGGAGTCTTAAAGAATGGTGATTATTTAGCAAAACAGAGCAATTTACAGTACTGTACTGTATAAATTATAAGCGTACAGTACATCCCGGCAGCGTCCCAACGTACAGTATCGTACCTCGAAACGGTGCTGCGTTTGCCTGCCGCACGAGATGTAAAATATTTTATAATTTTGTCGAATTGCTATCGCCATCGTAAGATCGAAGTATCGTAAGTCGGGGACTACCTGTATTTTCAAATGTTCACGATGATGAACTTTAATGCAATACAGTACTCCATGTATAATTCACTTCTTACTTGCCTGTAACGTTGTTTACGCAATGAATGCACTGTAGCCCAAATATTAGAATCAACAAAACCAATTCCTCCAGCTCCACATCTACCAACATACACGCAGAAATCGACCACATTCCCATCGGCACCATCCAGGTCAATTAAATTCACATAGTGCAATTGACACATTGACGGTAAGGCCTCCTAATAATCCAGCATGTCAAACAAATACCACATTGCCATATTCATGTTCAAATTTCATTTGCAAATAAAAAAATTTAAACCAAAATAATACGACACAATGCACTAAACAGTCAAATTTAAAAATATAATTACTTTCATGCATAGTTAAAATATCTGCCTTAATTCGTTTAATTGGAATTTAGGAAATGAATCTTTCACAGTTTGAAACCAACCGATTATCCCCTCATCCTATGCAAAAATTTAACAATTCCTGAGGCTATTTTCAATCAATTGGTCAAAATACTATAAATATTGGTACAGCAACAATAATAGATGTATTTTAAAAATGTAATGCAATATTCCTCAACAGCTAATTAGTGACCTGGCCATCACGTTTCTTACACAATGAAGGCACTGAGGCCCTACAATTAGAATCAACATCAGCACCAAATCCTGCAGCAGAATCGACACTAGATAAATGCTTTCAATAGAAAATATGACATTGAAATCACAGCACTGTAACAATACATGATTTACCACCAAACATTGTTATAAACAATTTTTTTTAATTTCACGAGAATGAACATCAACACAATACAATCCTGCACAAATAATTCACTTCTTACTTGAGTGTAACACTCTCTGTGCAATGAAGGCACCGAAGCCCCTCATTTCGACTCAACACCAGCTCCTCCACAGTCTACAGATTTACCACCAACTGAATTTCCAGCACCAACAACAAAGTCACCATCAGCAGTGTCAACACCAAGTAAATATACCAAATAAAGCACTTAATAGATTGTTTACTATCAGACAACATTAAACATTTGACTGTGAATTTTGGTTTAGCAGCACTAATATACATTTTTTATAAAATCTTGATTCAAAAATTCTCAAGAGCTAATTGATGACCTGTCTGTTACATTTCTTACACAATAAAGGCACCGATGCCCCATCATTAGAATCAACATCAGCATCAAATCCTCCACCACAATCCACACCAGGTAAATGCACCCAATACAAATATGAAAATACTACAGAACTACATCAAGACATTTTACAACGAAGCATAATTTATTTTGCTGCAATAATAAATACAATTAAAGGATTGTGTATATACCAGTACACTCGTGTACTTAAAAACACAAGCATAAACCGCTTTCAAATATAAAATACAGAACAATATTTTCACGAGACTCATTAAAATTTCAATGCTGAAAGATGTATTTTTCACAATCACTACTGAATCACCAAAAAACATACATTTCCCTGCTGTGCTTTTTGACATATAAAGGCACAGAAGCCCCTTCGTTAGAATCAACATCAGCACCACATTTTCCAGCAGGATCAACAACAGGTAAATGTGCCCAAAACAAATGACATTGAGATCACAGCACCGTAACAATACATAATTGCCATTGTGCTTATTTCTAACAACGCCTGATGGTAAATTATAATTTTTAAAGGTTCACGATTATTAGAAACATAAATATAATCCTTCACAAATAATATAATTCAATTCTTGCCTGTAACGTTCTCTCTGCAATGAAGTCACCGAGGTCCCACCTTTTGAATCCACGCCAGCTCCTCTGCATCTACAGATGTACTTGCAACTGCATTTCCCACATCAATAAAATCACCATCAGCAGTGTCAACACCAAGTAAATATACCAAATAAAGCACTTAATAGATTGTTTACTATCAGACAACATTAAACATTTGACTGTGAATTTTGGTTTAGCAGCACTAATATACATTTCTTATAAAATCTTAATTCAAATTTGTTTAACACAATAAAGGCACCGATGCCCCATCATTAGAATCAACATCAGCATCAAATCCTCCAGCACAATCCACTCCACGTAAATGCACCTAATACAAATATGACATTGAGATCACAGCACCGTAACAATACATGATTTACCACCAAACATTGTTATAAACAAACAATGTTTTTAAAGGTTCACGAGAATGAACATCAACTTAATACACTTCTGCACAAATAATTCACTTCTTACTTGCGTGTAACACTCTCTGTGTAATGAAGGCACCGAAGCCCCTCCTTTTGACTCAACACCAGCTCCTCCACAGTCTACAGATTTACCACCAACTGAATTTCCAGCACCAACAACAAAGTCACCATCAGCAGTGTCAACACCAAGTAAATATACCAAATAAAGCACTTAATAGATTGTTTACTATCAGACAACATTAAACATTTGACTGTGAATTTTGGTTTAGCAGCACTAATATACATTTTTTATTAAATCTTAATTCAAAAATTCTCAAGAGCTAATTGATGACCTGTCTGTTACATTTCTTACACAATAAAGGCACCGATGCCCCATCATTAGAATCCACATCAGCATCAAATCCTCCACCACAATCCACACCAGGTAAATGCACCCAATACAAATATGACATTGATATCACAGCACCGTAACAATACATGATTTACCACCAAACACCATTGTAATAAAAGACTCACGATTATGAACGTCAATGCAATACAATCCTGCACAAATAATTCACTTCTTGCTTGCGAGTAACATTCTTTATCTAATGAAGGCACCGAAGCCCCTCCTTTCGACTCAACACCAGCTCCTTCACAGACTACAGATTTACCCCCAACTGTATTTGCAACATCAACAACAGAATCACCATCGGCAGCGTCAACACCAAGTAAATGCACCCAATATAAACATGAAAATACTACAGCACTACATCAAGACATTTTACAACGAAGCATAATTCATTTTGCTGCAATAATAAATACAATAAAAGGATTGTGTATATACCAGTACACTCGTGTACTTAAAAACACAAGCATAAACCGCTTTCAAATATAATAAAATACAGAACAATATTTTCACGAGACTCATTAAAATTTCAATGCTTAAAATTTCAATGCTGAAAGATGTATTTTTCACAATGACTACTGAATCACCAAAAAACATACATTTCCCTGCTGTGCTTTTTGACATATAAAGGCACAGAGGCCCCTTCGTTAGAATCAACATCAGCACCACATTTTCCAGCAGGATCAACAACAGGTAAATGTACCCAAAACAAATGACATTGAGATCACAGCACCGTAACAATACATAATTGTCATTGTGCGTATTTCTAACAATGCCTGATGGTAGATTATAATTTTTAAAGGTTCACGATTATTAGAAACATAAATATAATCCTTCACAAATAATATAATTCAATTCTTGCCTGTAACGTTCTCTCTGCAATGAAGTCACCGAGGTCCCACCTTTTGAATCCACGCCAGCTCTTCTGCATCTACAGATGTACTTGCAACTGCATTTCCCACATCAATAAAATCACCATCAGCAGTGTCAACACCAAGTAAATATACCAAATAAAGCACTTAATAGATTGTTTACTATCAGACAACATTAAACATTTGACTGTGAATTTTGGTTTAGCAGCACTAATATACATTTCTTATAAAATCTTAATTCAAATTTGTTTTACACAATAAAGGCACCGATGCCCCATCATTAGAATCAACATCAGCATCAAATCCTCCACCACAATCCACACCAGGTAAATGCACCCAATACAAATATGACATTGATATCACAGCACCGTAACAATACATGATTTACCACCAAACACCATTGTAATAAAAGACTCACGATTATGAACGTCAATGCAATGCAATACTGCACAAATAATTCACTTCTTACTTGCGTGTAACATTCTCTATCTAATGAAGGCACCGAAGCCCCTCCTTTCGACTCAACACCAGCTCCTTCACAGACTACAGATTTACCCCCAACTGTATTTGCAACATCAACAACAGAATCACCATCGGCAGCGTCAACACCAAGTAAATGCACCCAATATAAACATGAAAATACTACAGCACTACATCAAGACATTTTACACCGAAGCATAATTCATTTTGCTGCAATAATAAATACAATTAAAGGATTGTGTATATACCAGTACACTCGTGTACTTAAAAACACAAGCATAAACCGCTTTCAAATATAATAAAATACAGAACAATATTTTCACGAGACTCATTAAAATTTCAATGCTGAAAGATGTATTTTTCACAATGACTACTGAATCACCAAAAAACATACATTTCCCTGCTGTGCTTTTTGACATATAAAGGCACAGAGGCCCCTTCGTTAGAATCGACATCAGCACCACATTTTCCAGCAGGATCAACAACAGGGAAATGTGCCCAAAACAAATGACATTGAGATCACAGCACCGTAACAATACATAATTGTCATTGTGCTTATTTCTAACAACGCCTGATGGTAAATTATAATTTTTAAAGGTTCACGATTATTAGAAACATAAATATAATCTCGATTTAAAGCTTTCGTGACTACAGGGATTCATCTTCTTGGTTCTTTCGGTAAAGTCACGTAGAAGGGAAGTAATAAAATAATAAAAATAAAACATAATAATAGAATTATTTTATTTTATTATGTTTTATTTTTATTATTTTATTACTTCCCTTCTACGTGACTTTACCGAAAGAACCAAGAAGATAAATATAATCCTTCACAAATAATTCAACTCTTGCCTGTAACGTTCTCTCTGCAATGAAGTCACCGAGGTCCCACCTTTTGAATCCATGCCAGCTCCTCTGCATCTACAGATGTACTTGCAACTGCATTTCCCACATCAATAAAATCACCATCAGCAGTGTCAACACCAATTAAATACGCACAACACACATCCAACTTGAGATTACAGTGCTCTCAGTTTTCACAGTAATGATGAAAGTATCATAATTTAGAGACTGAAATTAATGTCCAATGTATAAAATGTTTCTTCGTTAGGAATTATAAAATGTATATCAGGCTAAAGAATCGGTAATTTGAATATAAATGTGCATTGAAAATGCTGTGTTTTAACGTATTTAACCATTTAAAAAACACATTAAACATTATTAACGGTGGCATGCAATGAGACCATATCTATCAAATAATTCGCCCGATAAACACACATTTGTTAAATTGGTGTTATAACGCCTTAGTTCTAGATGCACGTTCTTTAAGAAATGTACATAGCCATTTCATGGTGCATGTTTTCATTCCATCAGTTGTGATGACTGTTAAACCTTTTGCACCACCTAACGACACTTCAAATTCAGAAAAACATATCACACAGCTATCCTGTAAATTTCAGCTTATTTTATATTTTCCATCACCATAAACTTAATGACAAAATCCTGTCCCATAGCACATGACAACCATGACACACCGTGAACTGCCATCTGATAATACCCAAACTGCTTTGCGCATTTGTCATGTCATTTGACATGGGAATTTGCAGATGTTTCCACGACCACTTGTGTTATTTTATGATTATCTAAACAAAAAAAGTGCATGTTCATATCGAATCATCCTTAATAATACACGTATCCATGGATTTACGATAGGGATGCATTCTTTAAAAAACATGCATAAAACTAAATTTTGTGAATCAGAATTACTTTACCAATCCATTTTATAAAAAAAAATTCGGGATGTGTTTTGGACAATCATTCCAACTCTACTCTTAACCTTAAAATATACACCTATATCACCCTTCACAATCCAAAAATAATAATAATAATAATGAAGAATATAGATGTGAAAACGATTGAATAATACATTTAGAAGAAAAATAATTTACCTTTTCGGGAAACTCACGAAAAGATATGATTGTTGGAATGAACAGAAAGATGATGTGGAAGCGTTACTGTTGCACTGCAGGGATACCGTGACACTGTCGCGGATGGATGATGCAACCTCCCTGATGCTTCTTGTTTGATCTAATTGCGCGTGCCGTTGGAAATTTCGTTAACGCATAATTCGAATTCGTTGTGTCAATAATCGAAAAGTGTCCATAATTTGTTAATTCTGTAAATGCGACATTTCGTAAACCAAACATTCCTCCCATTAGAATCGACGCCAGGACCAACTCGTCCGCCAGCAAGCACTACCACGACCAATACGACAGCAGCTCCTCCAAGTAAACACTGCACTCACAGCACCCGCTTTGGTATATGCCAGGGACTGAGAGAGTGCCCTTATATAGAAATGGATAGGCTGATGGCTTTATGTATGTGGAAAATATTTTCTTTAAGTATGCATACGTCATTTGGAAAATAATTGGAGTGCGGTGATGGTTTGGGTCAGACCTGATTTGATCTTGAACAGATCTGAATCCAATTTTACAACTCATCAAATGTTCAAGTCCAGTTTTACTGTCTGAATCGGATAAAATGATATACCCATATTAGTGACAAGGTTTACATTACTGCATAACTATTTTCCTTTTTCAAAATGCGATTACTTTGGAGGGACACAACTAGAAATCACACCAGGATATGTGTTTATATATCAGGCAGTTATTTCAGTTTGATTGGTTCATGATAGATCAGCAAAATGGAAACTGACAATGAACTAAAAATTCCATAAATAAGCATGGAGTGGTGCATGGTTGATATTACACTAGAAGAACGAAATAGAAGCACATGGATCAGAGAGCATATGCCAGTTCAAGTTTACGACTCAATATACTCAATCTATGGGTTGCCGAGGAGTGTCTACCATTTAATTTTATACAATGCTCTCATAACTCAACAATTTTAAATTGTGATTTTATTAACATAAAAAATATATAATAAATAATATTTTCCATTACTGTATTCCTATAGCATTGTGGCTACTTGTACTAGATATAATAGGACCAGCACATCAAGATGTGATAAGATTATGTTTAATGAAATTGTGAAACATCCAATTCTGTATCTGACGAATCGCGCACCATTCTGCATCATATGCCACTTTTGTGAAAAAAACATTTTATTTCTCTATTTTCAGAACCTGGTGACTGCGTGATCACTGGAGACCCTCACTACATCACGTTCGACAAGACGACGCACCACTTCATGGGCGAGTGCAGCTACACGGCAGCCATCCCGTGCAACCAGAGCTCCACCCTGCCCCACTTCAACGTGGAGACAACAAATGAGTTCCGGGGCGGCAGCACGGCCGTGTCTTACGTCAAGGAGGTCCACGTGGATGTCTACGGCCACAGGTTCACCTTGGCCAAAGGACGCCGGGTGCTGGTGAGGGTTTCACTTCACACTTGAATTGTTATTTGCACAGAGCTGGTGCGTGCCATTCAGGAACCATCGCCACAGAGCACAACACTCTCACACACTGCTCTCTCAATAACTGTAATGTTCCTTATGATGCTTCGTTGCATTGTCCTAGACAGGCTTCCATTTTCAAAAACATTTACTTTGAATTTAACAATGTCCACGGTGTTGCCTGATGGTCATAAGAGGCTTCCTTATCTGAGACTTAGGAATTGGAAGAATGACCAAATATATGTGAAAATTCAAGCCATGTTTATGCTATGAATCTTTGGTGGAAGAATGTCGATGTTTACAAAGTATCGTGGAGGAAATTTGCATGAGTTAAATCAATCCTTTCTGTTCTATGATCTACTATGCATTGCTGATCCTACTGGAAGGTCTCTATAAAATGCTCTGTGTTTTGTTTACAGGTGGATGGGCTGCGTGTGACTCCTCCGATCCTCATATCCGGGGTGTACATCCAACTGAGTGGATCCTACGTTGTGCTCCAGACCGATTTCAATCTGGTTGTTCGGTTTGATGGGAACCACCACGTGGAGATAGTCGTGCCTGGAGAATACGCGGGGCAACTGTGCGGCATCTGCGGTGAGTTGACCACCAGAGAAAAGTGATGCAATAAGCAGCTGACTGGACACTTGGATAATGCATAACATCTCAATGTGATTGTAGTTGACAGAATATGCAGGCGTGACGATGAGTTTTAATCTCTTTTTGTTCCATTTTAATATATTCATTTAAAATCCGAGTTCATAAGGATAAAAGTACGGATGCCTCAGCTAAACAGGCTACAGATACGTAATTATTTCTAATTATGTGTAATCATATACAAAAATAGAATATCTGCTTGAACTTTCTACAATAGAATTTCAGTTATTATTTTTTCAAGTTTTTCATGTAAACCATGTATATCGAAAATCGTATATTGCAATGCTTTGTGTTGTTTTACAGGGAACTTTAATGGAGATGGCTCAGATGACAATCTGAAGCCGGATGGGTCAGCAGCGGCCTCATCAAACGAGCTGGGAAACAGCTGGAGAGTGTTCAACAGCTCCGATGATGAGTGAGGATCCGTTCTTCTCAATAATCTCTATGCGTGACTGCTAATTACAACAGTATCATCCAAAAGCCTTTTGTGAAATACGCGTGGAAAGCATTGGTATTGAAAAGGAATTATATCTCCAGATAGAAAACGAGTGTCAGAATGAGCCACACAGCAACTTTAGATATGACTGCTGTGCCGCTGAGGGTATATGTATGGGTGTAGCAGTTTGGGCTACAGTGAGTGATCATCATGATGATGATGGTGATGGCGATGATGACTGTTACTGTGTTTGTGTTGATGTTTTCTGTTTTAAACTTGGTGACATTAACCTGCTTGTCGTTTGTTGACAGTTGTCAAGATGGTACCGGGGAAATACCTCCATGTGATGAGGATGACAAGGACGTGTATGAATCAGATTCATTCTGTGGAATAATTACTGACCCTGAGGGTGAGTATTGCTGTCTGTTATGTTTAGGTGTCACTACACGTTTAGGATTGGTTACTCATAACTCCACATAAGATTGGACTTGATGAGATTGAAGTCATGGCATTTCCACTTCATGTATGTGTATCATTGCAAGTTTAACTGTAATATATATTCTAGTCTGCACATTCATTATATTGTGCCATTTTTTTTTTATTATTATCTTATCACTGGAAAATAAATGTAGACATCAAAGCTCTTCTACAAACAGTTTTCTTCCGATCTCTCTTTTAATGACTGGTTCAGTTTTAATTTGCCATTGATATTTGCCACGTTTAGGAACTCCGGTGACTGAATTCAGAGTGCAGGACGCAAATAACTGTATCACCATTTCCCTCATTACTGCAATACTGTAGTCGTGAGATGTTTGTAAAAAATTTTGTGTTAAAGAGGATTGATGTGCCGATGCCGCTAACATTGACATCGTATTTCTTGCTTCGATCAGGAGCTTTCAAAGAGTGCCACGCGGTGCTGCCTCCACAAGTCTTCTTCGACAACTGCGTGTTCGACCTGTGTGCCATGGACGGGGACCACGGCTCGTTGTGCCAGGCCCTGCAGGCCTACGCCGACCAGTGCGCCCAAGCTGGGGTCATCGTCACGTGGAGGAACAACACCTTCTGCCGTGAGTGCAGCTCCCGCTGTGATGTCACCGCCACACTGATTGCTCGGGATGTTGCAATTAATAAAGGTGTATAACCTGAGTTCAAAGCCTGGTTTCAGTCACCCTTGGTTCAAATAGGATCTCACGCATATGAAGTTGATGGTTCATCTTCTTGGTTCTTTCGGTAAAGTCACATAGAAGGGAAGTAATAAAATAATAAAAATAAAACATAATAAAATTATTCTCACGACGTTTATTATGTTTTATTTTTATTGTTTTATTACTTCCCTTCAACGTGACTTTACCGAAAGAACCAAGAAGATGAATCCCTGCAGTCACGAAAGCTTTAAATCGAAATTTAAGTTGATGGTTGTTGCACATCATTTTGTTTATTTACAGTTCTTGAGAATGAAATATATCAGTTTGTCATGAACAAACAATCTCATGATTAAACATTTTTTCTTAACCATTCGAAGAAAGAAAAGTCCAGTATATATTTGTTTTTTACAGTTCCAAGTATTATTATTGTTTAAACCCTCATCTATAAGCCAATCAAAGCTTGTTTGGTAGCTCATATCCCACAAGCTGATTTTGCCCCTCAAAGATATAGAATACACAAACAAATTGAATGAGTCTGCAGCATCAATTGAAGGGAATACACAACTCAAAAGAAAACAGCTCTTATCTTGTAGGACTATTTGTTTGAATCTTCACGTTGGTGCCAGGCTGTCTGACATGAGTTTGTTTCTATGTTAGTCAAGTAATGCAATACTCTATTTAGGTATAGCTGCCACACAACTGCTGTGGCATCACAACACTACTGATACTCTGAATTGCATGGGAAATTGTGTCAGCTTTAGAGAGTACCGTAAATATACATTTTCACCCATTAATTTAAAATGCTGTATTTTTATCATCGATAAGTTGTGTATTTTTAGCATCGATAAATGTGAAAGTTAGTTGAAAAATACAATAATCTGAATTAAAAATGTCAACATTTAGTTGAAACTTCATACCAACAAAATATGACAAACAGGTGTCTTGTAAACTTCATGAGACCTCCTTTGCCAGCACCAAAATTTGAGAATAGAATGCATTCTGACCACAAGTATTGTGGTTATTGCAGACATGATTCCTTGCAAAAGGTTTCAATTTGGTGTTTTAACATCTCAACACCTGTTTTGTTGCCAGAAAAAAGGGGAAAACCTATTCTCATTTCTTGGAAACTGTTTATGAAGGATAGCTCAAAACACAGACATCATGGGAAACCCACGTCATAAGTGCGTAACAAACCCGGAGTGATATACCCTGAAATTGGGGACCGATTGGAGGAACTTGGGCTCACTGCCCGTCCACGGTAGGGCCAACGATGGGCAGTAGCATATTTGCAGGGGAGTTGAATAGGTAGGAATAGAGGGGGAGGGGGGAATAGAGGGGAGGGGGGGTAATATAACCACACAAACCCGGAAATAACATAAGTGCGATTCCCGAGTTTATCATTCTTGTTTTCCCCTCGAAACAACGGCCGTCATGTGTTTGCAATAATGGTTCAGTGTCAGAGTCCATCCCGTTCCCCCGGCCCCCATTTTTTCGGCCATTCATGCTGGGTTCAGCAGAAACGGAAAACCCCAAAACTAAGTTTAAAACTTGAGTGCCTAAATTAATTAAATAGTTGTCAACATTCAGAATGGTGCTGAAGCACTTTGATGACATTTCTATTGCGTGTGACACCCACAGCATTCCCGTGTGAACCGGGCAGCCACTATGAGAGCTGTGCCCCACCGTGCCCGGCCACCTGCAGTAACGCAAGTCTCCCGGGTGGCTGCAACCAGCAATGTGCGGAGGGCTGTGTCTGTGACGACGGCTTCGTTCTATCTGGGGACAAGTGTGTCCCTGTGGAGCAGTGCGGCTGCCTGGACTTTGACGACCAGTACCATCCGGTCAGTTGATTGATTTAGCATGACCAAGCAATGCATGTAATTGGTTACAATTTCCTGTCTCATGGTTTTGATAAAATTGAGTTGTGTACAGTAGAATATATTGATGTCTCGTATTTCAGAAAGAAGATATGTTTATATGTATTGATTAAGTTGAGTGGCTTTAATAAGACGATATATTTTTCAAACAATTCAACTTGCAAAGCCATAATCAATCTAGTTCCAGCATCATCTAATGTTACCACTCTGTCTCTGCAGCGTTGATACTGTTGGTTGCCATTCGGTCAGTCTCATCCATTGATTATCATTTCATTCCAGCGATGTAACCTGCCCAAGTCCACTTACTTTTCTTAAAAGTCAGTATTAATTACAGTTCTGTATATTTTTTCTGGGGATATGGTTTGCAATGATGTCGCACACTGTGAACGATCGCTACCCTGACGAGTAGACCGTGGTGGCAGGGCCCTCCTTCCATGCTGCTGATGAAGCGGCAGTCGCCTGTCTCTGCAAAACGAGCTCACTGATCCACGTGTTCTCCTTTATCTCAGTGTGATTCTCAGCCTGCTTATCCACGCTTATTGGTATATATTTGATGCAAAAATGCAAGCCTAAGTTTGTACTTAGGCATGATGTTAACAGAGTTTCTATCTCTGATATGCATATTTACATATAATCCAGCCTGCTAGTCAACAACTTCTGTATTGATCATTACATTTGGATCAATTTAAGTGAATGATATTTTGAATTCTCTGCTTATATGATCCATGAGCCAGACTCACCTTTAACTCAGAGTCCTTGATTTTCACAGTAGGACACCTACGCTATGTCACGTGTAAGATGAATTCAGCATTATCGATATAAATATTACTCACTCATTGATGGGTGATGGATAATGTTGCCCAATCACTGGACAGTTGTTCACTCTTTCTCCTATATGTAACATTTTCTCAGTATCGAATGTGAAAGAGGCAGCAATTCTTCTCATTCATGATATCACAAGCTTTGAATACTCTGTATTCCTCGAAATTATACTTTAAAGATTAAGTAAGCAAATAGACATGTATGCCTGGGTGATATTGTCATAGTATGGGGGAAGGGCAGTTGAACTATATATTTTTACTTATCATCTGTGTTGCGCGTGGCAGCTCGGGGAGAGCTGGTTCGAGTCGGGGAACTGCAGCGAGCGCTGCACGTGCTTGGATGGGGGAGACGTCAACTGCGAGGACTGGGAGTGCGAGAAGCACGAGATCTGCAGCGTGGAGGACGGCATCCTCGACTGCTACGCACGCGGTGAGTTGCTGCGTGGCGTCACAAATTAGGAAAGCCATGACGATCCTGTCACAGAGAATGAGAAACAGAGATGTTTATGCAGCCAGGTTCGAGGGAAGTGTGGTGCTGGATGGAATACCTGGAAAAATAGCAATAACCACAATCTATAGGGCTCCAAGAACTAATTATACAGCCGCATTCAACCGAAAAACTACTAATATTTTAAATGGACACAGATAGTAAATAAACTTTGAATTCAATACAATATTGAATGGATCATCTTGTTTGCAACAAAGTGCTCATCTGGGAATAAATGTCTAATGCTTTGAATGACTCGTAGAAATGTAATTTGCTGTGGTTGACAGATAACAGGAAAGGTAACATTTTGTCCCTTGATTTTTCTTGAAGAAACAACAACTGCCTCTCCTACTGTGGTCTCAACAACAACATCAAAACCACCAACAGCCCCGCCACTGAGTAAAATATTCACTAAATACATTCTCCTACAATCACCCTACATTGACAAACCTCGATTGTTGAATGTATTGTTTACGTTTTTGTTTCAAAAGATACTGCTGCATTGGGCTCTTCATTTATATTAAACACAATGATCTGATAGAGCAGCATAAGGCATCACAACACATTATTACATGGCTCCTCTATTTTCAGAACCTGGCGACTGCGTGATCACTGGAGACCCTCACTACATCACGTTCGACAAGACGACGCACCACTTCATGGGCGAGTGCAGCTACACGGCAGCCATCCCGTGCAACCAGAGCTCCACCCTGCCCCACTTCAACGTGGAGACAACAAATGAGTTCCGGGACGGCAGCACGGCTGTGTCTTACGTCAAGGAGGTCCACGTGGATGTCTACGGCCACAGGTTCACCTTAGCCAAAGGACGCCGGGTGCTGGTGAGGGTTTCACTTCACACTTGAATTGTTATTTGCACAGAGCTGGTGCGTACCATCCAGGAGCCATCACCATAAGGCACAACACTCTCTCATAGAGTGATATCTCAATAACTGTAATGTTCCTTATGATTGCTTCATTGCATTTTCCTAGACAGGCTTCCATTTTCAAAAACATTTACTTTGAATTTAATAATGTCCACGGTGTTGCCTGATGCTCATAAGAGGCTTCCTTATCTGGGACTTAGGAATTGGCTTCATAAAGAATGACCAAATATATGTGAACATTCAAGCCATGTTTATGCTATGAATCTTTGGTGGAAGAATGTCGATGTTTACAAAGAATCGTGGAGGAAATTTGCATGAGTTAAAAAATAATTTCTGTACTATGATCTACCATGCATTATTGATCCTCCTGCGAGGTCTCTACATAAAATGCTCTGTGTTTTGTTTACAGGTGGATGGGCTGCGTGTGACTCCACCATTCCTCATGTCCGGGGTGTACATCCAACTGAGTGGATCCTACGTTGTGCTCCAGACCGATTTCAATCTGGTTGTTCGGTTTGATGGGAACCACCATGTGGAGATAATCGTGCCTGGAGAATATGCAGGAGAATTGTGCGGCATCTGCGGTGAGTTGACCACCAGAGAAAAGTGATGCAATAAGCAGCTGACTGGACACTTGGATAATGCATAACATCTCAATGTGATTGTAGTTGACAGAATATGCAGGCGTGACGATGAGTTTTAATCTCTTTTTTGTCCCATTTGAATATATTAATTTAAAATCCGAGTTCATGAGGATAAAAGTACAGATGCCTCAACTAAACAGGCTACAGATACGTTACTATTTCTAATTATGTGTAATCGTATCAAAAAAGAGAATATGTGCTTTAACGTTCTACAGTAGCATGTCAGTTATTTTTTCAAGTTTTGCATGTAAACCATGTATATCGAAAATCGTATATTGCAATGCTTTGTGTTGTTTTACAGGGAACTTTAATGGAGATGGCTCAGATGACAATCTGAAGCCGGATGGGTCAGCAGCGGCCTCATCAAACGAGCTGGGAAACAGCTGGAGAGTGTTCAACAGCTCCGATGATGAGTGAGGATCCGTTCTTCTCAATAATCTCTATGCGTGACTGCTAATTACAACAGTATCATCCAAAAGCCTTTTGTGAAATACGCGTGGAAGGCATTGGTATTGAAAAGGAATTAGATCTCCAGATAGAAAACGAGTGTGAGAATGAGCCACACAGCAACTTTAGATATGACTGCTGTGCCGCTGAGGGTATATGTATGGGTGTAGCAGTTTGGGCTACAGTGAGTGATCATCATGATGATGATGGTGATGGCGATGATGACTGTTACTGTGTTTGTGTTGATGTTTTCTGTTTTAAACTTGGTGACATTAACCTGCTTGTCGTTTGTTGACAGTTGTCAAGATGGTACCGGGGAAATACCTCCATGTGATGAGGATGACAAGGACGTGTATGAATCAGATTCATTCTGTGGAATAATTACTGACCCTGAGGGTGAGTATTGCTGTCTGTTATGTTTAGGTGTCACTACACGTTTAGGATTGGTTACTCATAACTCCACATAAGATTGAAGTCATGGCATTTCCACTTCATGTATGTGTATCATTGCAAGCTAACTTTAATAGATATTCTAGTCTGCACATTCATTATATTGTGCCATTTTTAATATTATCTTATCACTTGAAAATAAATGTAGACATCAAAGCTCTTCTACAAACAGTTTTCTTCTGAACTCTCTTAAAGGCCACGATAATCATTCCTGAACATAATGACGTGTTGCCCATATTCTATATTAACTAATGATTACAACAGGCTGCCAGAAGTTTTAATGACTGGTTCGGTTTTAATTTGCCATTGATATTTGCCACATTTAGGAACTCCGGTCACTGAATTCAAAGTGCAGGACACAAATAACTGTATCACCATTTCCCTCATTACTGCAATCTTGTAGTCGTGAGATGTTTGTAAAAGCAATTTGTGTCGAAGAGGATTGATGTGCCAATACCGCTAACATTGACATCGTATTTCTTGTTTTGATCAGGAGCTTTCAAAGAGTGCCACGCGGTGCTGCCTCCACAAGTCTTCTTTGACAACTGCGTGTTCGACCTGTGTGCCACGGACGGGGACCACGGCTCGTTGTGCCAGGCCCTGCAGGCCTACGCCGATCAGTGCGCCCAAGCTGGGGTCATCGTCACGTGGAGGAACAACACCTTCTGCCGTGAGTGCAGCACCTGCTGTGATGTCACCGCCACACTGATTGCTCGGGATGTTGCAATTAATAAAGGTGTATAGCCTGAGTTCAAAGCCTTGTTTCAGTCACCCTTGGTTCAAATAGGATCTCACGAATATGAAGTTGATGGTTGTTGCACATCATTTTGTTTATTTACAGTTCTTGAGAATGAAATATATCAGTTTGTCATAAATAAAAAATCTCATGATTAAACATATTTTCTTAACCATTCGAAAAAATAAAAGTACAGTATATATTTGTTTTTTACAGTTCCAAGTATTATTATACCACAAGTCCTTAAACCCTCATCTATAAGCCAACCAAAGCTAGTTTGGTAGCTCATATCCCGCATCTAATTTTGCCCCTCAAAGATATAGAATAGACAAAACAAATTGAATGAGTCTGCAGCATCACTTGAAGGAAATACAAAACTCAAAAGAAAACAGCTTTTATCTTGTAGGACTATTTGTTTGAACCTTCAAGTTGGTGCCAGGCTGTCTGACATGAGTTTGTTTCTATGTTAGTCAGGTAATGCAGTACTCTATTTAGGTATAGCTACCACACAACTGCTGTGGCATCACAGCACTAATGATACTCTGAATTGCATGGGAAATGGTGTCAGCTTTAGAGAGTACCGTAAATATACATTTCCACCCATTAATTTAAAATGCTGTATTTTTATCATCGATAAGTTGTGTATTTTTAGCATCGATAAATGTGAAAGTTAGTTGAAAAATACAATTATCTGAATAAAAAATGTCAACATTTAGTTGAAACTTCATACCAACAAAATATGACAAACAGGTGTCTTGTAAACTTCATGGGACCTCCTTTGCCAGCACCAAAATATGAGAATAGAATGCATTCTGACCACAAGTATTGTGGTTATTGCAGACATGATTCCTTGCAAAAGGTTTCAATTTGGTGTTTTAACATCTCAACACCTGTTTTGTTGCCAGAAAAAAGGGGAAAACCTATTCTCATTTCTTGGAAACTGTTTATGAAGGATAGCTCAAAACACAGACATCATGGGAAACCCACGTCATAAGTGCGTAACAAACCCGGAGTGATATACCCTGAAATTGGGGACCGATTGGAGGAACTTGGGCTCACTGCCCGTCCACGGTAGGGCCAACGATGGGCAGTAGCATATTTGCAGGGGAGTTGAATAGGTAGGAATAGAGGGGGAGGGGGGAATAGAGGGGAGGGGGGGTAATATAACCACACAAACCCGGAAATAACATAAGTGCGATTCCCGAGTTTATCATTCTTGTTTTCCCCTCGAAACAACGGCCGTCATGTGTTTGCAATAATGGTTCAGTGTCAGAGTCCATCCCGTTCCCCCGGCCCCCATTTTTTCGGCCATTCATGCTGGGTTCAGCAGAAACGGAAAACCCCAAAACTAAGTTTAAAACTTGAGTGCCTAAATTAATTAAATAGTTGTCAACATTCAGAATGGTGCTGAAGCACTTTGATGACATTTCTATTGCGTGTGACACCCACAGCATTCCCGTGTGAACCGGGCAGCCACTATGAGAGCTGTGCCCCACCGTGCCCGGCCACCTGCAGTAACGCAAGTCTCCCGGGTGGCTGCAACCAGCAATGTGCGGAGGGCTGTGTCTGTGACGACGGCTTCGTTCTATCTGGGGACAAGTGTGTCCCTGTGGAGCAGTGCGGCTGCCTGGACTTTGACGACCAGTACCATCCGGTCAGTTGATTGATTTAGCATGACCAAGCAATGCATGTAATTGGTTACAATTTCCTGTCTCATGGTTTTGATAAAATTGAGTTGTGTACAGTAGAATATATTGATGTCTCGTATTTCAGAAAGAAGATATGTTTATATGTATTGATTAAGTTGAGTGGCTTTAATAAGACGATATATTTTTCAAACAATTCAACTTGCAAAGCCATAATCAATCTAGTTCCAGCATCATCTAATCTTACCACTCTTTCCCTGCAGCGTTGATACTGTTGGTTGCCATTCGGTCAGTCTCATCCATTGATTATCATTTCATTACAGCGATGTAACCTGCCTAAGTCCACTTACTTTTCTTAAAATTCAGTATTAATTACAGTTCTGTATATTTTTTCTGGGGATATGGTTTGCAATGATGTCGCACACTGTGAACGATCGCTACCCTGACGAGTAGACCGTGGTGGCAGGGCCCTCCTTCCATGCTGCTGATGAAGCGGCAGTCGTCTGTCTCTGCAAAACGAGCTCACTGATCCACGTGTTCTCCTTTATCTCAGTGTGATTCTCAGCCTGCTTATCCACGCTTATTGGTATATATTTGACGCAAAAATGCAAGCCTAAGTTTGTACTTAGGCATGATGTTAACAGAGTTTCTATCTCTGATATGCATATTTACATATAATCCAGCCTGCTAGTCAACAACTTCTGTATTGATCATTACATTTGGATCAATTTAAGTGAATGATATTTTGAATTCTCTGCTTATATGATCCATGAGCCAGACTCACCTTTAACTCAGAGTCCTTGATTTTCACAGTAGGACACCTACGCTATGTCACGTGTAAGATGAATTCAGCATTATCGATATAAATATTACTCACTCATTGATGGGTGATGGATAATGTTGCCCAATCACTGGACAGTTGTTCACTCTTTCTCCTATATGTAACATTTTCTCAGTATCGAATGTGAAAGAGGCAGCAATTCTCTCATTCATGATATCACAAGCTTTGAATACTCTGTATTCCTCGAAATTATACTTTAAAGATTAAGTAAGCAAATAGACATGTATGCCTGGGTGATATTGTCATAGTATGGGGGAAGGGCAGTTGAACTATATATTTTTACTTATCATCTGTGTTGCGCGTGGCAGCTCGGGGAGAGCTGGTTTGAGTCGGGGAACTGCAGCGAGCGCTGCACGTGCTTGGGTGGGGGAGACGTCAACTGCGAGGACTGGGAGTGCGAGAAGTACGAGATCTGCAGCGTGGAGGACGGCATCCTCGACTGCTACGCACGCGGTGAGTTGCTGCGTGGCGTCACAAATTAGGAGAGCCATGACGATCCTGTCACAGACAATGAGAAACAGAGATGTTTATGCAGCCAGGTTCGAGGGAAGTGTGGTGCTGGATGGAATACCTGGAAAAATTGCAATAACCACAATCTATAGGGCTCCAAGAACTAATTATACAGCCGCATTCAACCGAAAAACTACAAATATTTTAAATGGACACAGATAGTAAATAAACTTTGAATTCAATACAATATTGAATGGATCATCTTGTTTGCAACAAAGTGCTCATCTGGGAATAAATGTCTAATGCTTTGAATGACTCGTAGAAATGTAATTTGCTGTGGTTGACAGATAACAGGAAAGGTAACATTTTGTCCTTTGATTTTTCTTGAAGAAACAACAACTGCCTCTCCTACTGTGGTCTCAACAACAACATCAAAACCACCAACAGCCCCGCCACTGAGTAAAATATTCACTAAATACATTCTCCTACAATCACCCTACATTGACAAACCTCGATTGTTGAATGTATTGTTTACGTTTTTGTTTCAAAAGATACTGCTGCATTGGGCTCTTCATTTATATTAAACACAATGATCTGATAGAGCAGCATAAGGCATCACAACACATTATTACATGGCTCCTCTATTTTCAGAACCTGGCGACTGCGTGATCACTGGAGACCCTCACTACATCACGTTCGACAAGACGACGCACCACTTCATGGGCGAGTGCAGCTACACGGCAGCCATCCCGTGCAACCAGAGCTCCACCCTGCCCCACTTCAACGTGGAGACAACAAATGAGTTCCGGGACGGCAGCACGGCCGTGTCTTACGTCAAGGAGGTCCACGTGGATGTCTACGGCCACAGGTTCACCTTGGCCAAAGGACGCCGGGTGCTGGTGAGGGTTTCACTTCACACTTGAATTGTTATTTGCACAGAGCTGGTGCTGTGCCATCCAGGAGCCATCACCATTAAGGCACAACACTCTCTCATAGAGTGATATCTCAATAACTGTAATGTTCCTTATGATTGCTTCATTGCATTTTCCTAGACAGGCTTCCATTTTCAAAAACATTTACTTTGAATTTAATAATGTCCACGGTGTTGCCTGATGCTCATAAGAGGCTTCCTTATCTGGGACTTAGGAATTGGCTTCATAAAGAATGACCAAATATATGTGAACATTCAAGCCATGTTCATGCTATGAATCTTTGGTGGAAGAATGTCGATGTTTACAAAGAATCGTGGAGGAAATTTGCATGAGTTAAAAAATAATTTCTGTACTATGATCTACCATGCATTATTGATCCTCCTGCGAGGTCTCTACATAAAATGCTCTGTGTTTTGTTTACAGGTGGATGGGCTGCGTGTGACTCCTCCGATCCTCATATCCGGGGTGTACATCCAACTGAGTGGATCCTACGTTGTGCTCCAGACCGATTTCAATCTGGTTGTTCGGTTTGATGGGAACCACCATGTGGAGATAGTCGTGCCTGGAGAATACGCGGGGCAACTGTGCGGAATCTGCGGTGAGTTGACCACTAGAGAAAAGTGATGCAATAAGCAGTTGACTGGACACTTGGAGAATGCATAACATCTCAATGTGATTGTAGTTGACAGAATATGCAGGCGTGACGATGAGTTTCTAATCTCTTTTTGTCCCATTTGAATATATTCATTTAAAATCCGAGTTCATAAGGATAAAAGTACGGATGCCTCAACTAAACAGGCTACAGATACGTTAGTATTTCTAATTATGTGTAATCGTATCAAAAAAGAGAATATGTGCTTTAACGTTCTACAGTAGCATGTCAGTTATTTTTTTAAGTTTTTCATGTAAACCATGTCTATCGAAAATCGTATATTGCAATGCTTTGTGTTGTTTTACAGGGAACTTTAATGGAGATGGCTCAGATGACAATCTGAAGCGGGATGGGTCGGCAGCGGCCTCATCAAACGAGCTGGGAAACAGCTGGAGAGTGTTCAACAGCTCCGATGATGAGTGAGAATCCGTTCTTCTCAATTATCTCCATGCATAGTCTGCTCATTACAACAGTATCATTCTAGATTTGAAGTCTTCGGGACTGCAATGATCCATACTCGGTATCATTGCAAAAGCCTCTAGGCAATACACATAAGGCATTGGTATTGAAAAGGAATTAGATCTCCAGATAGAAAACGAGAGTTAAAATGAGCCACACAGTCACGTTAGATGTGATTGCCTGTGCTCCTGAGGGTATATATATGAGTGTCAGCAGTTTGGGCTACAGTGAGTGATCATCATGATGGTGATGGCGATGATGACTGTTATTATACTCTTTGGTTATTTCGGTAAAGTCACGTAGGTATAAAATAAAATAAATCACGACGTTTCGGGCGCAACACAAGCGTCCGTCATTTTATACCAGTCACGAAAGCTTCAAATCAAGACTGTTATTATGTTTGTGTTGATGTTTTCTCTTTTAAACAGTTATGTTAACCTGCGTGTCGTGTGTTGACAGTTGTCAAGATGGTACCGGGGACATACCTCCATGTGATGAGGATGAGAAGGACGTGTATGAATCAGATTCATTCTGTGGAATAATCACTGACCCTGAGGGTGAGTATTGCTGTCTGTTTATGTTTAGCTGTCACTGCTCGTTCACGATTGATTTCTGAAAACTCCACAAAAGAATCGACTTCATGAGGTTGAAGTCATGGCATTTCCGCTCCATGTCCTGTGTATCATCGTAAGTTTAACTGTAATAGCTATTATAGTCTGCGCATTCATTATTTTGTTCCATTTTTAATATTGTATTATCACTTTAAACAAATATAGGCTACAAAGCTCTTCTGCACGCAGCTTTCTTCTAAACTATTTTCAAAGCTACGTTAAACATTCCTGAACATAATTAAATGACATGATACGTTGTTGCTCATAATCTATGGTCGCTAAAAGATTACAACTGGCTGCCAGTCTTTTTAATGACTGATTCAGATTTCACTTGACATTGACTTTTGCCACATTCAGGAACTCCGATCACCGAATTTAGTGCCGGATGCAATCCACTGCATCACCATTTCCCTAAATACTGCAATCCTGTTGTTGTGGGATGTTTGTAAAAGTAATTTGTGTTGAAGGAGAGTGATGTGCCGATGCCGCTAACACTGACATCGTATTTCTCACTTCCATCAGGAGCTTTCAAAGAGTGCCACGCGGTGCTGCCTCCACAAGTCTTCTTCGACAACTGCGTGTTCGACCTGTGTGCCACGGACGGGGACCACGGCTCGCTGTGCCAGGCCCTGCAGGCCTACGCTGATCAATGCGCCCAAGCTGGGGTCATCGTCACCTGGAGGAACAACACCTTCTGCCGTGAGTGTGGATGCTGTTAAGCACTGTCTGAACTTTTGGCTCTTGAGTTATGAGAAGTACAAACATGTCTCATCAAAAATAATAATAATATCAGTGTATAGCATCTAAATACCTGAGCACACGAAGATGCTGTACTGGGTAATGTACAAGAACATAAATAGCTCATTCAGACAAAATCAAGAGGGGCTTCGGCAGATGGAGAAGCCATGTGACACCGTGCACTGCCGTTTTCACCTATCTAGCTGTCTGTGCTTTAGGCTCCATTAGCGTCTGACCTACCTGCGGTACGTTTAACTTCCATATTCTGGTAACATGTGCGCTATGTGTGCACGGGTGTGTACACGTGCACGCATGCATATACGTATTTCAAGTCCTTCTGTGAAAGTGAGAAACTCACTGATGGACGGTTCATTGTTCTCACATAATACAAGCATGTTATACATTTGCTGCAATATTTTGGGGGGTTTTGCACAGTGTAAGATTCATTCTTTGAAGATTTAAAACGTACTAATCTTATTTAAATACCTTAAAACCGAGATAAAATCTGGGCACTTTAAGCTGTTGTCTGCATGGCAAAACAGCTATAAATTACACAGCAAATTACAAACATTCAAGACTTTAAAAAAATGCATCGTTTGTGGCACCCACAGCATTCCCGTGTGAACCTGGCAGCCACTATGAGAGCTGTGCCCCACCGTGCCCGGCCACCTGCAGCAACGCAAGTCTCCCGGGTGGCTGCAACCAGCACTGTGCGGAGGGCTGTGTCTGTGACGACGGCTTTGTCCTCTCTGGGGACAAGTGTGTCCCACTGAGGAGCAGTGCGGTTGCCTGGATAACAATGGCCATTACCATCCGGTGAGTTACACACTCTAAGCACATCTTTACCGGGCAAAGTGCGAGTATCTTGCAAAATTTTTAAGATGCGTAACATCGACGTCCTCACTCTCCGAGAAACCCACGTTTCTAATGACAAACAGGACAGACACTACCATATCCACGACTAGCCACTACCATTCAGTATGACGTGGCCACATGTGAAGCACACCCTTTTTCAATACTTATGCATCATTCCTTTTATGTCGTCGGCAATATATGTTCAAGCACTGTATATATGTTTTTCTAAGTTTTTATTATCTTTCGCAAAGTCTGCAATTAGCAGTAATGGAAAGCCAAGGTTACCCAAAGAGATTTATTTTGAAATAATATAATACACCCATTATTTAAATCAGATGTTTACAGACTAGCCACATCCATAATGCTGCGTGTGTTGAACACTTTATACACACAGTAAAATTGTATTTCAAACTTACATTTTAAAATGTAAGGTCACTTGCAAATGTAAGGTCACTTGCACAATAGTGGAATCTGCAGAGACGCTGAATCTGTGTTGCGCGTGGCAGCTCGGGGAGAGCTGGTTTGAGTCTGGCAACTGCAGCGAGCGCTGCACGTGCTTGGGTGGGGGAGACATTCACTGCAAGAACTGGGAGTGTGAGAAGCACGAGATCTGCAGCGTGGAGGACGGCATCCTCGATTGCTACGTGCGAGGTGAGTTGCTGTGCTGCTTCACAAATGAGGAAAGCCATGACGATCGTCTCACAGAGAGAGAGACGGAGATTTTTATGCAACCAGGTAAGAGGTAAGTGTAGTGTTTGAGGGGGACCTGGAAAAATATAAATACATACCATCCATAGGGCTCCAAGAACAAATCATACAGCTTCAGTCAACCGAAAAACTAAAATTATTTTACATGAACACAGATGGTAAATAAACTTTAAATTCAATACATTATTGAATGGATCATCTTGTTTTAAACCCAGTGACCATCTTTAGGAAAGCATATTAATTGGCTTTAATGACTGGTGAAAATGTACTTTGTATCAATAAACAAGATAAGGGGAAGGATAACGCTTTGACATTTTTGCTGTTTCTTTCAGGAACAACCGCTTCTCCTCCTCATATCTCCACAACAGCACCACCGACAGTCCCGCCACCGAGTACGATGTTCACTTCACACTGGCAAAGCTTACAGTTGGAAACCATTGTGCTTTAGCAGAATTTTTTTTACCGACGTAAATACCTCTGCAACACCACCTGCCTGCCTTATTAGAAATGCTCATATCATCGTTGTTAGCCTCTCATCTTCATCACCCATGATCTGTCCACTTGTAGTTGAAATTATCTTACAAGTCATTTAAAAATAAACCGACATCCTTAATATTTTTTTCTAGAACCTGGTGACTGCGTGATCACTGGAGACCCTCACTACATCACTTTCGACAAGACGACGCACCACTTCATGGGCGAGTGCAGCTACACGGCAGCCATCCCGTGCAACCAGAGCTCCACCCTGCCCCACTTCAACGTGGAGACAACAAATGAGTTCCGGGGCGGCAGCACGGCCGTGTCTTACGTCAAGGAGGTCCACGTGGATGTCTACGGCCACAGGTTCACCTTGGCCAAAGGACGTCGGGTGCTGGTGAGCGTTACACCGTACCTTCATGGTCATGTCTATAGGGTTGCCACACTCAGGCAGAAGCTAAAGGGGAAAAAACACAAACGTTTTCATTTTCTCCTTTGGCTGAAAAAGGTAAACTTGTCTCCCAATTGTGCTGCACAGTATACCGGAACCTTGCTAACCTGATGAGTGCCCACTGAGAGAGCAACTTTCATCAATAATAATTATAGCTCATATAGCGTATTTCACACTCGTAAAATATAAAATACAACAATTACAATTAAGAAGTGGTTAAGTTAAAATAGGAAATGCTTTCTGAAAGAGAAATGTTGTTAGGGAGGAATGAAAAACCCTAGTTTAGTGGAGAAGCCTAGTACATACAATAGTTATAGCTTACAGACCTTTGGCAATCCATCTGCTGGACACGGCCCTCCTGTGCCATTCGTGGGGGTTGTGTGATCACTGTTCACGACGCTGGTCAATATAGGTGGGTGACGGAGGAGCTCAGGCTGGTTCAGATGTCATGTAATGTATTCATGAAGAATCGCGAAATCAAGCTAAAAGCATCTCTAATGCGCATTGTCGTCCTATCAAACTGTGTTCATCAAGTGAATGCTATGGTCTCACTTGCAGTGTTTGAACTCGAGGTGTTCTTGAGTTCGTCTGGTCGGTTGTTCTATGTAACGAGGCTTGCTTTCTGAAAGCGCCTGTGATGTTGTTAGCCACGGCTGGGAATCAAACTCAGGTCACTGGATTCATAGCGCAGTATGTGAACCCCTCCCACTTCTTCCCCAAGTCTCATCTGATAATGGCTTATTTTTTCTGTGATGGTTATTATGTTTACAATGATAATCTTATTTGTATTTAAACCATCATACTTGTAATTGTGTATTATAATTCATAGTGTTATGTGTAAACCAGTGCGTCCGCTCCACCACTCCACAATAATAGGATATACTGTAGCAAATATATATATGTTGTACGTGTAATATATATTCTAGGTTTTGCTCACTAAAATTGTTAAACATGTGCATGTGGAAATAACACAAGTGTTTCAAATCTATGACAGAAATTCTTATAATTTAACAATAGGTGTTTTTTTTCTCCAAAATATTTTGTTTATATCTCAAACAAAACGTTTCGGCAATTTAATGAAGCCAAGGGTGGGAGCGGAAATGATGGAGTGGTGTGTTGACCTGGGAAGTGGCGCAGGATTCCAGCGGTGGACCAAGAGTAGTGGGTACAAGTTTCCCTTGGCCTAGTCCGGCGTGTGCACTGTGTGCAGCACATGTACGGTACACGAGAAGGTGTGAGATTGTATTAGATGCACGACTGGGACCCTCACTTGAGCTGTGTGCTGTTTTACAGGTGGAAGGACGGCGTATGACCACTCCGCTGCTGCTGTCGGGGGTGCACGTGTACCTGAGCGGATCCTACGTTGTGCTCGAGACTGATTTCAATCTGGTTGTTCGGTTTGACGGAAACCACCATGTGGAGATAGTCGTGCCGAACGAGTACGCTGGGATGCTGTGCGGCATCTGCGGTGAGTGCCGAGAACAGGCTGGATGAATGCTGATTTGAACATTTATTTCACCTGACAATAAATCAGGCTCGCAATGATACAGGGGTTTGTACACTTTTCAATGGGAGACAAAACACTCTTAAAAACGGAAAACAGTCACGCAACAAGGTTAATTTACCAAGGCATGTATTGGCCTGCCAGGATCTGCAGGAAGGCACGTACTGGGCTACCTTCCTGATCTCGTCAAGGAACATAAACCATCACACGAACTCCGGTCATCCTCGCAGTGGCTTTTAGATAGTCATCGAATAAAGACGGTCACTGCATCGCGCGCTTTCAAATGCGCTTCTGCGACCGTCCGGAACGCTCTTCCGATATTAGGAAGCCACAGGAGCTATGCACTTTTAAATCTAGACTGAAAAGTATTTCTTTAAAATGACTTTTGTGTTTAGTTTGATGTCCTTCCCCCACACCTCCAATTAGCACAAGTTGGCTACGTACAGTGCGAAAGAAGTTCAACATACTTACAAGGCAGTTGCACGTTATCGTCATAAGCTTACCAAAATGGCCTCTTAACCATGACTTTTTGTGGACGTAGAGGGGAGGCTAAAATGTGACTCTCAAAGGAAATGGTAGCCAATCACACATATTAATAGCTAATCACCAGCTCGTCAGTTTTGGTTCACTAGTGATTAAAAGTACATCTAGATGATCAACCAGTGACTCGGTGGTTGGGGAATAGATGTGCAGGTAGGCAGAGATGGTCAAATACTTATCAAATTATATCTGCTGTATTTTGCTAAATATTAATGTAAATTACATGTAAATTAAATAATGTTCATATCTGTGGATAGGTTGTATGAACACATCCCATTAACCAACAATGTATACAACTTGACTTAAAGCTTTTGTGACTGCAGGAATTAATATTCTTTGGGTCTTTCGGTAAAGCCACGTAGATAGAAAAATAATAAAGTTATCACGACGTTTCGATCGCAACACAAGCAATCGTCATCAGGTGAAAAATATAGCGAGAAAGCTGTCGAGGCAGGAGAAAATACAGCGGGAGAGCTGCTGAAACACGAAGTGATATAGGCTTGAGATGGGCTCAGCCCAAGGGTAAGTGGGCGGGGTTAGAGGTGTAATTTGCATGTCAATGTAAGATCGGTGATGACCCTCCACGACAACGATGCAGCTGTGCAGGTGGCCATTGTATTGTGAGAGATTCGCGTGTCAATGTAAACAAACCAACGGTGGCTGTGCTTGTGAGACATTTAGCATGTATGTAACTCAGAGAGACGGAAATAACTGCTAGCATCGGCAGGTAGGATGGAAACATCACAGGCAGTTATGATTTAAACTGGTTAATAACGTCCTTCCAATGATTGCTCAGTTTGTACCCATCCTCTCGGTTGAAATTGTGTCTGTGTTGAAATATCTGGATGGCTTCATGAACGAATCTTTGTTGATAGCCAGTGGGCTTGCAGAGTATCTTCGTCTTGGAAAAATCGATTTCATGTGAGCCCACAGCGTTAAAACAATGATCAGCCACGGCCGAGGTATTGGTCCTACCGTGTTTCAGATCCACCTTGTGTTCACGAACACGGTCCGAGACATGTCGCTTAGTTTCCCCAATGTAACTACTGCCGCAGCCGCAGCTTAGTTTATAGACACTGGAGTATTGAATGTCAGGGATCACATCCTTCACAGATGGGATGAGATCACACATTTTATGTACTGTGTTGAATCGAACATGGATCTTGTGTTTGCTCATGGTTTTGGACATCTTTTTGGAAACACCTGCTATGTTTTGCCAACGTCGTGATAATTGTATTATTTTTCCACCTACGTGGCATTACTGAAAGACCCAAAGAAAAATGTATAAAACCCAGTGAAAACCCACTCATATGTAAAAGAAAACTGGTATTTTAAATCGCGTCTATACATAAATACCTTTTAATTATGCTTTAGTTCTATTGTATTGTATGCACATGGACCAAGTGGATGTTATATAAGTGGGCGCCTGCAAATACTTCTGAAGCACGATTGTGACTAAACGTCACACTGCACTTGTTGCAATGCTGACCTCGAGTCACGGTTTGGTCGCCCAATTCACACTGGGTCACCATGGCAACAAGTGCAGTGGCTTACCCAGTGCGAATTGTCATTTATAGTTTTTTCATTTTGAAGCCTTCCTTTATATTAGTGCTCAATTTAGTCGTGCACTGAGATGTCTTTGCACACTAGCGTTACTTTCATGTTGTAACCTTGCAGGAAACTTTAATGGCGATGGCTCAGATGACAATCTGAAACCAGACGGCTCAGTGGCCGCCTCCTCGGCAGAACTGGGAAACAGCTGGAAGTCGGTGAACAGCTCGGATGAGTGAGTAGCAGTCACCCTCGCACTCATCTCTTGCTGTAGCTGAGCGTAATGCCCTCATGTGGGCCCAATTCTTTGTTATTGGTTCTTTTGGTCTTGATTTTGTGTGCTAGCTTACTATTTGTCTATTAATTAAGCACACCATGGGAACTCTGGCAAGTGGATGTTCCATCTCAAGGGATTTTCCAGTTAACATTTTTATTGAAAAAAATATTATCTGTGTACCTTACAACGGATTTTACCCATCAATCCCTTGAAAACTCATACATTCTCACTACATTCAGAAAACAAACTTATACTCATAAGCAGCTATTGTGTGTGTTCGGAGAGTATTATTTGCCCATGCACTGAGCCCAGCGACCTGAGTGTGATTCCTGGCCACCGCTAACACCAGTCGCAGCTGATGTCTAAACTGGTCTTGGGTCCCCTTTCACCAACCCACAGTGACTTGGTCCGCAAACAACCACCATTACCAATACGGTGTGGAGATGCCTTCATCCAACAGTGAATTGACAAAGGGCTGTGAATTGTGGCAGGCGGGCGGTGGGGGGAGGTTCCTGCTATGACATCTGCAAGCTTTCACTCATTTGAAAAACAATCGTGAAATTCTTAAATATAATTATCACAAGCATATTGTTATTACTGTTACCATAACTTAATATTGCACTATTGTTTTTCATAGGACAGTGATATGCCGGTATTCCTTGGTGTTTGTTTTGGCAGATGCAAAGATGACGATGGTGGAAGACCTGAGTGTGATCCAGCGACACAAGTAGGAGTTTGAAAAGGAGGGATTCTGTGGCTTAATCACCGACCCCAATGGTAATGTCAATTCTCAGCATCTGGGTACTTTAATGCACATTATTGTGTAACCACTTCCATTATTCACATTATGCAGTATTGCACAACATAACGACGAAATAACCTACTACTGGTGCTTGTTAATTCACTACTGAATGAAAGCCTCTCCTCGTAATGTCAGTCATGGTTTTTTTTTCGTATTTCACCATGCTGGTCAGCGTGGACTGGTGAACGTTTGAGCAGCGGGTGGCCAGAGCCAATTGACATGTCACTCTCCACCTATGTTTAGCCATTTTCAAGAATCGAACTCGGGATGCTGGGTGCATAGTGCAGTGCAGAAACCACGGTGCCTCTGCTCCAAACACACGCGTGCAGTATTACTCTGCAAATAGTGCAATTATTTAACATTGTTTTCAAGGCCTCGTTTATAAGATAGTTAAGTGAATGGGACTTAAGTATTGTGTATTTATAGAACATCATCGACCATACAGGTAGTACAGCAGCTTTGATGCATGGCATGATGAAGCAGATCTCCTTTGACACCAGCAAGGTAGAGGCAGCGATAACGCTACATTCAATAATTGGCCTATCACTTTGTTTGCATGTTTGACCACAAGCATGTATGGTTAATGCAGACTTGATACTTTGCAATAGGTTTATATTTGGTGTATGAACACCTGTATTATTGCTGAAAATGTTGAAGCCATTTATTTTGTCATCATAGTGTTAGGACTGAAAGAGCTGTCATCAAAGGTAAACTGTCCAGTGTGATGGTACGGGTAACTATATGTGTCCAGCGCGTGGTGTAATGTTAATCGATCTCGTTGATTTGTAATTATTATTAGACTTGTGAAGAACTGGAGGTTAACAAAAATATTTTTTCTACATTACAAGGGGAGGTTGGTATGGTTTAATTACTACTGTATTCGGAAATGGAACCATACAAAAGCCCAAATCTCTCCTTATGCAAGTGAGGCTAGGCAGAGGCCTGCAAAGATTAAAATAACAAAGCTGCATTCACCCGACACACCTTTCCTGACATCATTGTGACCAGGAGCTTTCAAAGAGTGCCACGCAGTGCTGCCTCCACAAGTCTTCTTCGACAACTGCGTGTTCGACCTGTGTGCCACGGGCGGCAACCCCCTGTCGCTATGCCAGGCCCTGCAGGCCTACGCCGACCAGTGCGCCCAAGCTGGCATAATCATCACGTGGAGGAACAACACCTTCTGCCGTGAGTGCAGCACCCGCTGTGATGTCACCGCCACATGTTATAATCCTGTGCTTTGTTCCTATCAGAACAGGATTGTTGAGTAAGAATTAATGGATAACCTATATGTCGTGTCCATGTTAAAAAAATCAAAAGCCAAAGTGGTAGAATTGGGTTGCCACTCCCAGAGGTGAGTTATCACACATGTGGCACAGCTTATTCTACCGCTATAATCAGTTGGCAAATAATTTCTGTTGGGCCTGCATCAGCATTCTCAACTCACAAATATTACCTACATTCATACGTATTTTGATGTTCGTATTGCAAACTGTAGATGAGAATTCATAGACAAGAGCATGTTTGCGCTTTATTTGCGCCATGCTAGATGTATTCCATAATTTCAAGCTAAAAAAATAGATATATATTAACCAAAACATTTGTATAGAATATAATTGGTTCCACGGGCGCCACATTCAGTTGAGGCGTGCAGTCTCGAGAGAGCCCATCAATTTGTCATGGTTGTGGTGTCACACTGAGCAGACACACAGAAGGGATGTGAGACATGGGGCCCTCCCGTTCTGCAGGTGTCATGCCTCTGGCACGAAAGGAGTCTCAGTCGTCATGGAATTGGGTTTAAGGTGCCCACCATACGTAATCGTCACGTACATCCGGCACCTTTACCTCCCTATGATAAATAGTAGAGGGGCAAGGTACAGCTCGATTGGTTTAAATGTCAGTTTTTTTCCAAGTTGCGATAGAATTAATTTTTTCTCATCAGTTTCATCTGTGCATTCCTTGAAGATCTGTGGATATGTCATTGTCATGGCATTGAACTGAAATAAAATCAATCTTCGCACTTATAAATATGCACATTTTAAATTCGACTAAAATTAATTTGTTGCTATTACAGATGATTTGTAGAGGTTTTGTTATTTAGTAGAAACTATCGTGTGTGTGTGTGCATGTGGCACCCACAGCACTCACTTGCAAACCTGGCAGCCACTATGAGAGCTGTGCACCGCCCTGCCCGGCCACCTGCAGCAACGCAAGTCTCCCGGGTGGCTGCAACCATCGCTGTGGGGAGGGCTGTGTCTGTGACGACGGCTTTGTCCTCTCTGGGGACAAGTGCGTCCCCGCGGAGCAGTGTGGTTGCCTGGATAACAACGGAAACTACCACCCGGTGAGTTCTACTCATTCTTTCACCCTCGTGTAAACCCACCGGATCTTCCCAGTCGGCATTAATGGGTGCACTGTGCCTTGGATGATTTAATTTTGTATCAGATTGCATAAATAGTGTGTTGTAAACCCTCCTCCACCCGACACGGCCAATTATAAAAGTTGTCACGTGAACAAACATGCCAGTTTCACTGCTTCAGCACACCAGTGTGTTGAAAATAAATCCACATCACATTTAACAATTGGGTTGCCTGACGTTTCACTATAAGTAACAACCACCTTACTCAGCTTTACTAACTAGCTGTGTCGGGTGGAGGAGGGTTTACAACACATTTTTACGTACGTGATCTAGCCCAACATTAATTATGAGTCATATTATTATTCGCAGAAGCCTACGTGTTAAAATAGTGTGCCTTTTTTCATTGTTTATCTGGTAGCATTTGATTTTTTAAAAATCTAAAATACAAATTCCACTATTTGTGGTTATCTGATTACACTTGATACAAAATTCAACCACCAATGACAATGGAATGTGGTGAAAATTATTCGATTCATGTAGCGTTCTCAAGACTTTTTCACTGCCTTCACGATCGTGTGGTTGCAGCTCGGGGAGAACTGGTTTGAATCGGAGACCTGCGACCGGCGCTGCACATGCATGAGGCCCGGATCCGCGAGTTGCGATGCCTGGCAATGTGGATTGCAAGAGGTCTGCACGGTGGAGGATGGCATTCTGGGCTGCCACAGCAAGGGTATTTGTTTTGTCTAAGACATAAATATTTAACGATCAAACACAGACACCGTGGCAGAGCGCTATAGTCTCGTTTGGAAGACAGTGAGTTAAAATCATAGTTATAATGCAACCCAGCCCATCATCCCTTCAGAATTACAAGAATTATTACTACATAATTAATATCTAACTGAGGTTGCCTTGTGGAGAGATGTATCCATGGCACAGGAGCGTGGAATTTCCATCTGAATTGTAAATACTAATGCAGATAAAAATTATTCCCTGCTGATATGAGCATTGAGGCAGTGCTCATCTCCTGTTTAGAGCCCTGCACCAGTGATCTAAATTCCACGTTCCTGTGGAGGGTGCGAGTCTATCCATAGAAGCGCTACGGTGGTGAGATGTTGTCTCCCTCACCTGGTACGCAGGAGATCATGGCATCGGACTTTGCATATTCTCTCTGCCCATGGTCGTGTGTAGTTTTTAGTGGGTCCTCTGGTGCTTCCCTCTACACGAAGCAACATGTGTTAAGTTTCATTGACTGCTACTTTAAATTCCCACATATAATGATATAAGCCACTTTGATGGCCAATCACGTGTGCCCATGCCACCTCTGAATATTAGTCCAAGCTCAGTTAGTTAGTTTAACCACAATCGACTTCCCCACAAAGTGGCAACCATTTTATCAAACCCAGAGGGGTGATGGGCTAAGTTTACCTACAACCAGGATTGTGAGTTGCTCACTCTAATGTTGAACCATTGGAGATGGATATCACCAAATCTGTGTTTGAATATGGGGAGACATACCCACTTTTTAAATTTAAATTGAATAAACAATCATTTTTTATCCAATTTCATCAGTGCCCATTGGTGTCGAACCAGGAGTTTAGCTAGTCCCGACAGGGACATTCATCCGAACCAACGTGCTCTCTTCTTTTACCTTCACATTGGAGATAATCTAGATTAACATGAACTGGCCTCAACAGCCATGGCCTCTTCATGTATCGATGACACTACTTATGTCTTTGCGTTACCATATGGTTTAACATTTGTTATTGCTTTAAAAAAATCTACTTTAAGCTTTCATTCAGGGTTATAAAAAAGGTGGAAGTTTCAGCAGCACCATTGATTAATACGTCTGTATGTGATCATCGGTGACTGGACATATCTCGAGTTAAATTTCATGTAGAGTTGTCTGTGGGTTTCAGTCGTTTGCACCCGCTGCTTGTCGTGAGAAGGGCCTGGTTGTGTTTCTGTGCCCCAGGTTACGCCACGTGCCACGTTGCCGGAGATCCCCACTACTTCACCTTTGACTTGATAATGATCAGCTACATGGGCACATGCACGTACACGCTGGTGGACGTGTGCAATGACACCAACGTGACGCCCTTCACCATCACCGCCAAGAACGAGGAGCGCGGGCAGGCGTCCGGCTCCTACCTCAAGCACGTGATCGTCGACATCGCGGGCCACCGCGTTACCCTGCAGAAGAGCCACCGCGTGCTGGTACGCACGGATTGGGCACCGTGAGAACGTACAGTCGCAGTTGAGAAAGAGAAGATTATTTATGGGCAGAGTGGGTGCGGCAGAGTGCCCATCTCACAGTTCGATTGCTGGCCGTGGCTAACATCAGTGGCGAGTGGTATCTGAACTGGTGCCCAGCAGCCCACCCCACTAACCGGTGTGGTGAAGCAATCACTGATGTGGTGTGGGGAGCAGATTGACAAAGAACTGCAAAAAAAGTATCTTATCAGCATTCCCTGAAACATTTGCTAAACAGTAGATATAAAATAAGTATAACATTTAAATCTATTTAAGAAGTATATGTTAATGGGAGCTTATCATGTGAATTTAGTTACGTTTTTTTTTAAGCAGGAATGTCCTTACTGTGACGTCAAAACATCTGAAAACATTTAATAATGGTTCCATTATGATTTTGGCAATGAGCAGATATGATTAACGTACAATGTATCACAGGGTTACATTGTCTTTTGTGATATGTAGTTAATCGTACAAAGTAATTGTGTGTGGTAAAAATGAGAGGTCTTGTAAAACACATCATGCATCGTGGTTTATTTTTCTTTCTTAACAGGTCGACGATAAGCGAATTAAGACCCCCATCGAAGGTTTGGTCCCAGGGGTTAAGATTGGCATAAGCGGAAGCTACGTTCTCCTGGAGACTGATTTTGGCGTCACAGTCAAATTTGATGGAAAACACCACCTTGAGATCAACACTCCAAGTACTTACTTTAACAAGGTCAGTTTGGTTCGGAGACTCAGCACCTACCTTGCAACAGCAAATGTCAGAGGCACACTCGAAGGAATGGTTTAAATAACATTCACTGCTCCCATGCTCAGGGCCTGTGTCACACAGTGGCAGTGGCAGAGAGAACCACGGCAAGGGTAGTGGACCTGAGAGGTGATAATATTCCTACATTGAATCATGGGGTTGAAAGAGAAAATTGATTACTGAGCAAAGCTGTGTGAGGAAAGAAGGAAGAGCATGAACGTTCCATCCTAAAACGAGGTGGCAGCATCATCATCATCAGCCGCGATCGATTCACTGATGGATGAAGGCTTTTCCAAGCTGACGTCATCTTGCATGGCCCATAATTTGACAATCCCCACCAAGCACCTGCACAAGAACTGATTTCATTGCTCCGTCTTCGTGGTGGATGCCCTCTCAGGAGACAGCAGCATGCGTTTTAATGGATTCATGGTGAACAATGTCCTATACAGACATATATGTTGAAATATTTCTTTACACTGTCGCTGTAATTCGTTTAGATGGTTTTGCCTGTAGCTAATACCATAGTTTTATTATGACCGCACGGATACATTAATTGTAATACAGGGATGGGATTGATAGAACGTTATAACTAGCTAAGTAACTATTGGAAGGTTTATTAATTAGTTTAATGTAATCAATTCTTGGATGCAAGGAGGAATAATTGCGCATGAACAATGACTGCACAGTGACCCACACCGCATCATTAACTCCATTCCGCAATCTAAATACACGTAGACAGGCTCCATTTTTGCCATGGTCCAGGCTATCTCAAATGTTCTATGCATTTAAATTCACTGGTTATCATTGCAGTCAATAATTACCAGGATTAAAAATGAATGTAGAGTCCATCTCATCTTCTATATAGACCCATTAACCCATGACACATATGTCGTGATCATGTCAAAAATGTCTTACATTGGTTCTTGTTTGACCGTGCAACAGCTGTGCGGCCTATGCGGCAATTACAACCAGAACGGCACAGACGACTACCTGATGCCCAACGGGGAGCTTGCCACCAGCGCCGCCCAGCTCGGAGACAGCTGGAAGGCCGAGGGAGACGCTGATGCTGGGTGAGTCAGCCAATGTGCACGGTTTGGTATCATACAAGCCACACAGCATAACGTGTTCCATGTGGTAATAGCACATTACAGTGATGTATATAACACCGTGTCAATCCACTGCTAATAGAAAGGCCCCTCACGTCGGGTTTGTCTGACCATACTTGACCAAGCTTTACATTGTGGGTTGGTGAAGTGTGGGGGGCTCCAGACGAGTTCAGATGTCAATTGCCACTGACGTATCCATGGCCGACGATCAAACTTGGGTCGCGTGGTTTCATAATGCGGTGTGCTAACCACTGCACCACCACACCACAACATTGCTTAATGTATCCTTACTTTAATTTACAATGAAAACATGAAGTACCTGAAACATTTATCATTATTTCATATAGTGGCATTGGTCTATCACATTATTTTTGTCAAAATCACGCATATGTTTACGTCTATAACAACAAAGATAACCATGCGTGTGATTTATTTTTTCACAGTTGCAAACCAGACGAGCCGCACATTCCCGGCTGTGAACCAATCAATGAAGAGGCCTATAAAAAGATGTGTGAAGTCATTATCTCTACCTCAGGAGCCTTTGCCAAGTGCCATGCCGAGATAGATCCCGAGCCTTTCCTGAAGACGTGCATCTACGACATGTGTCAGTTCCACGGAATGGAGAGCACGTTGTGCGATAACTTCCAGGCATATGCGGAGGCCTGCCGCGCAAAGGGCATCAACATCCTGTGGCGCAATGAAACCTTCTGCCGTGAGTTTTCTGCCTGAGGAAATTTTTGAAAATTTATAGATATCCATTATGAGAAAAATTTTAATTAGACACCAGCAACTTTACCTCCATGGTTGAAATATAAGCAACAAATTCCTTTTCTGCTTATGTTTTTTTTACCAAAAATTCCGAGCTATATCTAAGAGAACATGTGGTCAATATGTGGAGTATGGACCATTTCGTAACACACTGTAGTCTGCTCTCCTTCAATGGAGGAACAGCACAACTACACAAACTCTCTCCTGAAGCCGTGTCGCAGCGGCTAGCAGACTTCGGCATTGTCATTAAGCTTGTGAACATATTGCTGCCATTCTCAAGAATATAAACAACACGTAACAAAATCATTTGAAACATAACCAAGACACCCGTATGATAAAATCCGTACGTGTCTCTCCATTAGCACTGCCATGCCCGCCGAACACCCACTACACGCCGTGCGCCTCGCCCTGCCCGGCCACCTGCTCGGACATCTACGCCGAGGACGGCTGCCAGAGCGCGGCTCGGTGCGCCGAGGGCTGCGTCTGCGACCAGGGCTTCGTGCTCAGCGACGATCTCTGCGTGTCGCTGGAAGCCTGCGGCTGCTGGGACGACGAAAACAACTACCACTCGGTGGGTAGAGAGACTCCGCGTGGTCCACGCACACTGTGCTGCTCCATGCACCTCTCGTTCTCTGCGGTTAACACTTGCAGGAGCTGATTAGTAGAATAGCTAGCGTACTAGACATAATGGAATATATACGCACGATACCGGGTGGATCAGAGAGATAATGTCTGCGTTGAAGAGCTGAGTCCACGCTGAAATGTGAGTAGCCACCTATGGCTAGATTGGTTCTCAAGTATAGCAGCAAGTTCACGATCTCAGGCCAGTCATCATTGACTGTACACAAAAATCATGGTGTAAAGTTATACTTTAACATATTTTCTTTCAATTCAGCTTGGAGGACCTGGACATGTCATTGTGATTCCCATTCTGTGAACATTATATGTACAATATATGTGTCATTTAGCGTAAGAAAAAAGGTCTATTGAATGTATTTCATGACGTCATCCCTCACGGGAGTTTTCTCAACATGTGATGCACTGCTATGAACATTCCCCAGTGTAAATGCAATTCTTTATGGGGGCACTCCAGTTACACATTGGCCAAGAGCAATGTGTTCATCTAATTTCACGATTCTCTACACGAGTGATGCCAATGTTTGTGATGCCACCTGCAACACAAAATACTTAATATGCCATTACTTTGGAATGCTAAAAGACTATAATCCCACTGATCTCTCTGAACAGCGTTGGTAAGAGGGCTTTTGTCTCATTCGCTGCAACATTGTGTACTCGCTTTGCATGACAACTTCAGTATGTGCCTAGTTTGTGGGAAGGGTGTGTGAGGTCTCTGTATGACTAAGCTGGTGCTGGGACCTCCTTTGCCAGTACCAAAATAAGATAATAGGTTTTTCCCCTTTTTTCTGGCAACAAAACAGGTGTTAAGATGTTAAAACGCCAAACTGCAACCTTTTACAAGGAATCATGTCTGCATTAACCATAATGCTTGTGGTCAGAATGCAAACAAAAAACACACTCTGATAATATATGCATTATCCTTGAAACTGATTGGTCCACACCAGAGACAGCTTTCTTTTGAGCCTCGTCTCAAACGGTGTTAGACCAGAGGACGTACAGCCCAAGGACAATGCACTATCAGAGTAATGAGAGCTCGGGGTGAGCATCTACATCTTAACACCTGTTTTGTTGCCACAAAAAAGGGGGAAAACCTATTATCGACTAAACTGGTGATTGAGTGTGGTGTGTAAGATGTCGATTATTATTACGAGGTGTCTTTAAGTCGCTTTTTTCATAGCAGTCGTGGTATAAATGTGATTAATTTTTATCCGTTATAAATTAAGTGTTTTCAACTTACGTGGCATTGCTTCCGTGCATCTTCCAGTTTGAAGAGTCCTGGCTTAGTGACAACTGCAAACGAAAGTGCGTTTGCTCGGTGCCTGGCAATCCGAGCTGTGAGGCGCACAGCTGTGTGGAACACGAGAGTTGTCAACTGAAGAATGGGAAGGAATCTTGCCAGCCTGTCAGTAAGTGTTGAGCAAAGCTCATGCGTGCATGGCACAGGGTGTGCAAATCCCAAATGTCTTAATTTGTACCTTCATGGGCTGTTATTTCTGCTGCCTCCCGAAAATGCAGTTTTTTCAGGAACTGGTCGGTTTTACAAAATGCATGAGGTTGATAGCTTTTGTACGTGCATTTAACACTTTTGTGTATTGAGACTAACTGCATCGCTGCCCTCGCTCTCCTAGCCCTCCATTACTGAGTTTTCTGTAAAAAAAAAAAAATTAACCCATGTGGAAACATTTTATCCTCTGTGCCAGGTTACAGCACGTGTTCAATATCTGGGGACCCACATTACCAGACCTTTGACAAGAGGCTGTTCCACTTCATGGGTCGTGAAACATACACGCTGGTGCAGAGCTGTGGGGACAACAATAACCTCCTGCCCATCAGAATCCTCGGCAAAAACAAGCGCGTCGGCCACAACCACCGTGTATCCTTCCTGGATGCAGTGTACATTTACGTGTACGGCTTCAAGATCAAGTTTACCGACAGAAAGGATTTCGAGGTGCGGCGTTGTTCCCATTAACCTTTTTTAAACATATCGGATTGTGCTGTCAGTTACTGATGTATGCAGCAGTTTCCACATACACCCCTGAAATATTCCATGACATCATGCGGAGAGGTAAACTGAGATGTGAACGCGATGTAAATAAAGTGCCGAGTGTGTTGTTACACACCTGTGACGCCAGCGAGGGTTGATGGATTACGGTAGAGTTTGTGGATTGTGCAGAAATGCATATTAATCTGGTAGTTGGTGGTGGCGCATGTCTGTAATCTATCACTGTGGAAGTGAGGGTTGATGAATCACACAAATGTTGTGAAACTCCCATTCCTGTGGGCATTGGAATTCCATCCCATGGCTTGCCGAGAGAATGCAGTACAGTATAATGTAGACTCCATATTTTCTTTCTTTATGGAATAGAGTGTTGCCCCTCACAAATGAGGGTTGTCGATAGGTGCTCCAGTTTCTTTCCACGTGTAAGCACTCATTAATATATAGAGGACCGCAGAGCTCATTCGGCACCGGCTCCTCACTGCCTGGCTACCTTCCCGTTTGTCTGTGGTTCCTCGCGCCTCAGAGTCGTTCTCTCCATTTGCGAGCAAGCGAATACTGTACAGCGTGTTACAAGTTTAAATTATTATCAAACATGTTGCCTGAAAATGGCAGTACAGTAACCTAGAAGATGAATCCCTGCAGTCACGAAAGCTTTAAATCGAAACCCTCTCCCACTTATTTTTCGGTAAAGTCTACGTGACTTTACCGAAAGAACCAAGAAGGTGAATCCCTGCAGTCACGAAAGCTTTAAATCGAAAGTCCTCTTTATTCTCTTTTAGTTTTAAAAGTCTCTCCATCTCAATAGAGATGATTGCCAGGGATGAAAGTCGTCTTTGGTCAGTCCGATCCGACTATGTTTTGAGTCACTTCAAAGCAGAGAACGACCTTTCAACGGACGCTGTTGTAGCTGGTATAGTGAGCACCACCAGCTGGAGTAACCTTATTACCTCGGGAACCGTCTGCATCAGATCATTCTGAGCAAAAAAGCTGAGGAGCTGTCCGGGTGATTTGCATTCGTTCCCCACCATTTGTGAACTATACAATCCGAGCACCAGGTTCAATTTGTGTGCATAACAATGGGTAAACGTGGCTTCAGGTTCCTTTTCTTTAATCTTGGCCTGCACCCCATTAAGATCTGATGCCATCACAGAGGCTCCGCCATAAGTCTGAGCTACCAGCTTTTCAACGCAATTGTATTTCCCCAACACTCCAATAACATAATCAGCAATAGTCAGTGCTCGTCTGTCATCACTGACATCATCAAATCCCAAGAACGTCTCCCTCACCTCACGAGTCACCTCACTTTTAGCTACAGCGCAAAATTACAGAGGCCTGGGCTTTGTTTGTGTCATCCGTTGTCTCGTCTACTTCGACTGCAACAAATGGGGCTGCATTCATCTCCTCTTTGATATCATTTCTAATTACATCACCGACTGCTTCGATTAAATAGTTCTGTATTCTGTTTGATAAGCCAGAAAACACAGTGGATGTCTCCAAATGTCTAGCTAACTTTGAATCTTTCTCAGCAAAAGCAGTTAATAGCTCCACATAGTTGCCACGATTAGAAGAGCTTGCACCTCTCATCGTTACCACGAAATGCGGATTCCTGTTTGGCGAGGAAGCAGGTCGCATTAATAAGGTCTTTTAAAACCTCGCGGGTTTCCTTTACCTAAGCATTGTGGATGCTGATATTACTTGTAGGAACCTCCTGGTTACACCAGAACACAGGGGATTATTGTGTCCGTCCGTCGTGCAGGGAGGGGCTTGGTGGGGAGGGTGGGGAGGGGCTGGGTGGGGAGGGGAGGGGCTGGTCACCCCGTGGTGCCCTTATAAAACTCAACGTTTAACCTACTCACGCCGGCTTGTGCCCGCCCTCACAGTCGGGCATATTTGCGAAATACACCACGCCGCCGTTGACCCTGGCCATTAACCGAGCAACCCAACGTTCCTACCAGCTCCCTCCGCAGGAATCTGTTTAATTTCCACTGTTCATTCAAAGCCAGATCTATCCTTGAAGCTCCAAAAGTTTTTAAAGCAATTTGGCTTTGAATGTGAGTTGTCGATTTTTCATGTTTATTGAGGCTTCTTAGTAGATTGTTCAAGTCACAAAATCCCGCGTTAGTCCAAACGTTGTCGGTAGTGGAGAACAGAAGGCAGGGAAAGCAGTAGAGGCGAATATTCGTACCACTCCATTTGAAACGACCGTGTTATTTTCTGTCCCTTCGTTTGAAGTAGGTTCTTAAGCTCAGGCATTGGTCTTCCATTGTTTATAACTCCGTGTTTTGATTGAAAGTCCAATTTTTTTAATTTTTAAGGTTAGATATAACGTTTTCCATTTTTGCAGCTGCTGGAATTTTTTTGCTAGAGCCGACTAACGTGGAGGGAGAGCGAGCGTCAATTACGTGGGCTCAAGGCACGCCCCCCATAGTGAGGCAGATGTGATCGCTGCCTCCCCTGGTGCTTTTTTATTGCAGTTTTATGACGAGACCAGCGACCCTAAATATCTTTATACACAGACGTGAAATAAGTTACATGGACTATGGAAGGCGAGGACATGTAATGAAGGGGTCTACAAACATTACATTAGTGACATATAGAGAGATAGTAACAGGCACGCGCTCATTGCCCGCGCTCCATCCAGTTTCTGTATTTTCAGCGAAGCTCCGCAAATTTGGAGATTTTGACTATAAGAAATGATTGGAATCATATAGAAATGTGCATTTATAACACAAAGCAGCTATTTTCATTGGAGTATGACAGGTGAGGCCATGCCTCCCCTGACCGCACGTCCCTGGGTTCCACCACCACTGCCTATGTTACTGCCTTCATTAACATCTGTGCAAAAGCAGTGTCCACTTGCCCAATGCTCCATCACATTATCCATTATGACTTATGTTCTTGCTCTGCAGCTGAATGGGGTAAGAACGAAGCCCCCATCGAATCCCATGGAGGGACTTGAAATCGTGCACACCTCCCACAAGATGGTGCTCAGGACGGACTTTGGCCTGACTGTCATATTCGATCGCAAATCACACGCAGGTAAAGAGTCTGGATAATGAAATTGCTTCTTGCTCGTCAGTGATTACCTTCATCACGTGATGCAGTTACTACATATCACAAACAGTTCTACAGACAGCGACTTCCTATTGCCATTTAATACATGTGGGGTGAGCTGGAAATTAAGACATGAAACACAATGTATTGCACACAAACCTCCTTATTAAAGGACAATTGAGCCAAAATCAGACCGTTCATTTTGCAGATACATACCTAGCCGCTGCAGTGACGTTTTTATGAAGTGGGTGACACCTGTGCGGTGACTCAAGTGCTTCTGTGACCTCACACTCGTGGCGGATAGCCCAGGAAACATGGCCCGAGTGTGTATCTACGAAATAAGAAATATTTGTTTTCTCGCGACCAAATCACCCTAAATGCATCTGAGCTCGTCAGAAATTGGAAGCTGAGCAGAGTTCAGCTTGGTCAGTACTTGAGTGGGTGACGACCAGCATGGGTACCCAGTGTATTAGGCGATGGTTGTGAGTGCTACGAGATGCTTGTAAAAGGGAGTGCAGCAATGCATTCAGTCTATAGATATATTTGTTTCACTCACAATACGGAATCTGTTTATAGAGTGCCATCCTCTTCAATGTGTTAATTTTCTCCAGGTGCTGTAGTTTCCTCCCACATCGTATCGAGCTCTGATTAATTGTTAATTTTATACGTCGGATTTCATCACCAGTGTCACGATACATAATTAGTTTGTGTTGGGTTAAATCGTGGAGGCATATCTATGTTTTAGCCCCCACCACCCAACAGTGTCAATATTGGTTTAGCTGAAAAAAATTGGCCATTACAACTGGCACGATTATCTAACCCAAAATAAACTGATTAGGAATCACTCATATCGATATTGACCAAACATCCCAGTGTAGGATCCTCATAAAAAAATATTATATCAAAACAAGGTGAAGATTATTTTCAGGGGGGAGTAAACAATTGTTATTGTGTTTTTGGGTTGTGGCTTCCTTTAAGGATCTATATATATGTAGAAAGTGGTGCGACAGAATCGAGTGTTGAATGTTGTTTTTTTTGTGATTGATGTAGACGTGACCATTCCCAGTTCTTATGCTGGCCAAGTGTGTGGCCTGTGTGGGAATTACAATGGGGACACGAGTGATGAATTCAAGACTCCCGATGGATCGCTCGTTACTTCCGAGAACGTGTTTGGCAACAGCTGGGAAGTCAATGACCGACGCAGCCTCTTTGAGCAGTACGAGTCACCCGTTTTCAGGTGAGATTTATACTTCTTGCAGCAACATCTGAAAAATCTACTTTCCTCTACTCTTCGTATCTACCGATAATATTTGTATTCGAATTAATGATGTCAATTTTAATAGATCATGGGATTAGATGTATTTAAGGTAACACGACAACACATAACCGGTGGGCCACCGGGAGGAGGCGACCGTCTCTCCGTCAGTGCGACTGTGGCCATGCAACACAAACTACGGACCATAAAGCAACAGACTGCAGTCTACGCTCCTTCGATGGAGGAACAGAAAATCTACACAAACTCTCCTGAAGCCCTCTCGTCGCGGCTAGCAGACATTGACATTATTATTATTATTTACTGTATCTCCTGAACATATTCCATATGCAAGATTAGAATCTACTCGCCAAATAAAACTGGCAAACCCCCTTTTGTAGCCTACAATGACTTTGACTTGCTTCTGACATTCATGACGGCTTAATTAATAATTTGCAATGGCGGTTAATCTTGTACATTGTGAGTACAGGTCGAAACGTCTCGTTGAGGAACCCCGGAATGACCTCAACCTCAGCTGCAGCGATGAGCAATGGGCAGAGCTGGAGAACAAGAATTCCTGCGGAGTGTTCCGTGATTCCGCTGGGCCCTTCGAGCAGTGCTGGATCGCTGCCCCGTGGGACCCGTATTACACGTGCGTCCACAGCTGAGATGAGCGGTGCATTGTATTACATTAAATACGTGGTATATGAGAATTAAAATTCAGGGTGTCCACAGATGTAAAGGTGGTGACAACCCTGCAAATTCTCACTCGTGCCACTGCTGATGGAGGAGCCTCCACTCCAGCGAACTCTAGAGGGTATTTGGTCTACTCTTCCACGTTAACTATGTGTTGGAAGAGGTGGGCGTACCCACACTTTACCCCACCACACGTGACCTGCCGATCGATTTTGTTGAACACTGCTGGCTAGACAGCGGCGGTGGGGGGGGATTTGAGAACTGCCATGCCAGAAGATGGTATTGAACTGGTAACTTCTGGATTGCAAGTCCATTGCGCTCACCATTACCCCATAGCGGCTCCTTAAATAGATTATCCTTCAAAGGCACTTTAAAGCTATACCCACAGACCCATGATAGTATGAATAAATTACTACGAGTTTCATCACTCTCTGGGGAATCGCCAGGTCTATTGAATGTCTTCTAAGCTAGTTTATTTGGACACAGCATGCTGCCTCGATGCAGCATGCCAACAAACTATTGCACGTCCACGTGTCCAGTACTTTCAAAATTACGATGGCACAAAATGCACATCAATCATGGCGGTGTTTTACCAGAACATCTTTGGGATTCTCAATTCATGCTGAAAATATCCTTTCAAAAATTCACGTACAAAATGTAACGTTGCGCTTTCTCTTTTTTTATATTATAAACAAAAATACTCGTCCAACACCTAGCCATAAATCATCTTAAGTCTATAAGAAATGTGTCCAACATTTCAATCCCACTGTTCAACCGGCTGTGTAGTTATCATACCTCTATGGACACCATATTACAACTCAAGGGACTGCATTGACACCTCACTACCCTCATCAATGAGAGTACAAAAGGGCTTATGTAGCAGGGTTACATCATGGCCAGTCAGTTGCCCTTCTTCCAAGCTGAGAAAGGGAAGTTAAATATCGTCTGAGTTTTAGTTGGAAAAGACACTTACAATATGGGGCCTTATAAACACCTGGTCCAGTTGAGTTAGCTGATATAATTACATTAATTCATATACAGCCCTTTGTGAATCCGCTACTGGGAAAAGGCTTCTCCATGGCCTGTTGATCATGGATTTTACTTGACCATACTTCACCGCGCTGGTCAGTGTGGGTTGGTGAAGGGTGGCCCAGGACAGGTTCAGGTATCACTCGCCTCTGATATTAACCATGGCCACAAATGACAAAGGGATGAAATTTTTCTTATGAAGTTTGAAAATTACGTGTTTACATACCGATAATCGTAAATTATTATTTTTGTTGGAGGTACTATTAGGATTGGGCATAACTGTATTTGTATAATAATGGTAATGAGTGCATGCATCATGTTTTTTTCAGGAACTGCATGTATGACATGTGTGAAAACATTGGAGACAAGGAGTTGTTCTGCAGCAGTCTGGAGGTTTACACGTCAGCCTGCCAACAGGAGGGCATCACTCCCAACAACTGGAGAATCCACACGGGCTGTGGTGAGATGAATCACCGATGCCACTCCGTGCCTTGAGCCTCTTCCACCCACATTTTAACATTTCACAAAATGCGCAATCACTTTCTTCAGAAAGGGACTGCTGTCGTCACAAGAGATGTGCTTTTGTCGGAATTGGTTTTGGACCTAAGTTTTATTCATAAAAAGAGTCTATTAGGGCACTACTGAAACTGAACCAGTGCAATTTTTTGAGTCTCATTAGCAGGGTGAAACATTTGGTGTATGCCTGCTTAAAATGGAAATATTTCTGGAAAACATTGGCCTATTGGCTGATCGACAACAAAGTTGTGTTACTTGTACTTTAAACAAATAGACCCTTTGTAATTTTATTAAAGACAATGCGCTGCTCATAACAGTGCATAGTATATTTTGGAGGGTGGTGAAGTATGGTCAACAACACGCATGACCCACACATCATGGGGAGGCCTTCATCTGGCAGTGCATTGACGAAGGGCTACAAATTAGTATTACATCATAAAGTCATACACATGGCTGGGGCTTTTACGTATGTTGCCATATGTATGCATTGGTATGTGTGTGTGTGTGCGTACACAGTACCGGCGTGCCCTCCAAACAGCGTCTACGTCGAGCGCATGTCCGCCTGCCCGTCCACCTGTGGAGACTTGGCCGCTTCTTCGAACTGCGAGCTCCCCGACGTGGAGGGCTGCCAGTGCTTGCCCGGGTTCGTGATGAGCGGCTTCGACTGCGTCCCCTTCACCCAGTGCGGCTGCCTCTACGGGAACTCCTATCACGAGGTAATGATACAAACAAAGAATGGATAAACCACGTGGCGTATACTATACACTCAGATACAGTAAAGTCCCCATTCCTGCTCTTTTAAATAGAAAGCTGTGAAATTCACCTTGGTGAATCTTGCTATGACTGCCTCCCACTGATTGCTGCACTGTCCAGGCCAATGTGAAGCTAGACAAGTTCCATCTGTGTGATGGGATTCGCAGTCTGAACCTGAATGACGTGTGGACATCAAGGAATGCTGTTATTCGGAAGTATTTCATGTTTTCTGGTGGTTCAGGTTTCACTCGTTTTGCAGAAATGTGTAATACGTTGAGTGTTCTGGGCACGAAACACATTGCATTGTGAGGTGTGTGTTTAGAATAAATGCGTGATATGTATGAGAGACGTGAATTATACAATTATTGACAAGAACCAGCTGTGCCCCAATTTGTTGTCATGAATGTTAATATTCTCTGCTACCCTACGTGTATTCATGCAAGTTTGTGGAGTGATGTGCTGAAGTCGATTAACAGCATTCATTTGTGATCTAAAATTGTATGTCTGTACACCAAATCAATTTTCTTGCACATTTTCACGTGTGTAACATTGATTGGCGTGTGTGTGTGTGTGTTTGCCCCTTTGTGCATAATGAAGGTTGGGGAACAGTTCTACACATCCACCTGTGAACAGTCGTGCAAATGTCTGAAAACAGAGACGTTGGTATGCAACAGATATAGTTGTATTGAAGAGGAAGTGTGTACCATCAGCAACTTCACCATCGGCTGTTTCGCCGGTAAGAATCACGAACCATAACGTGCTTGATAAATTTTACGTAAACGCTCTCTTGCTTTTTTCAAGTGCGTGCTGCTGGTAGGAGAAGTGGGGTTTTTCTTCTAAACAATAATCAACGAAGAGAGCCACCCTGCAGTAACTTAAGAGCACCCGACCCACAGTTGTTACCTTGAGTTTGTATGTTTGGACGCTAAATTTCTTCCGCACCGTACGTAGCCAACCGTGCTCATCGAAGGTGTGGATACTATAGACCAGGGGTTGACTCAGCCACTAATCTCTTTGGGAGTGATACAATGACTCATTTGATTAAAGTGTAAAATTATTTCCCTGCGTAAAACATGGCCCTCATCACGTGAAATGTACTTAATTGCTTTAAACCATTGGTAAGTACCACTTGATAGGGAATCCTTTTCAGATGCAAATATACTTTTTAAACATTTTAATGTATTACTGCTTTTAAATGTATATTTCATAAACTTCGTAATCCGGGCCCGTTTTTGACACGGCAATTCCAGACCATGCTGTGTAAGTCCCAATTTTGTCTTTTGCAGCCGATCCATGTGCCTCATCCCCATGTCAGAATGGAGGCACCTGCTCCATGAATGGCGTTGAGTACGAGTGCACCTGTCCTCCCAACTACAATGGAACGAATTGTGAAATTTCACGTGAGTGGATCCGTGTGGCTTCTGCTGTTTAACTGCAACGTACAAATTCTGCTCACAAGCAACATTACTCGATACATCTAAAAACCGTATTGTCATGGATACAGTACATTATTTAAATCTCAATATTAAACAATTGCCTTACAAACGCATGTCAACTTTTACACGTGCATAAGTAATTGGTTGATCAATTGATGACATGTCCAGCGAGCACCAGACACAAACCAGGCTGTCTCTTTAAGGCTGTTGACAACTTTATCTTTTCTGAGAGTACTGATCTAGTCTAAAGCCACAAGAACAGCAACTCTTACCTCGTGCTGCAGTAACAAACTGAAATGCCAGTCCATTCAGGAAGCCCATGTTTTGTAAGGGTATTCTAATGTACAAAGAAATATAAGCACGGAAACATGCAAACACAGACATGCACGTTTGGTGATCACACTCACATCCTCACCTTTTAATACACACGTGGTTATCGCACTGGTAAGCAGGACAATGTTAATTTCCACAAAAAATAGCTTTTGAAAGTATTTTACTGTACATCTTGTCAGGAACTATGCATATCTGGGCATTGGTAATGGTGAGTTATGTGGGTTTATAGCGATTAGTTTAGGAGCTTTATAGTTTTTGTGATGATATGTGAACTGTACTCGCACAGACAGACCAATGTAATATTAACAAAACATAACAACGCGTAGCCTGTAGGCTCCTGAAGAATATGCTGCTCACTATCAGTGCGGAATAGAGAATGTGTAAGCATCCAACTGCAGCTCCACCTGACGTACGTTAAAATGAGACTAACTACCTGGTAATGTTGCTAGTGATGTATTGGCAATAGTGCACAAGCACAAATAACAAAACCTCAACGCATTCATCAACAACACTGCCTTGAAATAAAAATTAGTGGCTTTGTGTTCTGGCATTGTCAACGGTAGGCGTTGAATTGCATATTCACAATGCCTCTCTTGCAGTGGACCCATGTGCGTCAAACCCCTGCCAGAATGGAGGAACCTGCACGGCAACGAATGACAAATTTGAGTGCAAATGTCCAGCAACGCACAACGGGGCCCTCTGCGAGATTCTGGGTATGTTTTTAAATGTGTGCTTTGTCTCCATCAACTCACTTATCTAGGTTGCTGCTTTGTGGACACGTGCATACCCAAATCTGCTTAATTGACTACTTCATTTATTCAATTTGTGAATAAAACTAAAATGGATGGGGGAAAAGGAACTAAAATTCTCAACAAGAGTTCCTCATTAAATATTGTCAGAAATGTTATGAATAATTTGTAAAACAATAAACATTTTAGAATTGGTAACATGAATGCATCTCACCATTAAAACTTAAACGTATAATAGATATAGAATTTTTTTATCATTATCATCTTCACCATAACTATCAATTCTCCATCATTTTCATCAGCAGCAAAACAATTGTTACAGATAATTTAATTCCTGTATTCATTATCAAGTCTATTGAGATGATCTCTTCCACCGGATTGAATTCACATGGCCTTATTTATTTTGTGGTTATTTTTATGCATGACATTTGGACCTGAACAATACACGCAAAAGCCAGTTTATTTTCTATTTATATTATAGGGCATTTGATCTTCACGTTAATGAAGAAGTTGTGCCTTGGTAATTCCCTGCAGTTTTCTCTAGACCCATTATCCAGTAACAGTGATAATGGATTGTCAGAATCTGTGGATAGATTCCTACTCTGTACTCTGTAGGAATCTATCCGCAGAGGATTGATATTTCAATCATAGGAATTTTCAGCAGTAAAGCTTTGCCCGTCAGTCGGTCACATTTGCGCAAATTTATTTTGATGGTGACCTTAGAGAAAAGGACCACGTTGCACTTCCATTCCCAATTACCTTTCAGACACCCCGCATGACAATAACCCATGGAATTAAACACTGAGATATGGGAAATTAATAAAAATAAATGATAAAAGCCATTTTTTTAATTAACGCAAGGTTGAATAAGTGGAATTGTATAGATTGAAGACGCGCTTTAGAAATGTCTAAAGACTCGGAGAACCTGTTATCTCGTGGGAGAGAGTTCCAGAGTCTGGGGGCTGCTACATGGAGAACATCTCGGTCGGGGAATGCAGAGAAGATCTGCATCCCCAGATTGTAGAGACTTTAAACACAACTAATGCCGTCATCTTGGCGAAATGGATGTCATTAATTCGAATCCAGATATAATGAACAGAGATAAATGCCAAGAAAGCCTTCTAAGGGCCAGAAACCAATCGGATGAAGTCTTCAAGTGAAACCAACTGTACATTGAAGGACTCTCAAGACCTGAATGTGACTTCCTGGCCATCAACCTGAGGGAAAACAAAGTTGACGGCATTGCCTTACAAGAAGCGCACGTTGATGACAGTGTGTTGATGACGAGTGACACAAATGGTTGCACCCTTGTTGCTGCCATCTACCACCCTCAACGTGGCCTCGTTGCCACCTTCAACACATGGGAACCATGGCCATGCAATCCAAACTGTGGATCTTATCGTAGGTCACTGTGGTCTGCCCTCCTTCAATGGAGGAACAGCGCAACTACACAAACTCTCCTGAAGCCCACTTGTGGTTAGCAGACCTCGACATTGGCATTGAGCTCCTGAAAATATTGCTCCTATTTGCGAGAATGGAATAGAAACATTGAGGGGACATGGGTATAGCATGTCTCTGATGTAGGCTGGGGCGAGGTAGTTAAGTGCTTTGTGCATTAGCAATAGGATTGTAAATTGAATCCTTTGTGAAGCTGGAAGCCTGTACAGTCAGTGCAACAATACATTGCAATGTAATATGTATTATATTGTACGACGGGAAAGCATCGTGGTTGATTCCAAGGCATTTAACAATGCTGTGTTTTACAGTGGACCTGTGCGCTTCGAATCCTTGCGAGAATGGAGGCACGTGCACAGTAGAGGACGGCGTGCTTGTGTGCCAGTGTCCTTCCTCCTACACTGGAAAACACTGCGAGAAAAAAGGTAACCCACACGGTGAAGATATCTAATTAATGCTGCTCTTCCATTGTGGAGTGTGCCATGTTACATATACCGTTACCCTTGGTGCAATTTTTATTTTCTCGACAAAGTGATGGGCAATGCAGTAATGAGGTTTACTAAGTCTTGTTAAGTTGATATTTCCAATGCTTGTCAGTAAACTCACCTCATATAAAATCTTTAGGAAGTGCTTTGTCATGAAATACTAATACTTAGAGCCCTGAGCCGGCACCACTGATATCCTTTACAAACATACTTTCAAGTGAATGTTAAGTTCAGCAATAATAATCTGATTATTTCCTGAAAACAGTGATACAGGGTAAGTCTTATTTCTGAAATGCATTACTTCCTACACTCAACGTGTCATGTCCTACTCAACCATAGCCAAAGGATTTGCATGATCGGTAACTTGTATTTGTTCATGATATAATATTTCAGTTTCTTACTTTCAAAAGTGTTGATGCACCACAGTGGTTAATTCTTGTAAACATGTTTTGTGGTTTTCACCGAGTAACGACGTTTTTCATTAGAAATTGTTTTAAACATTTATGCACTTTTGCTCAAGAAATGATGACCTCGTGATTTGGTGCTGAAACGTGCTTGGTATATGTTCCGTAGATGATACCATCACCATCGTCATCGCTGTGGTTTGCTCTGTTGGAGGAGTTTTGATCATTGCCGTCATTGTTTTCGTCGTCTACAAAAGAAAGCGATCCAGGTCAGTACTAATAACTCGTAAATCCATTGTGTTTTTTTTCATAACTCGTTTGTGATTCCGTCATTCGTATCGAAAGGGTGGGGAAGGCATTGTCTATTACCTGGTTGCTTCAAGGCCTTACAGACCCCCACCCTGAAGGTTCCCCTAATCCCACCGAAACACCTCGCCTGCACATAGCGAGCTCTCTTGACGTCTGGCACAGCCTACAAACACTGGCCATTATTCCACCTTCACTGTATGGCTTCACCTATCTCTTAGGAGAGGCAGCCACAGATTCCCGGGGCAAACCTAGAAGGGCGCAGGTTTCGGCACTATTGGCGATCTCCTAAATCTAGATAAGCGGTTACACACCTTCTGAGACCTTCAACAATAAATTATTAATAAAATAACATGAAACTGCGCACAGTCGGAGGAAAATTACTCCCATATTCTGATATCTGGAACTCTGCCTTGTCTAAAATTATTAGAAATCACACACTTTAGTTTTCATTGGCCACACATCCCAACACTCATTGATTACCTGCAAGTACTCAATTGGGATTACACGCAGCTATTTTGATTCCTATTGCAGAAACTCGGCAGTACCCTCCTGAAGAAGAGTTCTGAGACTTAGTAAGCCATTACTGGGTTAACAATTGTCATCATAATAATAGACTCACCCAATGTGGATTCCATACCAGTGCTGTATATCAGGTGTTATGTTTTTCCGATTCACGTATATTGGAATACAAAACAATACAAATTTCACCGCACTGTGGGAAGTCAAAAGTGCTGTTTCTGTGGAAATGTTAACCACAAGCCAAAGGGGCAGTGCCATGGCCAAGCGGTAGCGCGTTTTCTGCCAGGGATTCGTGCCACGAGCCCAGTGGCTGCGCTGGTTCACACTGCAGGTCCATTCACCATCAATATGCAACGCTGTGCACATTAGTTAATTGGGACAAATAACATCACATACGTCACTCCCTCCTGGCACACTGCTGCCCATTTGCAGACTCTGGCTGCGTACACCCCCTATACGCACACAGGGACAGCTGCCGCTGGTGGGGGTTCCCTTGGCTAGGCTGCAGCGGGGGGCACTGGTTGGGATGAGATATGCCACTTGCCGAGTTTTTCACCACCAACACCCCACAGCCTTCCCCTCAGCATACCTGACCCAGGTTGTGTTGTAGTGTATTAATCTGTTATTGAGAGTGCTGTTGCAAGTTTCCTCCCAACCAACTACATTTCATACACACGGAGTGATTCACAATTCGTTTAATTTGGTTTCTCAGCGAATCTATTGGCGTTTTGGCTCACGACGTGACAACTTGGATTTAATTGTCTCTGTCGGGTGGTTGAGGGTTATAGTTGAAACTGACATTCTACTTACACACTCTGACCCTAAAGAATATTATTATCAATAATAATATTGGTCTCGAAAGCCTACGTATAGAACCTACATTGGAAATATTTCATTTCCAAAGGCACAAAACAACAAAGTAAAGCATTGTTATCTGTTTATATGCATGTTTTGAACTGTATCATTATTATTTTACACTACATCCCATTTGTGAAAACAAAGTCTCATGGGATAACAATCCGTTTTCCCAGGTCCTGGAAGATATTAACAGAGAACTAAGGATAGTCTCTCACTAATGGATGTGGAATTTACACAACTGGCTCTGAATCATCAACAGATGAGAACCTGCCAAATTATTTTGATCATGACCTACTAACTCTTTATATATATCTTATTACATATAAGCTTCTCTTAATGTTTAAACCTCAGGCTCACTGGTTGCACTTAAACCATGTTACTGAAAGTATATATAGATATATCTTATTACATATAAGCTTCTCTTAATATGTAAACTTCGGGCTCACTGGTTGCACTTGAACCATGTTACTGAACGTATATATAGATATATCTTATTACATACAAGCTTCTCTTAATATGTAAACTTCGGGCTCACTGGTTGCACTTGAACCATGTTACTGATTGTACAAGAGTAAGCTACCGGATTACCTTGGCTCTACTTATGTTACTGACTAATCCAGGTGGACAATGTGCTTAATCAACTATTATTTAAATAAAGTGAGTAAAATGTTGTTCATGATACACTTTGAAAATGTAAAATATTTGCAAAGAGCTGCAAAAAAGTTAACAATAAACATTACAGTCAAAAGTAGAAAACAATTATCACCGTTGTTTAAGCATTGTGCACCTGAACTGCCATGACTTTACCTCACTACCTCTGTTTCTGCTACATTGTGTAAGGTCAATGACTACTCTATTCCAACACGGAGCTTGGTCTAAAAATGGGTTGGTAAAACACGCAAGTGGTGTTACTGTTTGTGTCTGTATGGGTGTACCAATTGCAACTGAGGTTCTGAAAAATCTTCACTTACATCGGATCTGAACTTTGTTTGACAGGAGAAAGCCACACCATTCTGAGCTTGAGATGGATTCAAGCGAATCGGAAAAAGACGACGTTGCATTTGATAATATTCACTACAGTGAAGACGGGGATACTCATGACTATGAAAGAATCGATCCTGGGAAAGATCAAATGACTGAGGGAATCCCCGTGGACGTTTCAAGCGATGATTTGGCTCAATCTAGCTCGGCAGGATTGTCTGTAAACGATACTTCATCTGACACGAATTTGGATACGAATGAATGCTTGTTTTCAACAGAGTTGTAGTTTGTATGCGTCTATAATTGGATAGACCAAATACACGTTTAACACTAAATGGCAGAATGGTAATACACAAGTTATAATGGTGACTTGGAAGGTCTGTTCCAATCATTAAGTTCATATATTCTTTTCCATGTCAATAAAATTGTCCGAGCACAAATGTATACAACATTTTATGTCTGACACAACTGGACTATTTGTTTGCATTTCTGTTGCACTGTTGCATTGAAAATATATGCACACCTTTTATCATCCAATATGTGCCTTCTGTTAAAATGCCTTACAATGTGTGATGGATGAGACACTATTAAATTTAAGTTTTTAGTAAAAATTCAAAAGCAATATCATTTGTATTCTTTGGGTCTTACGGTAAAGCCACGTAGATAGAAAAAATATATAAAAATATCACGACATTTCTATCGCAACACAAGCAATCATCATCAGGTGAAAAAATAGTGGGAGAGCTGCTGAGGCAGGATGTTTTAAAGGTTTGAGATGGGTGTAGCCCAAGGGTCATAAGCGAAGTGGGCGGGGCTAGTGATGAAATTTGCATGTCAATGTAAGATGGGGTAAATCGGAGAGCCACCTCCACCACGAAGAAAGTGCGGAGGTGGCCATTGTATTGTGAGAGATTAGCATGTCAATGTAAGATCGCAGAGCCACTGCCACATCGAGGAAAACGAGAAACGGTGGCTGTGTTAGTGAGACATTTAACCTCCCAATGTAACACCTGAGAGTCGAAAATAACTATTAACATCGGATGTTATGACCCTTGGGCTATACCCATCTCAAACCTTTATAACATCCTGCCTCAGCAGCTCTCCAGCTATTTTTTTCCTGATGACGATTGCTTGTATTGCGATCAAAACGTTGTGATATTTTTATTATTTTTTTTCTATCTACGTGGCTTTAACGAAAGATCCAAAGAATATTAATTCCTGCAGTCACGAAAGCTTTAAGTCAAGATTCAATATCATTTGGTCCTTTAGTTTAATGGCAAGAGGACATTTATTCAACAGTCCAATGTTACGCTTCCTTAATTAATCAACCTACAAATGCCCCATATCGTGTGCTCATATTAACCACACTTGAACATTGTTCAAGCGTGTTAATGTTATAAGAGGTTTGTTGATTGCAACAGAGGAGTGTTTGTGTGATGGGCCACAGCCCCCACCGGACTCATATCATCGCATGTTCCATGCGTGTGGACAACTTTCAGAGTGGTTAAGCGGGGTTAGACTATGGAGTAATTTTGTATTTTTGTAATGGAATCCGTGTAGCCGTACCCACAAAATACTTTCAAACCATTTGTTTACAAGTGTCCGCTTGGTGTTACTCATTCTGCCTTGAATGCTGTCTTAATTCTAAAATAAACCAAGTGACTTAGGGGTCCTGATCCTACAGTACAGCAAGGTTCCTAAACGTGGAATGTTAATTCAGATGGGAATAATTTCACGAATAAAATCCGTTTTCCACATTGTTGTTGATGGTCAGTATGACGTCTCGCTACTTAAGAGAAACACATTTGAGCAAATACAAACATGCCATAATGTTCAGATACGATGATACGTTTCATTTTCATAAGACATTCAAAGTACCCACAGAAGCCATTTGATGCTAGTTTATTGTAAAATTCACCTCAAGCTGGAGCAACATCATGCTTAGCCTGTCTAATGATGTGCACAATATTCCCTTGTATGAACAACAAAAACAGTATCCTTTCCTGCTGTCAGATTACCACCTTTGCAACCAGCTAAAGAAATCCATGTTTCCGTCATTTCACCCTCCTTGCACAAGTCAAGATGCGACTTCCAATACAGAGTTGCACATCCAGCAACGATAATCCTTGCTCGTTGTCATGTCTAGAGGTGCTATTTTAATTTCAGGCATATGTGTGAACAGCATAGAGCAGTCGATTCCCTCAAATGCACCCATTTTTTACAAACGTTTACACAGGATATAGTTCAGTGGATCATTAAAGGAATATGATGCATCACGCTTGTGTCAAATCCGATTACCTATTCCACCTGCTACAGACAAGGGCTTCTCAAATGCCAGTTACCTCAAGCCCAACACAACGTGTGTAATTGAGTGGAGATGCATTTGATGAACGTGGAAATGTGTTTCGGGAATTAGCATGATGTTTGTAAAGTGAGAGGCACCTTCTCGAATACAACAGACTCACATTAAAATCGCATGTAATGTTTGGCTGTCATAGCATACCATACAGTACCTCGTCATCAATCCGCAAATAAGCCACACAACTCGAGGTTGTGTGGCTACAGCCATGTGATCTATGCATCTTCACTTGATGGAAAAATATCGAGTCACTACTGAAGTCAAGATTTTTGCATTGTTATTTTTGGAAGCTACAATATTATGCACTCGCCAAATGTGTTTTATTTTCCAGGGTAAATTCACATCGCATTAATTGATCCATGTGCTCGTTTTTGCGTCTAGCCAGTATGATGAAACATATACCGACTGCAGAACATTAAACCCGTGTATAACGTCAGATGTTCCGACGAATCTGTTCAGTTTCCATCTCACAAATTATTGCACGTACTCCATATGCCAAATTTGGCTTCAATATTCTTACATGCAAACTTGATTATGGTCGACTGTACTGTTTTAAAATATGTTTTTGAAACCACAATAAAACTCCCTAAAACTGTACCTCTCTGAAGATGCCATCGGTGAAAGTGATCAGAGAGAGGCCTGTACAGAAAAATTTGCAATTGACAAGAACCTCTGAACAAAAACAACGTTACAAAGATTGGTAGATGCACAAGAGGGATTCTGCGAAATCATAAAATGACTGAGCTCAACACCATTTCAAGTTTCACTTTGCAAACCTGAGGCAGGACAGTGTGTTGTAATTAGGTATGATCCATGTAATATTTTGTCTAATGTTACAAAATAAATCGATTTTGCATTCCAGATTTTTTTGCAGTGTGTCTTAATGATGTCATTAAAGCAATCTTTAAAATAAGTCCTGGGTTTATTTGCTCATGCATTCTATCCCCGTCGTATTTCATGTCTGAGATTAGTTTGAAACGATGTCTATCATGGGTTTGATCTTGCTGCTGTATAATGCAGAAAAAAACCTCGTGCAGCCAAAGTGTTCAGGCATTTAATGGGTGAAATATTTTAAGGCAAAGTATTCTCCCGAGTCTTTTATTTGTTCACCATTTTATGCAGTATTTAGACTTAGACTTAAAACAACACACAACACAATTGGATATGGCCAAGGTACTTATGAGCCTGAGCAGTGAACGGGTACTGCTGAGATTTTGGGTTTCAATTTGGGTGGGCAATGGGTCCCCGATTAAACCAAGATCTCAAGTACGAGTTGCACTAAAAAAACACTACAATCAGTTCATCACTTGGTACATTTCCAGGTATGAGAATGTTTTTTGGGGTTATACATCCATGCGCCAAACAGCTTTGTAGATTAAAAGGTTTACTTGGGATTTTGAAATTATGTTATATCTCTTGTGAGCCATTCTCTAACAGGGCAATAAAATGCTCTGTTGGCATTTAATTACACTGTGTAACATTTTTTTTCCTGGGTAGTGTTATTTCCTAATTAGTTAGGCCTCAAAAGTACAGAAAATGGCTCTTATTCCCCACAAACTTTGCTTTTGTGACCAGGACAGTGATATTTTTAAATTTACCTATTTTCGAGAACATTCCAGATAGATTCAGTGCTGAGTAAACTTGGAGTAACTTCTAGAACATTCTAGAACTTTCCAGTAATATAAATAGTAGTATAAATACAGGGGACTTAAGCCCACCAGTTTCAATTTCGATTTAAAGCTTTCGTGACCGCAAGGATTCATTTTCTTGGTTCTTTCGGTAAAGTCGCATAGAAGGGAAGTAATAAAATAATAAAAATAAAAAATAATAAAATTATTATCACGACGTTTCGGCCACAACGCAAGCAGCCGTCCTCAGGTGGAGAACAGGTCCGTCAAGTAGACAGAGTCTGAATGGCACGCTCCAGGCTTGGAGCGACTATTTATGCATATCAAGAGGAATTTAGCATATTTATGGGAAATGCAGATATGCGATTAGCATTACTTGTGAAATGCGTAGGAGGTTTGGCGAGGGGTTTAAAGTCATTATGTTTTATTTTTATTATTTTATTACTTCCCTTCTACGTGACTTTACCGAAAGAACCAAAAAGAACCACCAGTTTAGTTTAGTTCCAGCGGCCAAAGTGTGTACATATCTGCATTTTTCTGAGATGGCATCAAGAGGCTGCAAGCATCCAGCAAATGCATTTTGCTATGTCTGCGGCCAATTTATCAAAAAAGTACTCTGTGGAAGCATCTGCTAAGATGTGTGAGGCCGACAAGGCATATTTCGGCGTGCCAGTTGGGGATCAAGACAAACCCTGGGCACCTCATTTCACCTGCGAGCAATGCAAAAAAACTCTGGAAGGTAAGTTGACAATTGTTGCTAGCAATTTAATGTTATAAAATTTGTACTACAAAAAATTGTGAAAGTTTTAAATTTTAAAATGTTTTACAATTTTCAATGTTATTGAAAAGAGATATAAATGAAAAGTGTTGTGAGAATCTCTTACACATTAGTCATGGGTGAAATAAATGTATTTTTGTAGGATGTGTTGTATATATTGGGTCTTGAAAAATTATACAAATTAAATGAAAATTGAACAATGTGTAATTTTCCGAATTATGCTAATTTATATAATTATGCAAATTATGCATGTATGTTCACTAGGAAGGTGTAATTTAATTACGTTCTGCAAGTGTATGTAATTATGCTAATGTATGTATACTCTGGTTCTTTCGGTAAAATCACGTCGTTAGCAATAAAATAAAACAAATCACGACGTTTCGATCGCAACACAAGCAATCATCATCAGGTGGGACAACTACAGCAAGAAACAACTCCTGAAAAAAGCGAGAGAGCTGTCGTGGCACAAGGTTATATAGACTACTAGCTTTACTACCCGGCTTCGCCCGGGTCTTGGATCCACGACGCCAGGCCGCCTTTGTCTCCCCAGTGGCGATGTTCATACGCCACAGCAGTTACTCGTTTTGAGGCTGAGTCCCTCCCTCATCACTCTCCCTCCCTCACCGCTCTCCCTCCCTCAGCGCTCTCCCTCACCGCTCTCCCTCACTGCTCTCCCTCCCTCACCGCTCTCCCTCCCTCACCGCTCTCCCTCCCTCACCGCTCTCCCCCCCCTCACCGCTCTCCCTCCCTCACCGCTCTCCCTCCCTCACCGCTCTCCCTCCCTCACCGCTCTCCCTCCCTCACCGCTCTCCCTCCCTCACCGCTCTCCCTCACCTCCCTCACCCTCTCCCTCACCGCTCTCCCTCTCACCGCTCTCCCTCCCTCACCGCTCTCCCTCACCCTCTCCTCCCGCTCCCCTCTCCTCACCGCCTCCCCTCCCCACCGCTCTCCCTCCCTCACCGCTCTCCCTCCCTCACCGCTCTCCCTCCCCCTCACCGCTCTCCCTCCCTCACCGCTCTCCCTCCCTCACCGCTCTCCCTCCCTCACCGCTCTCCCTCACCTCTCCCTCCCGCTCTCCCTCACCGCTCTCCCTCCCTCACCGCTCTCCCTCCCTCACCGCTCTCCCTCCCTCACCGCTCTCCTCCCCCCTCACCGCTCTCCCTCCCTCACCGCTCTCCCTCCCTCACCGCTCTCTCCTCCCTCACCGCTCTCCCTCCCTCACCGCTCTCCCTCCCTCACCGCTCTCCCTCCCCTCCCCACCGCTCTCCCCCCGCACCCCTCCCTCCCTCACCTCCTCCTCCCGCTCCCTCACCGCTCTCCCTCCCTCACCGCTCTCCTCCCTCACCGCTCTCCCTCCCTACCGCTCTCCCTCCCTCACCGCTCTCCCTCCCTCACCGCTCTCCCTCCCTCACCGCTCTCACCTCCCTCACCGCTCTCCCTCCCTCCGCTCCTCCCTCACCGCTCTCCCCCTCTCCTCACCGCTCTCCCTCCCTCACCACTCTCCCTCCTCACCGCTCTCCCTCCTCACCGCTCTCCCCCCCCCTCACCGCGCTCCTCCCTCACGCCCGCTCATCCCTACCCTCACCAGCTTCTCCCTCCCTCACCGCTCTCCCTCCCTCAGCACTCTCCCTCTCTCACCGCTCTCCCTCCCTCAGCGCACATTAATAAATAAGGCGATCTAAAGCGAATAACGTTGTTTATGATTAATGGTTGCGAAAGGCCACGTGTTACAAATTGACAAACTTTACTTAATAAGCAGGTTACAGTGTACATGATAGACTGGCAGTACACCCACCGAGCTGAATAAGCAGGCTACAGTCTACATTATAGACTGCCAGTACGCTCAGCCAGCTTAATGACTATTTGTAGAATGAACATTGAAAGAATCCATTCTTGGCGCGTGGGGTTTAAACATAATAATACAGTTGTTTTTTCATGAGAAATGGTAATTGTTGTGGTTTTACGCTTGAACACACCGGTGGGCTAAAGCAGTCAAGTCTTAGTCTTTTATGAACGTGACAAATTTTTGCAGATTGGGCGTGTCGGGTGGTGGATAAGGGTTACAACACATTAATAAATAAGGCGATCTAAACTCAATAAGGTTGTTTATGAATAATGTTTGCGAAAGCGTACGTGTTACAAATGGACTAACTTTACTTAATAACCAGGCTACAGTCTACATGATAGACTGGCAGTACACCCACCCAGCTGAATAAGCAGGCTATAGTGTACATTATAGACGGGCAGTACGCTCAAGCAGCTTAATGACTATTTGTACAAAGAACATTGAAAGAATCGATTATAATAACCAGGCTACAGTGTACATTATAGACTGCCAGTACACCCACTCAGCTTCATAAGCAGGCTAGAGTCTACATGATAGAGTGGCAGTACGCTCACCGAGCTTAATAAGCAGGCTACAGTGAACATTATAGACTGGCAGTACACTCACCCAATTTAATAAGCAGGCTACAGTCTACATTATAGACTGGCAGTACGCTCACCCAGCTTAATGACTATTTGTACAGTCAACATTTAAAGAATCGATTGTTGGCGCGTTGGGTTTAAAAGTAATATTAATTGCACACATTGTGGTGGGGGTGGAGTGAAGAGTACGTGAAACTTTGATGAATTTACCTCAGAGTCGCGTGGTGGGTGTCGAGGCCTAGTAGCGTGCAGAGCCTCCGGCCTCGCCAAAATTGCCCACCCGGCAGAGGCAGGGTACGGGTGGCGTCCCCCCCCCCCCCCCCGCGCTACAATAATACTGTGTAATCGCTATTATTTAATAATTTACGGAGCCTATAATAGTCATTGAACACATTGTGGTGGGAGGGGAGTGAAGAGGAGGTGAAACTGTGATGATTTAACGTCAGAGTCGCGTGTTAATGCGTGCGCCTATTTTTAAGGGGAATAAAAAATGGCGTCCAGCCCTTGGCGAAGGCGTCGCTACCCGTTGGCAGGGGCAACCGCCGTCCAATGAAAGTGGCGAAGGCGTGGCTACCCGTTGGCAGGGGCAACCGCCGTCCAATGAAACTGCAGCCCTTGGCGAAGGCGTCGCTAGCCGTTGCCAGGGGCAACCGCCGTCCAATGAAAGCGGCGAAGGCGTCGCTAGCCGTTGCCAGGGGCAACCGGCGTCCAATGAAAGTGCGTATGGTCCGGCGACACACACACACACAGACAGACAGATTCGCGATTTTATATATATAGATAGAGGGAGGGTACATGGGCGGGGCTAAAGTTGGGGGGTGGGGCAGAGTAAGATCTGCGGCGGCGATGGGAGAGCTCGGGGGAGAGAGAGGTGGGGGGGGGGGTTGCCAATGCAGCAGCAATGCCAATGAAGCAATAATGTCAATGCAGCAGCAATGCCAAACGCTGGGGTGCGGGGGGGAATTAACTCGGAAAAAACAGAACAACACCCGCCAGATATGATGGAACAACCATAAACAGTTAAGGTT